TGTTGCTTGCTTGCTGCAATATGTGTGTGTGTCTGTCTGTTTGTGCGTGTATACTGCTGCATGTTGCTTGATTGCTTGCTGCAATATGTGTGTGTATGTCTGTTTGTGCGTGTATACTGCTGCATGTTGCTTGCTTGCTTGCTGCAATATGTGTGTGTATGTCTGTTTGTGCGTGTATACTGCTGCATGTTGCTTGCTTGCTTGCTGCAATATTTGTGTGTGTGTGTCTCTCTCTCTCTGTGTGTGTGCGTGTATACTGCTGCATGTTGGTTGCTTGCTTGCTGCAATATTTGTCTGTCTGTGTGTATGTGCATATACTGCTGCATGTTGCTTGCTTGCTTGCTTGGTGCTCCTCGAAAGTGGCTTCCTGCCGTCCTGTGGATCAATTTTCTGCAGCTGCCGTCGCGGATATTCTCTGTTGCTGCTGGCTGCTGCGTTGCGTTGGTGCGTGTTGCAGGGGCAGATGTTGGTGGCTTTGTGGGGAGCTGCGATGCAGAGCTTCTGCTGCGATGGCAACAACTGGGAGTCTGGATGCCTTTTTACCGCATGCATTCTGACAAGGCTTCAGTCAGACGCGAGGCTTTCAGGGATAGTTTGCTGCTGCCCTTCATCCGCAAAGCAATCCTCGACAGATACAGACTCCTGCCGCTGTGGTAAGGCCTGCCCGATATATTTCTGCGTCTACGGATGCACGGGGAGTAATAAAGGCTGCTGCACCGTTCCAAGCGCATGCTCCTTTTGCGACAAGCAGTGAGGCAGTTGCATGCACGCTATACCGCGGCAAGGCTTCTACCGCTTCAAGGCAGTGGTGTGCAAAAGGCTATGTGCTGGTGAGGCCACATGCGCAGGTACACTCTCTCCATGGAGTATGCGCTTTTGGGGGATCCCCTTATTCGTCCTCTGTGGTGGCTCGACTCTACTACTGCTGCTGCAGCTGCTGCAGCAGCAGAAGAAGAAAGCAGCCCCAAGGCTTCGTTCCTCTTGGGGGATCAGATCTTTGTGCAGCCTGTAGTCCACTCCATTTTGCGCGTTTCCCGCACGCTGCTGCAGCAGGAGCACCTCTCAATCGAGGGAAACGCTGCTGAAAAAACAAAGCAAAAAAAAATTCAAGAGCACAAGCACGAGCTTCCCAATCCACCCGAGACGGAGGATCAGCCGCAGACTGTGGCACTAGATCTCCCGAGAGGTTACTGGTGGTGCGAGTGGCAGCAGATGCTGATGCCGTGGTGCTTGCGCTGCTGAGAAAACAGCAGCAATATCAACAACAGCAACAGCAGCAGCAGCAGCAGCAGCATAGCCTTGGTAGAAGCAGTTTTAGTATCTCGCATGCAGCAGCAGCATAGCTTTAGTAGAAGCAGTTTTAGTACCTCGCATGCGTCAGCAGCAGTGGCTGGTGCTGCAACGCCAGCAGATGACATTTTTCTTCCTCTGTGTTGCTGCAGGTATGATTTGGATACTGGCGCAGTTTGCTGCGCTCGTCATGAAGACGCTTCTTCTGCCTCAGACGATGCATCTGTTGCAGCTGCTGCTGAGTCCGTTGCTTCAACCTCAGAAGACAGCTCCTCCTGCTGCCGCTTCCCCCTCACCCTGAGGCGCATCCCTGTCTTCATCAGGGGAGGATGTGTGATCGCAACGCGCGAGACACCTCGTAAATCGGCCCTTCTCTCCTTGCATGAGCCCCTTACGGTACATATATGTGTATTTATTTATGTATTTATATCCCCCCCTCAGAGACGCACAGTCAGGGGTGTTTACAGCTCAAAGTTGAGGATTATCTACCACAAGGGAGCCGAGGGAGGGGTAGCCTAAGCGACTGCTCAGCGTTCCCTGTGTGTGTGTGTGTCGGTTTTTTGAAGGCTTCTTTCTCCGCCATTAGCATCTCTTGCACTTCCTGCACCTGCTGAATTTTTGCTGCATTGTTGTTTCGTTGCAGCTGCACGTCTACCTCTCCCCCCACGGCTCGTCAGAAGGCCGCATCTACATCGATGACGGTGTATCCTTCCGCTGCAAGACAGGCAGCTTCATTTACAGGAGAATCAAGGCGCGCATGCAGCAGCAGCAGCAGCATCTTGTGCATGCGCAAGAGGAAGAGGGCAGCAGCAGCACGACCAAGACGCCGAAACAGCTCCTGACTGTCTGGACGGAGGCTGCCCCCCTCCCCGTGTCAGGTCCATCGGTGCTGCCGTGGCGTTTAGGGGCCTTAAAGGATGAAGAGCTACCAAATGCATGCGGTATGTCTTCGCATCCTCTCTCTATTGATGCTTTTTTCTGGTGGACTCGCGTAAGTGTATCCTTCCTTCCCCGTACGCCGGCACTCTCTGCCCCTGTCCTATGAACTGCTCAGCAGTTTCGCATATTGCGATTTGGGGTGTCTGCGCTCCTCCATTGACTGCTTGCCTGGTGGAAGGCGCATGTCACAAGCTAACGCCGCTGCAATTTTCGGTGTCTTCCCTCCCCCTCAACCCCGAGGCAGACGAGCTGCGCAAGCCAGCTAAGGCCTTTGTCAGCGCTGCACAAGCGACTGCTGCACGCAACACTGCAGACACAGCACCGACTGAGCGAGCAGCATCGGCAGCAGCGGCCTCCCCATCTACTGAAAAGCAAGAGGAGAAGAGGCTTGAGAAGGAGCAACAGCAGCAGCAGGAGAAGGAGCTTGAGAAGGAGCAACAGCAGCAGCAGGAGAAGGAGTTTGAGAAGGAGCAACAGCAGCAGCAGGAGAAGGAGTTTGAGAAGGAGCAACAGCAGCAGCAGGAGAAGGAGCTTGAGAAGGAGGCGGAGAAGAGGCTTGAGAAGGAGCAACAGCAGCAGGAGGAGAAGGAGCTTGAGAAGGAGGCGGAGAAGAAGCTTGAGAAGGAGCAACAGCAGCAGCAGGAGAAGGAGCTTGAGAAGGAGGCGGAGAAGAAGCTTGAGAAGAAGCAACAGCAGCACGAGGAGAAGAAGCAGCAGCAGGAGCAACAGCAACAGCAGCAGGAGCTTGAAGATCCTTCGGCCGTTAGGGCGGCTGTAAATGCTCTTCTTCAGCAGCGGACGGTGGAAAGTGAGCTCCAGCAGTTACGACAACAGCAGCAACAACAGTTAGGTCCATGCCCTCTGTACCGGGTGCTCCTACTACTTACTCCTGGAGTGCTGCTCACCACGCACACCGACTGGGCAGTGCAGCTGCGCTGGTAGTAGCATTTTTTCCGTCCTCGCGGATGGCTTTTTTAGCTGTTGCTCTTCTCTGCAGAGCAATGCATGCGGCAGCGGAGGGCCTTGGTCGCCTTGCGGCTTCCTAGGAAGCTCGACACGAAAAAAAATGGTGAGCGCGGTGCTCTCCTTCCCGCCTCAGTGTATACACAGGGCGACATGCGCATCCTGCTACAAGAATGGTTACTACCTATGCTGAAAAAGCAGCCGTTTTTGTGCATCCGGACTGGCTAGCTGTTGTTTGGAGCCTGAACACGCCGCTCCTTATTGGCGCATGCTGGGCATGTTGCGCTTGCGCATTTTTCGCCTGTCTCTTTTTTGGCGATGATGTTAGAGAGTGCAACACTAAAGCCAAGTGCTGAGCAGTAGCAGCCGCAGCAGCAGCATCTATCATATCTACACCGTATTTTTCGCTAGCTAGCGTGCTCGACTACTGCTGGACACACTGGCAGCAAAATCGAAAACTATGCGAGCGCTCCGCGAAAAAGAGTTTTCTCGAGACTCCCACGCAACAAGGCTGTACAACCCCCTCCATGATAACAGCCCCTGCCCTCCTCTGTGAGCTGCCTACATACAGCCAACACCTCTCTTGCGTAGAAAGCCTAAGCCAACACGTGCTAGTGCAGCTGGACGCCGTCCCTTAGCTGCAGCAAAACTGTGCTGCCGTTCTATATACACCAAGATCTCCTAAAACGCCACCCTCTGCACTGAGTGATCGACCACACCCGAGCAGCGTGCAGCCCCTAAATATCTTCTAATGCGCACTGCTGCTGCTTATACACCATATAACGATAAAGCACCATTCGCTGCAAATAGCGGTGCATGCGGTGCAGATACACGCGAATCTTACAAGGAGAGCTCGCGTCGGGGGCAAGCCGCTCACAAGAGTCCTCCTGCGCCTCCTCCTGCTGCCGTGCATCTTCTTGTATCAACGCCAGGGGGTTGATTCTATTGAGAACGCACAACTCATCGAGATTGATGGCGGCAGCTTCTGCTTTCGTCAGATCCAAAAAAGATTCCTCTTCTTCAGGTTTGAACGGCTGCTGTTGCTGCTTGGAATCCGCTAGCTTCTCATCCACACACGAAGTCTCCTTCTCGCTGTTGTGTCGCGAACTCGCGGGATGTTGTGCGTCTGCTGCTGACAGCCCATTCTCGCATGCAACCCCAGTGCCGCCTGCTGCTTCTGTCTCAGCAGCCTCTTCCTCCGGAGGTGCTTCGCCCTCGTCCTCCTCCTGTGGCTTCTGCTGCTGCTGCAGCTGCGGAACCTGTGGGTACTGTTGCCAATTCAAAAAGTGCGTCTTGCTACCGACCTTCTCCCCTCCGCAGAACCGCCTATCCACCAGCGACATGTAGATGAGGGGCCTCATAGAGGCCTCTGCGTGGCTGCTCCCTCTGTGCCGCACGATGTTGTCCATTATCAGCAAATCGCCTGGAGAACAGCAAGCCACAGAGAATCAAAGCAGGCTGTTGAAGCACGAATTTTGCCAAGAAGACGTGCAAAAGGTGGCATCGTTGCCAAAGCCGCCTTCTTGCTCTGTATCCCGTTCGCAGATCCGCAAAAGCCCCTCTCGCCACTCGACGATTCCCGCAACGCTACGACACTCTCCATATACATATGCATATATATACACGAGCAAGCAGGGAAGCTGCATGCACGTGGAAAGGGCGACTGCAATCACGAGATTGGCAGAGCAGCCGCCAGCAGCACCAAGGGTCGAGGCGGCGACGGCCTACACAACTCAGCAAGGCGATGAGCACGCACTCTGTGCTTGGAGCCCAAGCATTTTTTCGAGATGGCTGTAAAATCCTGCTTTTTACGACGGAAGAGTGGTAGAAGGGGGGACAGGCGGAGAGGCGCCTGCTGTTTTGCGCTTACCTGCTTGCGCATTTGAGGTGAGTGTCTGACTGCCAATGAAGAAAGTCGTTGGGGAATTCGTGCCGTTCAAGTCTACCAGCGGGAAGAAGGCGCTCACAATATTTCGCCTGCATGCACAAGTGTGTAGCGCCGCAGCAGTAGCAGGAGTCTTATTAAAATGCGGCGCAATCGTCGCCCCTCCACTTCTAGGATGTGGTGTATACGCACAGTCCGCTTCGACACAAGAAGAAATGCGCGTGTGTATATGCGTGTTTGTGAGTATAAACGTCTTGCGCGCGCACTTGTGGGCTTCTTCGTGGTAATCGTAGTGCGTCTTTTGTGTGCTGTCGTGCGGTCCCATAGACATGAGATACCCACAGGTGACTTGCTGCCACGCCGGCTCGACATACACCTCATCCGTATCGTCCTCTGCAGTTGCGGCTGCCTCCTGCGAGACAGATTCCTCGAATTTAGACACGCATGCGCTGGAACCTCGCATGGCCCCCCCCCCGCAAAGCGACACCAAAGAAACGCGGCTAGCTGCGCTGTCGTCGGAGACTGCTGCGACTGCAGCAGACCCCCCTTCGTCATCCTCCGGCTCTGTAGCGGTGCTCGCAGTTGTGCTCCCTCCGCTGGTTCGCTGTAAGTCCCTCTTGACATCCCCGAGCTGCAGCAGCACCTGCTGCTGCTGCTGCTGCTGCTGCTGCTGCTGCTGCTTCCTCTGCAGCGTCTTTTCCCAAGAACAAAATTCTACAGCCATGGCGGCAGCGGCACACTGCTGCAGCACACGCAGCTTGCTGCGCAGCAAGGCGTGGATCTCTCTTAAGGGCCCCTCGCCATACTCCAGGTGCTGCTCTGAGACATTCACGTCGACTCGCCTGTCGCACCATTGCGACACACATGCACACAGAGACACACAGACACATACACACCCGAAGACTCCTCTCCGTGCATGCACGATTTCGCTCTTACCGCTAGATGGCGCTCTACAGACCGCCCCACACAGAAGACACCTCAACTCCGACCCGAACTCCCCGCTTCCCATGCATGACTGAAAGGGCACATTCCCCTACTCCCCACGAAGTTTCACCAGCTCGCCCAAAAGGAAAAACAAAAAAGCACGGCTGCTGGCCAGTTTACAGACACCGCAGACGACATACGCCTCTCTACCCCGCAGCAGGCTGAAGTTGCCCTTTGCGCGTCTGCAGCACAAGAATGCAGCAGCAGCAGCAGCAGCCGTGGCAAAGCAGCAAGGCAGAAATCACGCAGCTCTTACAGGGGGGAGTTTCTGCAAGCGATGCCGTCAAACTTAAAAATGGAAGACTGCTGGTAAGGCCAGTGTTGGTGCTGCTGTTGCTGCAGAACACGCTGCATGAGCAGCGCAAAGTGTGCATGCACCAGCCGCCAGATGGCTTGCACCTCCTCCCGAGGCACCTGAGAGGCAGCAGCAGCAACGACAACAGCAACAATGAGTGCATTTCAAAGCGCAGCGAAACGTGCTGCTGCTGCTGCAGCTGTCTGAACAGCCACCGAAGTCAACCCCAGGCGATCTCATCAATGCATCAAATGCATCAAATACATCAAATGCACCAAATGCATCAATGCATCAAATGCATCAAATACATCAAATGCATCAAATACATCAAATGCACCAAATACATCAAATACATCAAATACATCAAATGCACCAAATGCGCCAAATGCATCAAATACATCAAATGCACCAAATGCATCAAATGCACCAAATACATCAAATGCATCAAATGCAGCATAAGAGTAATGAGACACAGATTGCAGCGGCAGCACCAGATATTTTAACACAGCGGCAATAAGGTGCTTACCACATTTCGGTAAACCTGAACACCATCCCGTAGGAGTGCGCAGGTGTCAATTGTCTCGTGAGTGATTCCAGGAGAGACGTGGAGTAGTTGTTGCCGCAGAAGCCGCTGCCTCTCCGCAAGAGCAGCCCCTTCTAAGAAAATCCATCGGCTGTTGCTGCTGGCACCCTGCCCACTGGAGGCGACTCCTTTGAGCGCTGCTGTCGCAATGGGGGGGGGATTACATGGCTGCAAAAGCAGTCGAACAAATAAAAACGATTCCTGACACCAGTAGCAACAGCAGCATTAGCACTGGTTTTAGCACCAGCTCGAGCACTCTGTAGTACATCCCCGCCAACAGGCTACGTGCAATCCTCAACACTGCTGTTGCTGCTGCAGCATCTGCTCTTCGCCTGCTCTCTTGCTCGCACTTACCACGGCTCCAAGAGCCTTTAGCGTGGCGTTGACGATCTGCTGCTGCTGCTGCCCAGCATCTCCCATACAGCAGTAGATGCCTCCCTGCAGGATATCCACCCCGCTGCTGCTGCTGTTGTTGCCTACAGCAAGCAGCATGCAAGCTGCAGCACACAGCAGTGCCTGTAGCAGCTCGCGCACCACCCCAGAGGCGCACCAGGCAAGCGACAAAACGCCTACCCACTCGTCGGCGCTGTTGCTGCTGCCGTTGCTTTCGCAGCCGCTTATGCCGCTTCTACAGCTCTCCCCATCTCCGCGATTGCAGCAAGGCAGCAGCTGCACGTGAACTCCGCAGGAGAACTGCAACACTTCATCTGCAGGAAAAGCAGCAACAAGCAGAGCCGCCACACCCGTGAACTCGCCATGAGGGAAGCGCAATAGCGGGGTTGTTGTTTTAAGAGCAGCGTCTACACAGGGAAGCTAGACCGCTAGAACGCTGCTGCAAGAGGAGGAGCTGCTTCGCAGCAGCACCAGCTGTTGCCGCGGCAAAACAGCTCAGTTCGCGATGCGATGATTTGAGAAGCTGCTTACTGTCGAGGGGAGCCTGCAGCAGCTGCGCAGGCGAATCGACTTGTCTGTCTGCCGCAAGCAGAAGGAGGCCGTGTTGTAGAAGCGAAGTGCTCGCTTCCCGTTTGAGCCTGCTGCTGATGCTGCTGCCACCTTCCTCCCTTGCTGCAGCAGCAGCTGCAGGAACGGCTGCTGCTGCTGCAGATGCGAGGCACGAAGCCCTGGCATTTGCTGCCGTGCGGATGGCGCTGCATGCAGCGGGAACATGCCGGGTGTACGTACAGGAGCTGCTGCTGCTGCTGCTCTGGGCTGCAGCGGCTGCAGCCGTTTTCCTGCTGTTGCTGCCTGTCTCGCACAGCAGCAAGACTCCGTGCTGAGCCAGCAGCCTCAGCGCCTTGTGATAGGCTTCAGCCAGCGTGTCTGTAATGGTCTCTGCCCTTCCCAAGACTGCCGCGGCTACGTGAAACTGCTGCTGCTGCTGATCCGCCTGAGACTGCAGCAGCACCCGCAGCACTGGAATTTCACGCAGCTGCTGCAGACGACGCCACAGAGGATGCGCATACACCTGCTGGTGCTGCTGGCGAGATTCTCGCTTCACGGACGCAGCCTCTGGCTGCAGCAGCTCGCTCTTCTGAAGCAACTCCTTCTCTCGGCTCAACTCTTTCTGCTGCTTGCACCGTCGAGACATCTCCTCCTGCAGCGCAGCAAGCTGAGCCTGCCGAGCCGTGGGAATGGAGGGGAAAGTAGAAGAGGGGGTTGCCGCTCGCTGACGCTGCTGCCCCTTGTGAGGCGCATGCAGCTCGCCATCCTGCTGCACCTGCTGCTGTTGCTGCTGCTGTTGCTGCTGCTGTTTCACACGGTGCTGCGTAACCATATCCGATTTCGCATGTGGGCGGAAGGAAGCGTTTGCCGCACGGGCTGCTGCTGTTGCTGCCGCAGCTACAGCAGCAGCATCAGCGGCAGCAGCAAGAGCTTTCGCTGAAGGCGTCCTCCTGCGCTTGCCTGGGAGCGCTTCGCCCGTAACAACAGCAGCAGCTGCTGCTGCTGCTTCGGCTGCTGCCTCTGCCGCTGCAGCAGCAGCCGCTGCTGCCGTATCCCACGCCTCCGGTGTAAGGAATTTTGCTTGGCGCTTCGCGTATCGACTTTTCAGCTCCACAGCTGGCAGTTGCAGCTGCAGCTGAGGATTCCTAGAAGACTCTCGTTGCTGCTTCCTCCCGTGCTGCTCCTGCTTCAGCAGTTGCTGCTGCTGCAGCTGTTGCTGCAGCAGCAGCTGTTGCTGCAGCTCCCGCAGCGGTTCGCTGCACGCAGAAAAGCCGCCTTCTGCTCTGCCGCTCTGAAACGCCTGCTGTATCAACAGCACCCGCTGCTGCAAATTGCTGCACTCGGCTGCCAGCTGCTGAGGCGAGACGACCTGCTGCTGCTGATGATGCTGCTGGGGAAGTTCGTCCTGCTGGAGTGTAGATACACCGGCATTGCGCAGGAGATTGCGAGCCCGCAGCAGCAGCAGCTGCTGCTGCTGCTCCTGCAATATTTTCTGCTGCAGCAGAATCTGCGCGTCCAGATCGTTAGTCTCCGGTGCCTGCATCAGGAGGGAGAGATCCTTCGGCTCTTCTTCCTGATTCTGTTGCTGCAGCTGTTGCTGCTGCTGTTGCTGCTGAAGGTGCCACTGCAGCTGCTGCTTCAGGCGTACCTGCTGCAGGTGCTGCTGCTGCATGTGCGCCTGCAGCTGTACCTGCTGCAGCAATCGCAGATGCGCTTGGGGGGAGACTGCGCTGTTGTCAGGCGCTGCCGCTGGTAAAAAGCCGAGCTGCGAGCTCTGGTTTTGTTGGTGTTGCTGCTGCTGCCGAAGAGCTTCAATTTGCTCCACTAGATCTGCTGGTTGCTCTAGCAGCACTGCCGCATGGCCTGCCGACGACTGCTGCTCGTGCTGGATGTGCAGCGACAGCGGTGACGGTGATGCTCCGAATGCTGCTGCAGCGCCATCACTGTCGTAAGCTGCATCCATTGCTGTGCGACGCCTTTGTTCGGAGTAGCCAGCGATTGACAACAGCCTTGTTGCTTCGAAGGCTTCGGTTGCAGTGGCAGCTGCTGCCACTGCCGGGTGCGTAGGTGTATGGACAAGAGCCGATACAGCTGCTCCCTCTTGCCCCACCGCCGATGTTTCTGTCACGTCAGTTGTCCCACAGACTGAGGATATGCCAATTGCTGCCGGATTTCCAGCTTCCGCGTAAATTCCTCGCCCTCTCGTGGCTTCCTCCGTTGCGGCAGGCCTTACCTACGGGGGTCGATTGCGGGTAGGGTGAAGGCTTCCAGCCTAGGGGTTGCAAAAAAGTGCATCCAACAAGTTATAATGGCGAATTTGCTCAAAATGTAAAAGCAACAACCGGAAGTCTCGGCGCGAGTGGGCCTCTGCCGTGCTACAGGCCTCCTGGAGCTCTCGCGCCGCAGCACTGCAGCGGCTGCGGGTGCTGATAGCATGGGAATGTGTAATGCGAGTGACACCCCCCAAACTCTGATGCATGCTACCAACAAGTTAGGAAAAAGATACGAAGCGTAAGCAGAGGCTTAACGGTGCCGCAGCCTTGCAGACAAGCCATCATCACGTTCTTGGCCTCTCCTGCAGCCCCTCCAGAGCACCCCTACTTCAAGATCCTTGGGGAAACCTTTTGAGGCTTCAGCCTTTTTAAGACTCTCGGAATAGGATTCGACGCGTGAGGCGATGATGGGGTCCTGCGGCTCTCCTGTGTAGGCAGTGGCGCTCAGTGCCACCCTACCCAAGTGTATGTATGCACACGCTATTTAGCTGCCCCCATTTGATGCCACTGGTGTTAGAGCCGCCGCAGTGGCAAAGGCAGCTGCTCTTTTCCTTAGGAAGATATTGCCAAGAGGTCCCTGCGCGAAACTGCCCTGGATGAGCTGCAGCAGGCTGTGTGCCTTCCTAAGAGTCTTGCATGTGTCGACACATGAAGGCACTTTCCAGAAAGCCTCTGCACTCGGCTGTCTTCTAGCAACGCATGTACCCTTCTGCTCGACACTGCAGTAAGTGCTGCTGGAGCAGCACGGGGAACCAAGGGGGAGGCAACAGCGGCGCGGAGGGTCGTCCACGCGCCTCTAGCTGCAGTTGCTACTGGCAGCTGGCACTCCAAAGCCGCGCATTCTCCGGACTGCTGGCAAATCCACCTTTAGAATGAGAGGCAAGGCAACTGCCTTCACGGACAGACTCGCATGTGGGCAGCCCCTTTTTTCACACGTCCCCATGAGCTTCTTGTGTCTGGCACACGCAACACTGCCTATTGCAGCAGCGATTCAGTAGCTCTTCTACCATAGAAAAAAATGAGGCAGCCTCTCGCCGCTTTTTCTCGTTACGTTCCGGAGATTCCGAGCCGCTGGCGCACTCTGTGCAGCCGCACAGAGTTCCCAAAAGTCTGGGGCACAGCCTCAGACTTCGTCATCCTGTGCAGTGTTGAGGGTGCAAAGGCCTTCAAGACAGAGACTGCCCTATTCTCGCCTCGGCCTCTCTCTTCACACCAGCGGCAGCGAACCAACGCTGCCTTAAGCTAGGGTGCTTATAGAGAGAGAAGCTCACGCGAACCTCCACGTAGCGCAAATCAGCATAGCTGCCCCGACTGCTGCTTGAGAGATTGCAGGAAGCGCCTTGTCTCTAACATAGGGGGCCTCAACGCGTTGGCAGCCCAACCCAGTGCTGTACTAGCTGCTTCGCCTTTGTAGAAGGCTCACCACTCGACACACTGCCTCTGGGAACCCCCGCATATGATGTGTAGCAAACATTTCATCCGCCGTGATGAGTGCTGCAAGCTAAAGCCTCAAGACACCCGGAGGCCCTCTGCGCAGCACTAGCCCGAGGTCGATCAAAACAAACAACAAATCAAGAAAACATCAGTTGTTGCTATTCGCGTGCGGCTGGAGGGTTTGGCCTCCTGCGTTCTAAGGCTCGGGCTTTAATATCCCCCCACTCACCACTGCCCTCTGCTGCAACAACCTTTTCCGTAGACTCCTCTCCTCTTTCTGCCGCTGGATAAGCACGTTTGGTGCCAGCGCACATGCAGCATTCTCCCAGTACTCTCTCTCGGGGTGTGGGGAGCAGCTGCGTTTCGACACCGCAGGTGCTGCTGCAATCGCCGCTTCTGCTTCTGCTTGAAGAGCAGCTGCTGTCCTGTGAAATCCCCGCAGCCAATTTCTAATGCTACATCGGCGTCGCTTCGGCTGTACGCTGCTCTATGCGCTGCGGTGCTGAGCGGAGACCTCGACTCTTTGCAAGCTCAGGTGATCCTCAAGCAACAGTGCTAAATTCTGGATGGTGCAGTCTCTGCCCGTGCATCTGGTGCCACACCTCTTCCTGCTGCTTCGACTGACGCGCTTGTTGCTGTCGCACAAAGCTCTGCCAGCGGAAAGCCCTAGACTGCAGCGCTTGGACTTGCGCTTCTGCTACGGTGGATGCCGATCCAGTGGCTGCTGATTCAGTGGCTATTGTTGCTGCTATTGTTGCTGCTGTTGGTGCTGCTGTTGGTGCTGCTGTTGTTGCTGCTGTTGTTGCTGCTGCAGGTGTCTCCTCAGCACCCCCCAAAAGCCCGATACTCTGCAGCAAACGTCTTAGTCTCTGCTGCATCCCAGCTCCTTCTTGGGTGTGCTGGTGCCCTAAAGTGTGCTTCTGCCTCGGCAGATGAGCTTCCAGCCGCAGCTTCAGCAACTCGTGCTCATATGCCTCGCGACTCCGTTGCAGTAGCTGCTGCTCCTTCCACAGTTGCGACGTGAGCTGCTGCAGCATCTGCCGTTGCTTGCGCGGTGCCATAGCGATGTCTTGCTGCCTTGGAACGCGACTTTCTACCGCTTCCGCCTGTAGATACTGCAGCGTTTGCAGGGCCACCCTCACGTTTGCATCCTGAACGAGCAACTGCTGCAGCAGCTGCTCCTGTTGCACTCTAAGCCCTTCCAGGCGTTGTTCCTGCTCTTTCCCTCCTTGCATCTGCTGCAGCAAAAGCTGCTGCTCCCCCTCGTGCTGCCGCAGCAGTCGTCGCACCTGCCGGTGCAGCTGTCTCACCTGCTGCTGCAAGAGGGATGCATGCTGCCGCTGCTGCTGCTCGGCTACCCACAACTGCTTCACCTTGCTCGCATCGTGCCGCTGCTGCCTCTGCTGCCGCCTTCGCCCTTCGTTTCGCTGGCAGCAGCGACCCCTCTGGGAAAGGGGTCTCAAGCGGCCAGAGCTGTGCTGTTGAGGCGGGGGTGTTGGCGTAGACACCCCCGTACATACGGCGGAGTGGGGGGAGTGGTATGCCAAGCTGCTGCAGTCGCTGCGTCCCCCAGAAGCCTGCCGCTGAGACGCAAACCCCACCTGCAAGCCCATCTCCACAGTCCTGCAGCTGCAGCAGGAGGTAGAAGCGTCATGCAGCTGCCCCTGCGCTTTTGTTTCCAGCTGTGGCAGCAGCAGCAGTGGAGGTGGAGGTGGTTGGAGCTGCTGCAGTTTGCCAAGAACGCGACGGCTGGGTAGCCAGAGCGATGGAGGGGAAGAAGCCGCTGAGCTGCGATGCGCCTTCTTTAGCTGCAGATGGTGCTTGAGCCGATCCCGTGGGGGCTTTTTCTGAGGTGTCGCTACACTCGAGCCGGTTTGAGCGGACACTGGGAGGGGGGCTGCAGCAGCCGTCCTGCAGGGTGTCCCCTCTTCCTGCTGCAGGGGTGAGCACCACTGCTCCTCTTGCAAATGAGGCTGCTCTAGGCTCTGGTCTGCTGGCTGTTGCCGAAGCTGCTGAGGGTTTGCAGGTTCATGGAGTGGCAGCGACTGGCTCGTGCCGCTGGATTGCATGGGCCGTTGCTCTTCCGCAATCTGCTGTTGTTTCTGCTGGAGCAAGTGCCTTTGGGGAGGGCGAAACCTGGGTGATGGTAAAAGATGGTGTTGCCTCCCCTGTTGTGGCTCCCGCAGCGTTTTCTGCACCTGCCCCTCTGGAGTGAGCAGCTGCTTTTTCGATGTCTTCTGCAACTCCATTTGGCGCTGCTGTCTCTGAGCTGGGGGAAAGAGCAGCTGCCGCTGGTTTTGGATAGACGCGTCTGTCAGCAAAAGTGCCTCGTCCTCCTCAAAGATGGAGGTTGGCAGGGAGGGCTCCCAGGGGGTGTCTTCTGTTGCGCATTCGCCTTCGAGGAGCGCTGCTGTAGAAATCCTACACTGTGGGTGCCATGGCTTCTGCGACTGAAGATGACACCGAGCCTTGCGTTGCTGCTGCTGCTCTAGCGGTGGTCCCTGCTGCACCTGCCGCTCTGTCTCCAGGGAAATGCCCTGCTGCCTGCAAAACATGCGCAGTGTTCGACTGGCCTGCTGGCTATCCTCAACAGGCACCACCCTTACGGATCCAGCAGAGTCTGCAAGCTCGAGGGCAGGCTTTTCGCTGGAATACGATGCACCGCTTGTGTCTACGGTTTGCACTGCTGCTGCTGCTGAATGCGGTGTCGCTGGTGGACGAAAAATTCTGGCAGGAGACAGCGGAAGCATGTGACGATGCTGTGGCTGTGGCTGCTGTTGCTGCTGTTGTTGCTGTCGTTGTTTCTGCTGCTGCTGCACGCACTGCCGCAACAGACAGCACAAGACCTTTCAAACGAGAAAGCGCAGCAATCTTACGTGCTTGAGCACAAAGGCGTCAAAAAGGCAGCAAGACACGGGGAAGCCGGAAGAACGGGGGAGGCTCGCTACAGAGGAATTACTCACAAAGTGCCAGGGGCCGCGAGGACTGTGACCTCTGCCATTCGGAAGGTGAAACCGCATCAGCCGTGCAGAAATCGGTCGCTTTGCTGCACATCAGAAAACAAAAGCAAGCGCCTAGAAGTAAATTTAAGGGCCTAGAGGCTGCGATCACCTGTCCACCGAGAATAACCCCCGGAGTCCACAAGTCTTTGCGCAGCACGGGGATTTCTATGCACTCCACGAGAGAACCCCTGCAGGTAGGAGTTTGCGCTCAATCTTCTGCTGACGGTGCTGTATCTGTTGTGTGTCTGTAGCTGCCATTGCCACCTTCTGTGCGGCTACACGGCTGGGAGTTTTTGCAGAGAAAGGCGGTTCTCACGCTTGATGGGTGGCCCTCTTGAGCCATTCGACTGGTCAGTAGCGGAGGTCACCGGGGAGGCCGATGAAGGTGCAGCTCCTGCAGCACCACACACCACAGGTGGTAATCATGTACCTTCGGAAGAATGCATTGCGCGCGGGTTGAGTCTTGCGTGTGAAGGTGCAGTGGCGATGCCTGCTAACCGTTGGCAGTTGCGGTGTGCAGCTTGGCGCCTTGTTGCTGCACTTTTGTCGGAGCAGCAGCAGCCAGTGAAGTGTGTGCCGCCATCGTCGGGGTAGCTTCTGCAACTGCTTCGACGCTTTCCGAAGTATATGCTGCCTTCCTCGCGGCAAAAGCTGCCCCCGCCGAGGAGCCTTGCTGCTGCTGATGCCACTGCCTTGCCTGTCCGTCGTGGTAGCTCTGTTGCAGCGATTTCCCCTGAGAGGGGTGTTGCTGCCCGCAGTGCAGTTCGACAATGCTGAGCTTGTTCTGTTGCTCGTGCTGCTGCTGCGTCATTGAGACTTCTCCTCTCGGGCTTTGTGCGTTCTGCTGCTGCGGTAAGAGTGTGTGCCGGATCACCTGTGACTCTGTAGCTATCAGCGCCGGAGAACTGTCACTGCGTGTTGGGTCCAACCTGCAGTTTTCTTCGGGAGTAGAGGAGGTGCTGAGGACTGGAGTGCGGTATGTATCCTCGTCTGCAAGTGCAGCTCCTGGATATGTGGCGGTGCGCACTCCAACGATGCCCTCAGCTGTGACATCCTGGTGGGCAAAAGCTGCGGGGTCTTTGTTTGAGGCCGAGGCTGCTGTCGCGAGCACTGCTTTGGCACTAATGGTACTGTTGCTACTGGGGAGAAGAAGAGCACCCAGCTCCTCGTGGGGTGTAGAAGTTTCCCCTTCTTTCACGGCATTAATATTCGTCCCCTGTGTTGGTGGTGGCTGCTGCTGCTCTTCCGGCTCCTGCTGTTCGCGTTGTTGCTGCTGTTGCTGGTGATGCTGGGCAAAATTATGCGATGCGGCAGCAGCATCCTTTGCTGCTCTGATTGCCGCAGCACCTGCCTCACTTGCCCTTTTAATGGCTGCTGCCGAGGTTTGGGCGAGCACGAGGTAGGAGTTGCTGCGCCTGCGCAACGCGTATTGCTGCAGTGCATGTCGATGCTGGATCTGCTGTAGAAACTGCTTTTGTTGCTGCAACAGGTGTTGCTCCCGCTTGCGCTGTTGCTGAGCTTGCCGCTCCTCCTTCTGCCGTTGCAACAGGAATGCTTGTCGCTCTATGAGAGACACACGATCCTGCGACGGCGACCCCGGAAGGGTAGATGGACCTCTGAGTTGCTGCTGCCTCTGTTGCTGTTGTTGTTGCTGCTGCTGCCTCTGTTGCTCCTGCTGCTGCTGCTGCCTCTGCTGCACTGTCTGGCCGCCGTGCGGCTTTAGCCGCTGCTGCAGCTCTCGCGGGAAGGCGGGCAGGAGAGGACGGGAGGTTCTTGGACTGCCGCTTTGGCTCCCTTGGCAGCTCGGATGTGGTTTATTCAGCTGTCGCTGCTTTTGCTCTTGCTTTTGTCGAGCGATAAGCTGGGACTGCCGCTCTATGAGCGACATGCGCGGGGAGGAATGCGTGCTGCCATGCAGCGTCACAGAGCGACTGCTCTGTCCAACTGCCGGCAGGAGCTTCAGCTTGCCCAGCTCTCGTTGTTGGTCGGGCTCCTGCTGCGGATCCAGGTGCTGTTGTTGCTGCTGCTGCTCTTGCACTAGCTGCTGCTGCAGCTCTTCTTGCGGCTGCTTCGTTGCCTTGGAGGGGGGCTGATGGTGGGCTTGCTGCTTTTGGCGTTCTTCCGGGAAGGGGTGGTGCTCCTGCGGGGGGGAGGGCAACAGCTGGCGCTGCGGCAAGGAGAGACAGAGGTCGTCCGTGAAAGGCGGAGCATCTCGTGCTAAGGCCTCTGCAAAGGGCTTCTCTTGCTCTCCCGAAATTCGGCGGCTTGTCCTCTGTTGCTTTTCCCGCACCTGCTGCGGTTGCTGGGCCTGGTCGCGGCGCTGCTCGTGACACGTTCGATGGCGTTTCACGAGACACACTTGTCTTTCCAGCATAGAGATTCGAGGAGAGTGCACTGGCTGCTGCTGACTTTCTGGAGGTCTCCAGTCTTGTTGCGTCTGCTTGGGCTGGTGCTCATGCGGCTCGCCATTTTGTGGCGCTTCGTGCTCTGGGTGTCCGTAAGGCAGAAAAGGAGGAGAAGCCTCGGGCAGTAGCGTGCTAGCTTCTTTGCCACCATACCGTGGGTGCTGCTCAGGATGTCTAATCGTGGCTTCTTCCCATAGAAGGCTGTTTGTGCAAGGCTGGGTCAAGGAGTGCCTCGAGCGGCTCTCCCGCAGGCCGTTTGCATCGTCTGTGAAGCGCGAGAGCCTCTGCTGCTGCGGCTCTCGCTGCTTCTGTGCGTGGTGCTGTGGCTGCTGGCGGGGGGAACGATGGTGGTGATGGTGGTGATGGTGGTTAAAGGGCTTCGCGGGAAGGCGTAGGACCCTGGTGACACCCCGCACATCCTGTCGCTGAGCCTCGGCTTGCGTCTTCTCCCGTGGCCTTTGGCTCCCCGTCTCTCTCTGCTTGCTCGACGTGCTGTTGCTGCTAGTGGACAGCGCGACAAAGGAGGCTGACTCCGTAGGGAGGCGCCTCCGCTCACTACTGGATGGCTTGGAGTGCTGTTGCTCTTGCTGCTGCTGCTGCTCGAGGTCCTGCGTTGATCGTGCAGGCGGCTCATGGGCATCGTTTGGCTGCGTATCGGCCGGAGAAGAAGCGTTCTGTTGACATCTGTATTGCGGCGGCTCTTGGCTTTGATGAACAAGTCCTGCATCTTTTTTTGGCGACTCTTCGGAGTGTTTATGGAATCTTCGAAACCGCCTTGTGGATGTGGCAGAGCCCATGGGGCTGTGAAGCTTTTCGATATTGCCGGCTGCGTCGATCTCACGCGCAGGAACGCCTTCACATAAGCGGCAGCTGTCGCTGCTGTTGTGGCAGCAAGCTGCCGCTAGCGCTTCTTCTGATGTACGCCCACAGGGGCTTGCCGCGTTTCCTTCAAACACAGGCTCTGGAGGGCCTGAAGGTGGGTGTTTGGAGTCACTCAGCATGGCTCTGCACGACTCCTCATGCAAATCAGCTGCGTCCGCTGTGTGCTGCTCCTGCTGGTGCTGCTCCTGCTGGTTCTGCTCCAGCTGATGCTCCAGCTCCTGCTGCTGCTCCTGCTGCTGCTCTCGCTGCTGCTGTTGCAGATATTGGTGCTGTTTGGACGCACTTTTCCGAGAAGGGAAGATGGACCTGAAGATAGTGTGCCATGAGGTTTTTGTTGAAGCGGAGGGGTTATAGTGTAGATTGGCAGCTGGGGAGGAGTCAGGACTCTCCAGATCCCCTGAATTCTGGGGGGGCCCCCTAGGGCCCCTTTCACCGCATGGCCCTCCACTCGCAACTGCCCTTCGGGAGAAGCGAGAATCCTGCTGCGGCTCAGCTCCCGACGCTGCTGCTGCCTCCATCTCTGACTGCACCGGGTGTCTGACGCCTTGGGTGGCCTTCACGAGAGGCTGAGTCTTACTGGCTCGCTGTGCGTCGGGAGCAGCAACGGCTTTCGCGGTTGTTTGAGGGGCCGCCTCCTCCAGAGCCACAGCGGCGCCTTCCACTGCAGCTGTATGCGCGCTGTTTGCGCCAGCAGCTGCCGTGTTGCCTGGGGGAAGGCCTGGCGTTGCTGCTGCACGCTGACTCTTGCCCGTACGACCCAAGACACGGGGAAAGCGACGAGGGCTGGTATGGGGATCCGCTGCAGCAGCCGCAGTATCACCAGCACCGCGCCTGAGCCGCTTGGACACGCGAAGGAAACTCTGTTGCTGCCCCCCCCCCTCCACCCCTGCTCGTGAGGAGCTTCCTAAGGCGTCCATAGTCGCCGGCAGTACGCCATAATACAAGGCCTTAGAACCGTCTCCTTCCGGTAGCGCTGGTAGCCGCCCCAGAAGGGGCCCCGTAGGCGACCCTGCTGGTGTAGGAAGGCCCTCTGCAGCAGCTACTGCCTGCTGCACACACACATGCACATGCAGCTCAAACGCAGAGAGGTAAGCAAGCGCGTCAGGGCATCTTCGCGGAGGCACCCCTACGCTGCAGCCAATGTAGCAACCGGTGCAGCATCTGGACCCCCAGCAGCAGAAGCTCGCCCTGTGACGCACGTGAAGGGGGAGCAGCCAAGACCCTCCGTGATCCCCCACGGAGCTACCCCGTTTAAGCGCAGGCAGCAATGGAGGAACAGACGCGGAGTGTGAGCCGTCAGGAGATCCGGGAACGTGTACATCTTGGGGGGCCTCTGGGAGCGCTGAGCCTTCCGCTTCCGAGGGTTTTCCCGAAGAGCCGGGGGGATCCGGAGAACTCCAAATTCTGCGTCGTATAGCCATCCTCGAGGCTCGTGAAGAGGGCGGTCAAACTCGAGGCGCAGGCTGGAACCTGGGGGGAGCCTTCGTGGATGCACAGGGGAGACCTAGGAGGGGAGAAGAGGCCAAATGAAGGGCGCAGCAAAGAAATGACTCTGTTGCTGCAGGTCTAGTCAGCAGAGAGTCGCAGCACCCCGAAAAGCTGCAACTGCGTAACCACCTGAGGCAACCCCCGCTGAGCCGCTACCCTTGGCCTCAGCGTCGGGTGACCTCCTTCGCATGAGACAAAAAGCGTCCTCTATATAAGCAACGCGCTGGCCGATTCCAGCTGAAAGATCCAAGTTTCTGACAAGGGAAAAGGACAGGAAAGAGGAGATCTCGCTTTGCCTAAACGGCCTCTAGGGGGACTGAACGCCCCGCACCCAGGTGACCCTGGGAAGTGAGCTCAGCGACGCAAAGAGAAATCGTTGCGGCGCGAACACCTGCCGCAAACATTGAAATTGGTTTTTTCAAAGATCTTTTTTTTTGAATGCGCCAGCCTTCGCTGCATGTGTTGTAGAAGCGGCGAATCCTGGATTGCACAGCCGAGCACCAACAGCAGCCCCAGGGATCAAGGGAGTCTGGGGGATGATGTTCTGGGTAACTCTTTAACTGCATTGCACCGGCGCGTTACCAGCTGCATGCCATTGAATTCTAAGATACAAAATATCCACGTTCCTTCGTAGTACTCCGAAGGGTTTCTCTTCCCTAACTGGGGACCTTGTTGCGCTCGCCTGCACGGTTGCAGAGATCAGGCCTTTCTGGACTATGTGGACATGCGATGCCATGGCACCATATTCAGCAATTGAGCTCGCTTTTTCTATTCCATCAACGTTACCTGAACAAAGAAAGAACTACACTGTCCCCACATGGCCTCAGATCACTGGAGCGCACCCTCTTTCCGACAAATACCGATTATCCGGCTAAGCTGCACCGGCCCCTCCCAAACGATCGGGGCAGGCAGTCTGGCTTAAGTTGACCTCGTGGGGAGAAGAAGCTTTCCTGGCTGACACGCACTGCGATTATTGAGTGTGCCCTCATGGAAACTTCAGAAAAAAGCCCAAGGCTACGAATAGTGTGATCCTTGTGGATCGGCAACATGTCCCTACTCCACGAAGTATCAATTTACGCCGCTTCACTCCATTTTCACTCGGGCCTCCCTTGAAATATTTTTTCTACGTAGCTACATATGTGGTATATATATAACTGCATATGGTGTAGTGTATAGTTACGCGAATACATATCCTCTCCATGTGTTTGTATGTGTGTGTATGTGTGTGTTTGTGTGTATGTGTGTGTTTGTGTGTATGTGTGTGTGTGTGTATGTGTCGAGGCCTGTTTATTGTGACACTCCCACCCAGAGATCCTGTAGCGTGCACCCTCTTTTTCGCTTCGTACAAATACATAGAAGGGCAGAGGAGGCGCCTTTTCAGCAGCGCCGTCCCGTGTCAGTCTGTCGGCAACAGTGCGCGAGGCGTGGCATTGGTGGGCTGGTGATGCCCTCTGCTGGAGCTCGACTGTTGCCTTACCCCTTTCAGGGGAGCCCAAGGGGGCTAAAAAGACCTCTAAATAGTCCCCCAAGGGGAAGCCCGTTTACCGGCTCTACGTGGCGATCCAATTAAGCGGCATCGAGGAGAAAAGCAGGTGATGACCTATCAAATACAAAGGCAAGGCCACTCACAGGAGCCTGCTACAGCTCCTCCCGCTGGTGCAATGAAGGGCTGCCGCTGATCCTGGCTGGCAGTTCACTCCCTTCGAGTACTCGTGTAATTCCCGAGGTACCTGTTGCCCTAAGAACCCTTTTAAGGGTACTATCTAGGTGCTCCCTGTGGAGGCTTGGGGAGATCCACCCCAGCCGCATCGCGCGTGTCGCCACTGGCCTCGCATGCAGCAGCAGCTTGCGCAGCAGCTGCTGCTGTACCTTGAGTGTCTAAATGCCAAGGCGTGGCGTGGTAGAGCATTCGGGCTGCTGCCGCTGCCTCGTACGCCTCTGGTGAGCAAGCTGCAGCTGCTGTAGCTGGGAAGGCCTCGTGTTCATGCTGTGGAATCCCTCCCATTTGCTGGAGCATCAAACGGCTGCCTCTGCCGCAGCCTACTACGCCTCCTCCTGCTGCTGCTTGGTGGAGAGCAGCACTGGCTTGCGGGTGCAGAAAGCCGCACTGGAGCTGTTGAGGCTTCTCCGGAGGCGCGCGCTGCTGCTGCATGTGCTGCGGCGTCTGCTGCTGGCCTGCAGCGAAAAGCTGCGGCATTCCGTGCTGCAGCAGCAGCGGCTGCTGCTGCAGCTGACTGTTGATTCTCCTGCTTTTGCCGCTGTCGTGTCGGATGCGCTTCTGGCAGTGCAGCTGCTGGTGAGCCGCACTGCCTTTGAGCCTGCGTTTTTGTCGTGGCTGCAAGAGTTGCCGCTGCGGCAGCAGCTGCTGCTGCTGCAGGAGCTGGTTCTGCTGCTGCAGGCATGACGCAGCTGAACCTTGGATATTCGACACCTCGGGAGCGTAGCAGCACGCCGTCCGAACGTCTGACGCAGCATCCGCTGAGGAGACCGCTACTCCAGCAGCAGCAGCAGCAGCAGCAGCATCTGCTGCGGAGAAGGGGCTATTACCATTGGGGAGGGGAAGAGGACTGCTGCTGCTGGGGAGTCTCCACTCCTCTGACGTGGTGGCATGCACGTGGACGACGCGGAGACGCCCCCTGGATGCCTCCTCTTGTTGCTGCTGCAAGGGAAAAGCCAAAGGCTGCTGCCGCTGGAAGCCTTCTTGTCCACACAAAGTCTCGGCTGCGTCTGGGTGCCCCCACGCGATGTTTCTAAGGGGCGTGTTGCCTGGAGAGAGCAGCAGCGGCGTTACCATGCCACTCCACCAGCCGTCGTAAGGGAGGCCTCCTGACGCATGCCCCTCTGCTGGAGCTGCCAGACTGCCTCCTCTTGCTGCCGCTGCTGCTGCAGCGAAGGCTGGTGGAGTGTACAGGCTAGTTGCGCTCACGGGGAAGGCATCCTGAGGGGGGCCTGCATGCGGAGGGGTTGCCACGAGCGCCACAGGCGATGGCTCCTTTGTCAGACGGAGGGAAGTGGACGAAAGGGGGGCGGATTCTGGAGACGAGGAGGCGCCAAGCCGATGGAGCTGCTGCTGCGAAGGCTGGAGAGGCTGGTGCAGCAGGGGCGGCTGCTTGCCAGCGAAGTTGAGGACGGCGCCTTCGGAAGGCACCGCATGCGACGGATACTGCGGCGTCTCCTCCTCTCCACTGCTGGCACTGCAGCAACTGCAACTGTCGCTGCTGCTGCTCGCCAGGAGCTGCTGCAGAGAAGGGATCTCCAGGGGGAGGGCTTGCTGCTCTTGCTGCTCGGCGGCTGCAGCAGCCGAAACTGCTCCTGACCTGCTCCGCAGTCTTTTGCGGAAGCCAGCAGGGGCATGTCGAGCTGCTGCTGCTCGCCTCGCAGAGGGCGCTGGAGAAGTGGCTCCTGCATGTCTTCCCAAGAAGGCGCTCGTGCTGCTGCCGTTGGGGGAACGACCACACGGAGGAGGCCAGTATACCCCCCCCCCCCAAGAGGAAGCACTCACATCGCAAGTGCTATCAGGCGTTCCTCCTGCTTGATGCTGCAGCTGGCATGGCGTCAGCAAGGACTGTGCCGGCTGCAAGGAAGAAAGGGGATGCTGCTGCTGCTGCTGCTGTTGCTGCTGCTGCTGTTGCTGCTGCTGCTGCTGCTGCTGCTGCTGCTGCTGCTGCTGCTGTGCAAGGAGACTCCCTTGCACTTCGGATTTGGGAGGCGACGACGACGACAACACCCCAAGGTCCTCAAAGCTCGCAAGGCTCCTTCCCGTGCAGAGACTGCCGCCATGAGGCAGCCAGTGCTGAGGCTGGCAATGCACGAACGGTTTCTGCTCTTGTGCATGCACGCCAGGCAATAAGGGGTGCGCGTGGGCAGCTTCTGACGGCTCCCACTCGCACAGGAGAGGAACGGACACGGCTGCAGGCTCCGGAGCAGCTGCTGGCGCGACGGCTGCAACGGCTGCTGGCGCCTCGCTGCTGCTGGAACCCTCCTGATGATACGCATACGGCAAACCGAGGCAGCAGTCTTCGAGCTGCAGCTGCTGCGCTGCAGCAGCAGCCACGGCTTCCGCAGCCGTTGCTGCTCTGGGTGTACGTCCAGTTGTTGTCAAGTGCTTGCTGCTAGGATCGGCTGGGCTGTGCCCTATGCACCACTGCAGCTCTGGGAGTGGCGCATGGCTCGATAGGGGGGGGTGCAGCCTCCGGGGAAGCGTTGCCTGGCGTTGCTCCTGCTGCTTGCATGCATACCACTGTTGGGGGGAGAAGGGGGGGTCGGCATGGATCCCGTGCAGCAGAGGTCTCTCGACGGTGTTTTTACACTTGGCAGTCTCGAAGGCGTGAGGCCAAAGGGAAGGATCTGGCGAGAAGATGGGCACCCCCTCTGCAGCGGCGGCAAGAGCAGCGCTGCTGCGGGGAGAACGAGGAGGCGCTGTCTGCAGCCCAAAGAGCGACCTCTGCGGCTGCTGGCGATGCAGCTGCTGCTGCTGCCGTCTGCCGGTGCTGCCGCGCTTGTTGCTGGCTGCTCGGCTCCTGGCTTCTGCGGGAGAACACGAGGGGGGAGGGGATGGAGGCTGCAGAGGCTCCAGAGCGGCGTCGTAGGAAAGCGCTCCGCAGGAGTCTGCCGCTCGGAACGCGCAGTCCAACAGATCCGTCTGCTCCGGCCCTGTCTTAGGTGGGAGGAGTCTCTGTTGCTCTAGTTGGAGCTGAGAAGGGGGTCGCTGGCTCTGCGAAGGGCCAGGAGGAGAGGCTCCGAAGGCAGAGCGCGCATCCGGGGGAGGCGAGGAGAGAGTCGAGACGGATGTGGAGAAGCAGGCATCTGCTGTCGCGAGTGCAGTTCCTGCTGCAGAGCCACCACCACTCCCTTTGTGCTGCTGGAGCTCTCCTCGCCCCTTCCGAAGCCTCGGATAGTGCCGTTTGGCCTTAATTTCAGGAGTCTGCTGTCTCAACAGCGCCGCTGCTCCCCGCCGCCCCCCCCCGACGACGGTCCCTTTGCTTTCTGCTCCTGCCGCTTCCTCAGCTGCTGCTTTTCGAGCGGAGGAGGAAGCGGCGGCAGCGGCACCTGTCACAGAAGAGGTGTTGTCTTCGGATAAAGCCCCCGAACCTCCCACAGCCTCCGCGGGAGAAGCTGCCAGCGCTGCTGCGCCTTCTGCTGACGCAGCCGCCGCCGCTGCTGGCGCGGAAGGCTGCTGCTGCCGCTTCCTGCGAGCTTCCGCGGCAGCGTTTCTTTTCATCTGCAGAAGGTTGGCTAAGGTCACCTGATGGGGACCTCTCGCCCTTAGCTCCCTCACCCACTCGATTTTCAAGCCGTTGCTGCAACAGAAAGAGAGACACAGCTCCTCCACTTGACGCCAGCACCCGAGGAGATGCGCTGCGTGAAGCAGCTCCTTCACCGTCAACCCCCCCCAGTTCGTCGTATGGCCAGGAACCCCACGTCCTAAGACAATCCCGTGCTCCGACAGAATCTGCTTCTGCAGAAATCGCAAAAACAGCAAGCACACCGTGGCGGCGCATCCCGCGGTGGTCGCAGATGCGCAGATGCGGAGCAGCAGGCGGCAGGCGGCAGGCAGCAGGCGGCAGACGGCAGACAGCAGACACTGCCGCTCTTTCCGGTGGGAAAGGCGGGTGGCGCGAGAAGCAGCAGAAAGCGCAGAAAGCGAGAGATGGGCATGCATGCACACGCTTGGACAGCTGCGGGGGCATAGGCAACTTCATACGGTTCAGAAACAGCCCTTAAACGGAAAAAAAGCAGCACTCACACATCGCGCAGTGTCGAGCGAACGCCGCTGGTTAAGAACGCGCCTCAAAATGGCACGACCTTTGAGTCCAATGGGCAGATCAAATCCGGGGAACCACTGCAGCAAGGGCCCCTCAGTATTGGCGGATGCTGAGGCTGCTGCTGCTGCTGAGGCTGCTGCTTCTGACGGTGTACTTATGACAGATATCGATGGAATAGAGGAAGAAGGAGCAGCAGGAGAGGGAGCCTTCTCTTCTGGACGGCGGCTGCTGGTGGAGACTCGCTGCAGCAGCAACACGGGTTGCTCCTGCTGCTGTTGCTCCTGCTGCTGTTGCTCCTGTTGCTGCTGCTCTTTCTCCTCCAGCTGCTGCTGTTGCTGCTGCTCTTTCTCCTCCTGCTGCTGTTGCTCTTCCTCCTGCTCTCCGTCTCTCGCCTCTCTCTTGAACGGCAACGCGCAGACTCCCACCACGCATTCGCGAGAATCCGCTTCCTCCATCACCATCGGAGTACCTGTGGGCTGTGCAGCCATTGGCTGCGACCCCTTTTGTTGCTGCTGTTATTGCTGTTGTTACCGCTGCTGCTGCTGCTGCAGCCGTCGCGGAACCTCGGATGTCAATAACAGGTGCAACAACACAAAAACAAAACTACGCAGCAACACAGCACTGTAAGACAGGCCCCCCATCACGGCATTCTGCGTCACATCCACACACTGGTGCGTCTGTGCTGCTGCTGCTACCGCTGCTGCTGCTGCATAAAACCAGGAGACGCCAACTCGCCAGGTGTACGGGCATGCAGCCCCCTAGGAGCTGCTGCTGCTGCTGCTGCTGCTGCTGCTGCTGCTGCTTTCGGCCTGCTGGCTGCCAAGGGCTTTACTTCTGGAGCCGCTCTCGCCGCCAGTGGCGCTGCGTCGTTGCTAGAAAAGTGCTCAAATAGACAGAGGAATGCATGCACAAGCCGATGCGAGAACTCGCCATCCCCCGCATTCCCAAAGCGCGCAGTTGATACTCCCGGCTCAAATGCAGTCGACGCCCTCGCACTCGCCACTGCTGCTGCTCTGAGGTGGCGCGGCGCGCGAGGCTGCGTGAGAAAAGCAGGAGGGGCCCCCTTTGAGGGCCCCTCTCCCCAGCAACACTGGGGAGAGGGGGTGAGTCTCTCGCCACTCGCCGCGGTCGGCTATAGGGCCTGCCGCAGGAAGCTGGAAGCCACAGCTCGCCGCAATTGCTGCTCCCCCCGAGCTGGCTGTGACTTCGCGCACTGCGCTCGCTCCTCCCTCTTTGTTGTGGGGGTGTCGCTGCAGCTGCTCTTGCTCGGCCTTCTGCACACTACCTGAGACACCTGGATACCGATGCGTCACCGGAAGTCTCGAACTTGGCACTGGGCGCTGCTGCGCACCTATCAATGTTGCAGCGCCTCCTGGTGCCCTTGGAATCCCTGCGAGATGTCTATGAACACCAAAAATACGAATAAAGAGCGGTGTCAGTGAAGGGTGGGGTTGTTGTAGCCGGTACTGTCGGCTAGGGTATGCAAAAGGATGGCTTTTCGTACAGGAGGAACTGGCTTGAGACACAGTCGACCTGATACCAGGCCTTTTCCAGCCGAATCCGCTGAGCTGCTGCTGCTGCGATGGCAGCACGAGCAGCAGCAGCAGCAGCTCCTGGTGCTTCCGCACCGAGCGCTGTCTATCCTTCTCGCTGCAGCCTCAGAGTCTGGCCCTTCGTTTCCTGTGACTTCTTTTAAATAAACCAATTTCGCTTTGCCTTGGTATCGTATTCGCACCAAATCACGAATTCCTACAGTCTTTATACTCAGGCCTTCGTATACTTCCAACGCGGGTACCCCCGTGGATGTCTCGTCTCCCTATCGCTCACCGACTCCGAACCTACCTGACATTGCGCGCGCTACCCGCCGCTGCAAGAATGCTGTTTTCTCGCATATTACAGGCTCTGCGGATACCTTGTGTCGCTCATACGGCTATCGGTGGTCCCTTTTCACTATCCGTTCCGCCGGCACCCCAGCATAAATGAGGCGCCTACGTCCGCGTCAACAACCCCGCTTTGCCTTGCTATTAAAACATAGAAAAATGTATAGTTCGCACTTAATTTCTAGCATTTCACTGCATTTGGACAGCCCTGTGAAACAGTCGATTGCGTTCTTTGACTGCCTTTTGGCTCACTACGCCCCTGTCGCCTATTGGCCCCAACGTTCGCCTTACTTCATTGTTAGAATACTTCCGTGTCGATATCCGTCCTCCATCAACTACTGGAGCGACAGAAGCCTCAACCTGTACCGTGTCTGACAAAATAGAGGCGTAGCAGTCTCACGAGACCACTCTGACTGCGCCGTGCTCACTCCTGCTGCCCTTCTCACAAAACTCAGGGCTCCCCCACGTTCCCCTCAGTTCACGATCACAGTATTTCCGTGTGTCTTCATCCGTGACACTCGAGGTATTGGAGCATCAGAAGCCTCAATCTGTACCGTGTCTGACAGAATAGGGGTGTAGCAGACCGACCAGTCCACTCTGACTGCGCCGTGTTCACTCCTGTTGCCCTTGCGTTAAAACACTGCCGCTAGAGCTAGTGCGGTGAGAAGCGCTTCTCGGCGTCATAGTCTGGATTGGCACAGTAGCGCAGCCCATTACGGTGAACGTTCACCCCGATCGTAGCAGGAAGCCTAAAAGACCAGCTGCTTCCGCCACTGTTGCTCGCTGCCGAAGAGCAGCAAACGGGGGTAGTAAGCAACAGCATAGGACCCCCCTAAACTAGCAGTAAGACTTTCTGTAGACACCTGCATTAGCAGCAGCAGCGCCTGGGCTGCTGTAGGGTTCCCTAAGCCCTTAGAAAACAAATGGACGAAAGGAAGAATCCTCCGACCCCACAGGAGCAACAATCTCTGGACTGGGGGAGAGTAGGCCCTTTGTGCCATTTTGGAGATTTTCGGATCTCCCGTATCTTGAGTAACGCAGCGCCCATCAAAGCGCAGCTGCAGCTGCTTCCGCTGCTGCAGCTGCGCTGTTGCTGCCGAGTATTACCCCCTGCAGCACCCCCCTTGCTGCGTTTGTTGCGTGGGATAGTGAGGGTTACTAGCTAGCTGGACGCCTCCTTCCCTGAGGGAAACAGGTGATGCTGGTGCTTCGGACGCACGCCCTTCAGCCCGTTGGTTGTAAATCTCCTGGAGAAGATGCTCAAACACCAATTTCACATTTAGAGAGGTAACAGCAGAGGCCTCGCTGAAAAAGAGGCCGTTGCTTTGGGCAAAGCGAGCGGCTACTTCATATGGCACCTGCACCCAGGTACAGAAGAACCGACACCACAAGAAGGACCACCATGTAGGTTTCTCTTTGCCCTCAAGCACACAGAAGATTTAGCCAGACTGTTTGTAATAGGGTTAGCTGCCTGGGTAGGGGTGCCAGTACACCCTCCAGGGTTCGGCAGGTAGCTGAGACTTGCTCGCTGCCCACAGGAGTGCAGTGTCATGCGCCGAAAGAAAGAAGCTTCTGTGCATGGGTACAGATTCTGAGGGGGAATAAAAGCAGTCACCTCTCTAAGGGAAGGGTCCTTCTCGCAGAGATCGACCTTGTTGCCAACCATCATGACCACAATATCCGGCTCAGCATTCTGTCTGAGCTCCTCCAGCCACTTGCTGGCGTTCAAAAAGCTTTTCTTGCGTGTTACATCATATACCAAGAGAGCTCCAACTGCCCGTCGGTAGTGAGCGGAGGTGATGCTTCTGTAGCGCTCCTGCCCTGCTGTATCCCATATCTGCAACAACGCCGCGCAGGAACGCGCACTGCTTCTAGCGTTTTCTCATAGGAAGAAACAGTTGCAACTACCCCACCCCAAAAGCTTGTGCCGCTAAGGCAGCCACTCTTTAAAGGTCGCACCTGTGCCTTGACAGTCCCTCCAACGGCGAGTGGAACCGTTCGCGTGGCGAACTCGACGCCGATTGTTGCTTTGGGTGTTTTCGGCAACGTCCCTCTGGTGTATCGAGAGAGCAAGTGGGTCTTTCCCACGGTTGCGTCTCCCACCAGAATGATCTTGTAGAGGTGGTCGTACACCTCACTGCCTTGTTGTGGCTGTGCCATGGCGGCTGTGGGTGCTGCTGCTGCTGCAATGCGCGAGGGACCTCCGCTGTATAGACACTGCAGAGCCCTCAGCACTGCATGAGCATCTGCCACTGCTTCTCAAGAAGCAACTGCTGCCTCTACGGTGTCTTGGCAGCCCTAACACAGGCAAGAGCAGTTTCGGCGGGAGAAATTTGGGTAGCACCGTGCAGCACCCCTTGTACGCTGCAGCGCGGCAAATCTGCTGCCCTAGTCGGTTCCCGCAGGAGACCGTGTGTCGTAGTCGCTGCCTTTGCAGCCGCACGTGTGGCTCAATGCAGCAGAAAACTTCAGAGCTGCGGCTCCTGCTGTTGCTCCCAGGCAGGGCTGCTGTGCTTGTAGTAACGCTGCGCCTCCAGAGGGATGGTTTGGTCCGCAGCTTTTTCTAGAGGCGCACGAATCTGCAAAAGAGAAACAGCCTGGCCTTGTGTACGGACACGCAGACTGCAGGAAACGCACGCGTGTGAGAATCACCGCGAGTCAGCCAGGTGTCGCCGCAGCCGCCTCAGCAGCAGCAACGGCAGCAGCAGCAGCAGCAGGTATCCGCGTGTCTTGCACGATCCTCAAGAGTAAATCATCAACAGAAGTACAAAGGATGAAAATTTGCAGTTCAGACCTCTTGAAGGGCTTGCCGCGCTGCTACAGAACCGCCACCGTTGTTGCTGCAGCTGCCGCTGCTCCCGAGCCGCCGCTGCCGGTGCAACACCAGCAGCAGCAAAGGCAGCAGGACGACACTGCTCGAGCGCGTTCGCAACTACAGTACCTTTAATGACAGCAGCAGCAGCAACAACGACAGTCGTTAAAACTGCTTTGAAGCCGTGTAGCATTCCTCGCATGCGGCGTTGTGGTTTAGGAAGGCGTCAGCCGCGTGCCAGGCCTCCCACCCTCCCGGTCCAAATTACTGGATTCACTAGCAACAACAGCGGCTGCCATAAGCTGCACTGATTAAAAGCAAAAATATTAGGGAAGCCTCGGTTCTTGTGGCTGCGATAGCCATACACTGCGGAGCGCCTCTATTCCTACGCGTGCCGGGAGTTGCTGAAAATACGCTACATCTTTTTCTGCATCGGCTGGCAGCGCCGCACGAACCGCTCAGCGGTCGCTTCAGGCTTTGTTTCAATGGCAGCAAACGAACAGAAGTCTTGACGCTTCTTCCTTCCGGCGCACCCAGTAAGAAGTGTCACAGGCTTATGCGACCGCAGCACCAGCAGCGATACGAAGAGCACGATTCCACAAAAAGCAAGCCATGCATCATTGATGTGTCCTGCTGCTGAGCAGGAGGCGCGTGAAAACAGCCCTTGAGCACCAGACATGCCCCTTTCCTTCCACTCCCTTCTCCTTCCCTGACACAGCGGTAGTCCTCTTCTTGGCTGACGGAAGAATTAGCTGCTTGGGCTGTACCACGACGCACGCTGGAAACTACTCCTGCTAGCCTCTAGCTCCTTTTGTCAGGGCCCAAGCCATTAATTCGAGTTCACTCGGCGCCTTTTTTCGCACTGCACGAGGAGGGAGCTTCGTTATGATGATGTATTGCGTGTCTACGTGTGTCTGTGTGCAAACTCCTTCTCAGGTGCTTACTCCCTGCTGTACAGTGACAATGGCAGCGCCTGCGGTGAGCGCTGTTTCAATGTCTATCAGAAAGAAGGCTGTCTTGCACAAAAACACATTTTCCCTGCTTCGCGACTCACCGCCATTGTCTCCTGCCTCCGTTCGAGCTCTTGAGTGCCGTAGTGCCTCGTCTGTCCTTCATGCTGCGCCAACTCTCTGTCTGCATCCGCTTTCGTCGTCTGTTCTTCCTCTCTGTCTCCTCCCTAGCTGTATAAAGCCTTTCTCACAGTTCCCACCCACCACTATCTTCTCCTCTTCCGGTAGCTGACCCCAGCCTCTCTGTGCCGTGTCTCCTTCCCCGGATGTTGCCTCCACCTGTTGCGCAGTGCCTTTGTGCCAATAGCAGCTCTTGCACCAGCAGCAGCATACACAGCAGGCGCTGGTCGCCTGCTGTCTATGCGAGGCGTAGGCCTCTTAGAGCTCTTGCTGCACCCCTGCAGTGTGCAGTAGAACGCTAAGACACTTGGCCTTTCGCGTGTGTTCTGTGCTGCTGCTGCGTTTGCAGGGAAAGGAGCAGCACGACTACCTCTTTAAGTTTATCATTATTGGAGATGCCGGGGCGGGAAAGTCGTGTTTGTTGCATCAGTTCATTGAAAACAAATGTACGGAAGCCTCACCCCTGCGGGCACTGATGAGTCTTAGCTAGCACTTGTGCATGCATGCGGCCTCACCGCGCCTTTTTGCTCCTCCGGTTAAAACACCAACTCTGACATCCCTTCAGCAGCGGCAACAGCGCTGCGGCAGTATGGCTGCCGAGGGGACTGCATCGTGCGAGTCTGTGCATGCGTCTGCGCGCAGTCCGCAAGGGTGCCAGCCACACTATTGGCGTAGAGTTTGCCTCAAAAGTCATCAGCATCGGCGGACGGAGGATCAAGCTGCAAATTTGGGATACAGCCGGGCAGGAGAGGTACAGATCTGTTACGCGCAGCTACTATCGGGGAGCAGCAGGAGCTCTCCTCGTGTACGATATATCCAAGTAAGCAAACGCGCTCCTGGTGTCTCCGCTGAGGAGAGGCGAGAGGAAAGCGGGGGGAGGGAAAAGAAGCGCAGGCGTGCTGGGAGCTCAAGTGGCCGCTGCCGTCTGTGCGTTCACCCGCTGTTAAGCGCCTTGTAGGACTGCTGCTGCACTCCTACAAGAAAAGTTACAACTGCCTGCTCAAGCAGCGCAGCAACAAAAGGCATTGCTGATCGAGGCCCCTTCCCCCCTCTCGCGCTGCACTGTGTGGCGTGCTCTCCCGATGTCACGCCTCTTGCAGATTCTGCCGGAGCTGCGCTCAATGTGGTGTTGGCTCAGTCGCGAATCGTATAATCACTTGATTAATTGGCTGGCGGATGCTCGTTCTTTGGCTCGCGCGGATATCTCTATCGCCATTGTTGGTGCGTTGCGTCACGTCCATGTCGCCTCTCGGTGCCTCAAGTTGCCTCGTCCTTACTGTTTTTCCACGCCAGCACCCCCACGCCTCATTTCTTGTGTGTGCTGCCTGCCGTAAAGGCTCTGCTGCCTTGCAATGCTAGTTTCGCTCTCGTGAGGCAGTGCCTCCTCGTACCAACCCTTCTGCCAAGTCTCTGCGAGAGAGAGACAGAGAGAGCCACCTTTGCTGCTGTCTTTATCGACCGGTGCTCTTGGTGCTTTTGCCCAGGCAACAAGATCGATGTCAGGGAAAAGAGGGCTGTGACCTTCCTGGAGGCTTCGCGTTTTGCACAAGAAAACGGTATCGCTGTAACCGCATTTCCCTTTACCTGGAGACGCCCTTATCTCCTGCTATCAGCACCTCTCTGCAAGCTGTGCTAGAACCTCTTTCTGCTTTTCCCCAAGGGATCCGCAGCCTACTTTGCCGCGCTGTCTCTTTATGAGGTGGTGCTCCTTAAAATGCGCGGGAAGCGGGGGGGGGGAAGGGCCTATCCGAACAGTAGCTGTGTCGTTTTTCTTTTGCCCTTACACATTTCGCCGGCTGTCTGCTGCACGGGGTTGGGCTTTTTTGCTTGTGGCACTCCTCAGACGTCCTCTTCTTGGAAACAAGCGCACTCACAGGGGAGGGTGTCTCTGATGTCTTTGTTCGCGTCGCGCGCCTCATTCTCAGCAAGATCGAAGATGGTGCGACAGCTTTGCGGGTGCCCTGTCGCTTGAGAAAAACCAAAAACGATGGGTGTCAGCCCCTGCTGCTTCACCCTTCCGCCTCACATAGGGGGCCTTTGCGACTTTTCTTGTGTCTCTGCTCAGGCCTCATAGATGCCAATGCGATGGCGGCGGGCTTACGGGCGACTGGCACTCAGCTTGCTGATGGTGAGGCTTGTGCTGCTGGGCAGACTCTCGGCAAATATCTACATATATATAAATATATATATATTTATTTATTTATTTACTTTTATAGGTATTTGCCGCCTCCTTGCCTGCCTCACTCTGGGCCTGAATGCCGTAGATATACATAGAGGCTCCCTATCTTCGCCCCTTGCAAGTGTGTTTCGCATGCTTCTACACGCGAATATATCTGTCCTCTGGTGTGCCTATGCCCCTACGCCATCCTTCATGAAGAAGAGATGTGGGCGGTTCTTTCGTTTCCCCAGTAAGACTCTCAACTGTATACCCACGGTAAAAACCAGCTTTGTGACTTTTGCTCTATCCCCCTATGCAGAAGGAGCCAAGACGGAATCCTCTTCGTGCTCCTGCTGAGCTGCCGCCCCTCACACAGCGACAGCCGCTTTAAGGCACTACCAGGGCCTTGAAATACATTTGCAGCAGAAGAGTGCACCTGTGGCAGCGGCAACCCGGTAGTATATATACCGTTTTTTCTCAGGATGCATCTAGGGCGTCCGGTATTTCCTCAGGTGTCTAAGTGCCCTTAGTCCTCCTCTCCGTGCTTGTCATTTTATCTGTGGTTTGATTCACTCTAACTGGCTAATTGAGTCCTTCCGAAAAGCTGCACGGTCAGAGCCAGAACGAGCACAGATCCTGCGTATTAGAAGCAGGCGAGGGGCTGAAAGTGTAGGGAACAAGCCTTGGTGGTATCGACCTGGCTGGTGCGTGCTTTGCAGCACCCCACTGTGACGTAGTGCCGTCATCCCTAGTCAATTTGTTCAGCCCTTCTGTGCACACCTCACGTTCGAGGCTTCTGGCGCTTTGCATAGTGGCTGTCCACACACTGGAGTTGTATGCAGTGTTGTGGGAAGTGGCGTTGGCTTGGCTGATGGCATACGGGACGGGCTTCGAAGGAGAGGCAGAGATGAGGCACCCGCAGCTTGTAGGAAAATCACGGAGAGTTCGCACACAGGTGTGGCTTGCGTTAGATTTTTTTATCGGAATGCAGTGCGGGGAGAGCCCTAAGGTGGTCTACCCATGCCTGTCATTCCCTCGCCTGTTCCCCCCCTCCAACAGGAAGCAGTCCTCCAAACGGCTGAACAATTGGGTTGAGAGTTGGGGGCACCGATGGCTTTCAGGGGACACTAATGTTGTCTAATTGAGAAGGCCATCAGTTCCACCAGCCATTAAATCCTGGAAGTGGGCCTGCACAGCAAGTGACGGAGACCCTCTACCCCAGAACTATGCTAGAGGGTGCCCGCGTATATCTTTGCGTAAGCATAATGCCGATCCCCCTGCAGTAGACAGGATCGAATGCGGCGATATTCTAGTGTGTGGTGTTGGCGGCTCGCGGCCGCTCTGCCAAGGATCCTGATGAGGAGCTGAAGCGAGCCTCGTCGTGGGAGTGGCTACCAAGCTAGCTGCACAGGAAACAGAATCTACTTTTTTCCTTTCACTACAGTGTATTTGCCTGTCGTCGGGGCCTTTTGCTGCGCTTGGTTCTGTTGAGGAGGTAACCGGTTGGGCGGAAAAGTAGCGAACTGTGGCCGGTGATTTTTATCACACGCGAGTTGTGCATGCACCATAAATGAGACGTCTTCACAAGGGCTGTCGGCAGGGAAAGAAAGGCCTCTGCATTTTTTAGAATGAAACGAAATCATCAGGCTGAGTGAGCCTAGAGATTAACATATGGCACTAGACGTCCTTCAGTGGCGCTAAGACCGGATCGTGCATCAAGGAAAGCTGCCCAGTTTTTCTTGGTTGGTTATTCAGGTGTTGGCTGGCCACTTAGGGAGAGTGATCTCAAGGCGCCAGCGCGTGCACTTTTCTTCACTGGAACTAAAAGTGGCATGGATGCGGAGTTCATTGTAAAGCTGGAAGTGCACTAGGCGAATCAGCACGCCAGTGGTTCTTGGCAGCTTCTACATGATGCAGCTCTGGACTTGGCGGTGAACTTTGCGTTTTTGCGCGGAGTACAGAAAAGGTAGTTGCGTTTCGCCCACTATCTACAAAGGTGGCATTGCTGTCGTTTGATCACTGCGCCGCAAAATCATACAGGAAATCACCATCCCGGTTTCCCACAAGGCCTAGGGTGCACCTGGCCACATGTCTGCTCCTGCCCCTCAAAACTGCAGCAATCGGTAAACGAACAAAAAAATGCAAGCCAGCAGAGGAAACATCAAGCATCCAGACCCTGCTGGGCATGCATGATAGCATGTCATCGCTTGGAAGCCTGATGAGGCTGCGGCATCGCAGAAACGCCAGCCTTAAGAGCATGCTTCAGCTCAGCCTGCAAGGCAGACACTATTTCATCACAACTAGAACAAAGACGAGCACTGTCTTTACAGCGCCTTCCGTGAGGTTCATCTACCCTTGCAGACAATAGAGGTGACTGATTTCACAGATACTCTTTTCATTCGGATGAATTCGGTGCATGTACACCACTAGTCCCTAATATTAGACGCACGTCCTTGCCAGAAGGCCTTGGAAGGCTTTCAGGCTTTGCTGCAGTTCAGGCAGGGTCTTTGCAGCAAGGGTTACCCTACAGGCACATGACCCTTCTATCCTCATGGCCAGTGCATGCCAGCGCTAAGGAAGCGACAGATCTTCCCCCATTCTCTGCTCCTTCTTAGGTAACTCATATCGACCGGCGTAACAAAATGTACTATTGCTCTCCAGCAAGGGCTGGTGGCAGCGCCATCGAGACTTTGTGTAGAATGATTGTCTCTTGGCCTCTAGTGAGTAAGTCTGGTGTAAAAAGGCTATCACTGTAGGCGTGTCGGCACTGCAATCCCCTACACGTATATTCAAACGACGCAATGCAACTTGTTACTTCGGCTGCTGTTCCCCATCACCACTGCTAGTCGAGCGGGCACTCCGGGTAACAGTTTTGAATTATTTCCTTCAAAGCGATATAACACTGCAGCGACGCTGTCGCACTCGCTCGAGCAATAGTGTGTCCTCGTGACAGAGTAACCCCAAAGGTGCTACAGTCTCAGTGGCAGTGAGACAAAAGCACATGTTGACGCTCTTCAACAAGACACCACAGAAATGCATAGTGGCTAGCCGCTAGGCGCACCAGCCAATTTGCCAATTCTTTTCTAGTTCGTAACAGAGCCCGAGTACTGTAGTAAAGGATGCTTTAGAGTTGCCAAGCGTGCTACAATCAGTGCCTTGGTCCACTTCGTCATGGACTTGCGCGATAGGCTCAGCGAGGGATGTTATCAGCACTGACAGATCTAGTTGTGTGCTAGTGCTCTAGGGCATTAAACAAGGTGAGAGGGCTGCCACCAGAGGATTCTAAGGGTGCAACAGTGTATGCATCCAGCTAGCTAAGGATCATCATCCACGTGCTCGTGTTTCCGCAATCCCAGCGAAAAGGGCAGGTAGATTCTTGGCGGCAGAGGCGGGTACAAGAGCCCGTATATACCTTCCCTTGTCTTGAAAGGCTGTGTTTCACAGCAACGTCTACAAAGAAACCACCACACTTTGTGCGCAGCGGCTTGAAATTGCGAAGCTCGTGCTACAACAAGACCATCCTCGTCAGGGATATTCTCGGGTTTCCCGGCATATAGAATGGTTGGAGTCTAATTTCACTTGAACTTGCGTGTGCATACTAAAGATGAGTCCCTTGCTGCCAATCTGTCACGCTCCCTACTGCCTAAAGCTTTGCTTCGGGAACTTCCTGGCACCCCGTGCTACAGTGACTGTAGATTAGAGGCCCCCTTTGCGTGTAGTGAATGCATGTGGGGCAAAATCCCGCACATGGCTGCCTTAAAGGCAGTGCACGGCCCCCTTTTGTCAGCGAAGCAGAAACGATCACACACTGAAGCTCTCGCATACGCCCCGTAACCAGTGGTGTGGCCCGTGGTGTAGTGCAAGATGCTTTCCCCCTACGAGAACTCCTTGGGTACTTGAACCAGCTAAATTTACCGCAAAAGTCTTTTTGCGCAGATGAAAGGGGATTGTGTATGGTATCCTGGCGGTTTCTGTACTCTCGGACGTTAGCAGCGCTGTTGCTTGTGCTGCACGTGCTGCTGCATGTGGCCCTGTGCGTTCGAGTTGGCATGGGGCGCACTGGCACTTTGCACGAAGAGTTGAGCGATGCAGAACACCTCAATTTGTCCGTTATCTCTTATATGAGAGAAAGAGGCAACAAGAGGCGATCGATTTCGAAGACCTGTGAGACGCCCTCGAGGCACCTCAATCCAGCGACCCTACGCCGCCTTGAGGCATCCTCACGCATTGCAGCACCGGGAGCGAAAACTGCTGCTGATCTTGCTGCATCGCATTCCGTGCAGCAAGAAGGCTTTTGCCTGCCGGAATGGAAAACACAGACGGGGAAGGGGGCCCCCACGGGGGGCCCCCCGAAGAACCCAGTGCCCATCAGCAGCAGCCCGAGCCACAGGACAAAGGTGATTTCAATACCGCCCCCAAGGTGGAGCTTTTGGGAAGGCAGCGCAGCGTCAAATTTGGGGATAGCACTCAACAAATGGATGACAGCAACAGCGTCGAGCGCATCAACCGCAGCGGTAGCGACAGCTCGGATACCCCCAAGCAGTCTGCAGTGGACTCTGCATCATCCACAGTAGACTCAGGCAACCGAGAGCCTCCTTCTTCTGGCTCTGCGGCATTGCCTTGTGGCGACATTACGGACAGCAGTCACAGCGCAGTTGGAAGCAGCACAGCAGAGGATGGATCTGCTCAGCTCCTCAGACGCCGTACGACCCGCCTGCAGCGCATAGGTTCGCGGTGTTACGAGGGTACCACCAAGCCCAACCCTAAGCCAATCGACGCGGCGTCTAAGGCTGCAGAGTCTGCTGCCTTGCTGAAAAAATCCTCGAAGGCACACACTTCAGAGACTACAGCTCTTCCTAGTGTGAGACTTTAGGGCCTTAGGCTTTGGCTTCTAGGCGTATGCGGGGTGGCTTTGGAGCGCTTGTTCTACTGCCGTACTGATGCAGAGCGAGGGCTGCTCCCACGAGGGCGTCTAGCTAAGGGGGTAGAGCGCTCGCTTGCATGCGAGAGGTATAGAGGGATTTTTTGCTTATGCCGTACTGGGTAACACGAAAAACCTTTTCCTCAAAGATTCTGCTGCTAGCAGTACCGAAACGTCGCCATTCTACATGCTTTGGACAAAAATCCAGTTGGATATGACATGCGCATCTATTTTGGATACTCTTGCCTCCGGCATCCTTATGCCGCCAGCGGCACAGTTGCTGCTTTTGCTGTCGTGTTGCAGCCTCCCCACGCGCCGTCTAAGGACCTCAGTGGCTTCTACATGAAGCTGCTGGGCGAGGATTGGGAGGAGCAGCTGCAGGAGATCAATGCCCAGGAAGTTGAAAATGTTTTTGACGGTGAGATGCTGCTGCCACGGTAGTTGTTGCTGCTGCTACGGTGTTGAAGTCATCAATGGGGCCTAGTGGTGCATGCAGCTTATTGGATGCTGGCAAGCTGTCTTCGGCCGACATCCGCGAACTGTCTGTTTTCTGCAGGAGAGAGTGCGACCTGTAAGGACGGCGTAGACCTTGAAGGCTTAAATATTCCTAAAGCTGAGAATTACCAGGGGAAGTTCAGGCAGCGCATTAGAAGAAGAGACGCAAACCGGAACCAAGACTTAAGGTGAGCACGTTCGTAAAGCTGGTGCGGCTGCTAACCGCGTTTGTGTCGTGTCACTGTTACGTTTTGCATCCGTCAGTTCTCGCTATCCACCCGTGCAGAGGCCGAATGCTGGTTAGCTAGGAGGCTGGTTCTCCTTCTTTGGACTTGGCCCTCTACTTTCTAGCTGCCCTCTACTTCCTAGCTGCCCTCTACTTTCTAGCTAGGCGTATAACGAGCTGGAGTCGGGTTGTCACCTTTTTCTTTGACAGCTGGTAGGGGTTCCTTCTGTCTGGCTGTGTTTACGCCCTCCTCAGTGACCAGGTTGCGGATGATCTTCAAGTTGCAGATGACGAGCCTCTCATCTCAGCCGACGAAATAGCGTGAGCAGGCGCTAAATCCTAAGCCCTTTGGCGAATGCCGTGATACTTGAACAGCAAAGTAAGGTTTAAGGGTTCCAGATGTAGTGTTTCCTGTCTAGGGGAGTTGGCTTTTCTTTATTGGTCCCAGGGAAATCAGAGAGAGCGCGTGGAGGCCTGTGGGGGAGGCCATTCCCCCTCTCAACACTCTTGGATTGGGATACCACCAAGCGTGGGATGTTGGAAAGAAAGGATGCCTGGCAGCGAAGGTCGACGTCATTTGGACGCCGTCGTTGGCTTCGAACAGGCTAAGATTCTTCGTCATGGACGGTACTGATCCAGGTGTGTGCGCTTGAGATGGTTGTTGAACCATGCAAACAGAGGGATTTAAGTACAGACATAAACCAGAACTGAGGGCACCCAGGGGGACTACTGCTCCACTCCTAGTCGTCTGCCTGCCCCTCCACACATCCCCGCAAACGGCGGCACGTGGGACCACTCCTCAGCGTGTCCACTCGACTCAATGTCAGCAGTATCATGAAGTACAAACTAGGGAGTCACGGGAAGCACGGCCCCATTCGTGCCTCAGTCTGGCTGTAGGGGGCTAAATCTCAAGCCCACAACTCCCCTCAGATCCTCCTGCGAGCTCAGGATCAAGAGGGGAGACCCTTCTTTCCCACATCGTCTGTTTTGCTGCTGTCCATGCTGCTGATGCTGGCACTGGTGTTCTGCCGCGGCTGCTTCAGAGTCGTTTCTTACGTATTACAGCAAGTCGGATCTGCAAGCAGCGCGAGGACTCTCTTCAGAAAAGTTGGGATCTATAAGCGCCTGGGATCTGCGGGACGGCCACTGGACGTATCCGAAAGCGAAGGTTTTTATAAGGCGATCGGACAAGCGCAACAGGGACTGTATCTTGGAGAACTTCGCCTCAGACTTTTATGATGCGATGCTTGTTTGTCTTTGGTGAGGGTCAGCGACACGTGTTGAGGGCTAATGGAGTTGAAGGGCAGCCATTTTTTGAGGTCTCCCACCTCCTCTGAGGGTTGCAAGTAGTGCACCTCCCCCCTTTACGCGTTTGTGTCTGCCGCTTTTTTTCTCGGAGGAGAGGACGTTGGGCCTTGTCTCTACCTCCACTCAGTAATTTCGGTTTTTGACGAAATCGCTCATCTCAGCAGCGTCTGAATGAATGCATTTATCGGTGTGCGCATGTACGCAAGTGTGTCTTTGTGGATACTTTTCTGTGGAGAACCTAGTTTGTCATTGTTTCAGGCAGCAGCAAAACTTGTTGCCTTTGCTTCACAGTGCCTGTGTCTCTTTTGTTCAAGCAAGGGCCTCGGTTCTCTGTGATGGTGTCTGCGCGCATCTCGCGCCGCTCAGGGAAATGGAAACGCAGGCAAAGATTGAGCTGCTGAAGAAGCAGAGAAGGCAGGAACGCAGCAGGAACCGCCGGTCGGGCTCCGTCTCCAGCACAGCTGCAGCGCATGCGAGTGGCAGACTCTCTGCAGCGGTTGTTTCCTATAAAGGAGGGCATGTCCTCCCCCTGCAAGGAACGGCTGCAGGTGGAACCTCCGGAGAGGGGCTCAAAGGGCCCCGAAAGCCCAGGCAGTCGATCGTTCTCAGCTTAGTCCGCGAGATTCGCCTGATTGGGGAAAGGGAGTGGGTTGTTAAGTGGGTTAAGGAGAGGCTACAACGACAGAGAGGCAAGAAACTGAGCAAGGGCCCCCCTGGAGCGCTGCTGAATGGCGTGCTCCCCGAAGCTCGTGTAGTTCGTTCTTTAGCTGAGGCTTCTCCTTCCAGCGGAACCACATCTCCGACACAGGAGCATGGAGAGCGGAGGCAGACTGAAGGCCGTCAAATGGCTCGCAAACCTCCGGGGATTCCTGTGGTTCCAGATATCGTAGAGTCAGCTATTTTGTCTGCCCAGCTGTCCCCCAGGGGCAGAGAGGTGCAATCGCAGGCCCTTTTTGGATGAGACGCTGCAGCAGTCAAAATATTGGCGCAAAGACGCAGCAGTGAATACTTGGGAATGCTGTGTGGGCGCTCTCTCTCTAAATGTACCTCGTTTTTCCCTGTTGATCGAGGAACCGCTACTCGTGGCGGTCAGTCTTTCGCGAGTCCCCCCGGATCCTCGAGTGGGGAAGCTACAATTAGGCAACTTTTCTCCACTTTTGGCTCTTTGGCGGCTAACACAATGAGCTTTTGCTGGACTTTTTGCAGCACATCAAGAGAGAAACCGATGATTTCTAGTGTTCACCTTGGAGCAAGTACCTCGTTATCTCCTTAGAGCCTTGTGCATTTTTCTTCCCCATTTTGATTGTTGGGCTAGTCTTCCATACATTTTCGACCCGTGAATCCTTGTTGCTGTGGACTGCAGTGGTGAGTGATGCTGCAATAGGCGCGACTACGGCAGTGGCTGCCTTCTGGGCTCGCCGCTACGGTCATGCATACATTGAATGGACACAAAAGGCACTGATGTCTCCGTACTTGAGCGCCTTCTGGGGTGCATGGAACGAAAAATGTAGAACGGGTAGTTTTTGTCATAGTGAAGTCCCTGCAGGCTGTGGCTATACGGCAACTATAAAAACTGGTACCCATTTTCTCTTTAGTCGTTCTATGTGTGTTGTCCATATGAAGCTTTTCAATTCATCTTGTGGCATTTCATCACATTTCTTGGGCCATATCACCCTTTTTTGGGCTCGTTGCAAAGCCCCTCGGCGGCACGTCTGTGCTCGCGTTCAGACAATAGCGCACTGCAAATAAAGCAAATCTACATTCGAGCTGAGAGAACAGGAGCTTTTGTCTACATGCTGTCTTGTTTGAAGAGCCATTAACCACAGTGGATACTTTAGATTTCAAAACCGCGCTGACCCGGGATCGAACCAGGGACCTTTAGATCTTCAGTCTAACGCTCTCCCAACTGAGCTATCAGCGCCAGGCGGAAGGCCCTGCTCAGCAGCACAATTTTGGTTTTCAACTAAGAAAGCCTTTTGGCAATTTTCAGTATTTGTACAAGAGATTCAAGGAGAAAAGCGGCCTGGAGACACTCCAGGAGTAGCTCTAGCGTCGCCAGCCAGGTCACTCCTTCTTTCAAGCCTCTATATCCGAAGACGTCTGGACGCAGCCCTACAAAATAGCAAGAACTCAACGCAAGTAAAATGAAGCGCCGATCGGTCTGTTGGTATAATGATGGGAGACCACGGTACTATCTAAAACTTTGGCGTGGCCGTGCCTCTTGCTGGGCTGCGACGCATGTATTGGAGAGACCTAAGCCCCAAAATTGCTTTTTGCAGGGGAAATTAAAACATCATTCTTTACGAGAAAAACTGTGTGCAGCTCGGAGACACCCAGGATGGCTAAGGAATAGACAGTTGCTTCCTTGTGGCACGCTCCTACTAAGATCAGTAACAGGAAGGCCAACTACTACCCGTCACTGACCTAGCAATTACTAGGAGCCACTTTCAACAATTGCATCCCAAGGTATGCAATAGAATATCCCAGCCACCTTATAATATCAGGATACTCTCTTGGAAGTGGTCTGACTGTCTCGAAGTACCCAGGGGGGAAAGCCGCGCTTATTAGCACTCTTCTCTAAAAAGGAGCCTCCTCGATACGATTCCTTTTTCCTGATGAAGAAAAGCACCGGGGAAAGTGCCTTTCGGGGATATTCATTTTTAGGCATACCTAGCGTAGCCGCTTCTGAAACGGTGGGGCAGTCAGGACGCAGGGTTTAACAACTATCCTTTTTGCGCAGCCCGACACTACCCTAAATCTAACCAATCTGCATAAAAATAGGTAAATAAGTGAATTTATACATACAATAGAAAGGTAAATTGGGCCGTCAATAGCATACGGTGCATTTTCCATTGTGGGGCGGCAGGCTATCCCCCCGCATGCCAGTGGGGCTCGTCAGAAAGCGCCATCCGTTCGGGGGCGGTTCTATTGGTCACATCCGTGGAGGGCGCATCTTTTATGGTGTTTCCCTGTCGAACCCTCGGGCAAAACCCTAAACATTTCACGTGATCCCTCAAAAGCCCGCAGCTGCCTACGGCAGCCGCCTGTCTCTGCAAATAGTGGTGTTGCTTTTTGCTGCACCCTACGCCTGGACAAGCGGGGTAGATTGCGTTTTTCTTGAAGCGGTGGCGTTCTGATGGGTTTGCCCGCCTTAGTGTAACCCATGGAGCCCTGCACACGGATGTTCCTGCAGGGCTCAGCAGAGGTGTCCATCAGCGCTGATGGGAACTCAGCTGCTGCGGGTTCGCTCCCGGCCTCTCGGCTCTGGCAGATTTCATGCGTTGTCCAGGTGCCCGTGTGGTTCATGCTAGGGGTTAAGAAATGTGAGGGACAGAAGAAGTTGGTTGTGGAAGCGAGCAACTTGTGTCATGCATGACCAGGGAGGTGCGGTAGGGAACGGGGGCCACGGCAAAGATATTTTTTCTCTACGGGTTCAACAGCATCGTAGTAATTAGGATAGCTTGCGATCGTGGATTTTAGCTGCTTTATTCTCAAAACTCCCATACATAAGTGAGCGATGCGGCTGGTAGTTCGCTGTCGAAACTATGCCTGGGCTGGAATGTGTTCTTGCGTTATTTGTGGCCCTGTGCATATGTTCAGCGTAAGCTGTCGATTTTATGTATGGGAGCTTTTAGTCACTTGCTTTGTGTAGGCGCTTCGGTGCCAACAATAGCTGTTCATATGTGGAACTCGGCGTTCTGTAGCTTCTTTGGCAATTACTGCTGGTTCAGAACGGAAGTTGGGCTCGCGACATGAACGGACCATGTAGAGTACATTTCCATTCCAGTTTAAGCATCTGCAGTCTGAAGTTTAAAACACGCATCTATTGCGCTAAGATTCATTGAGCTCAAACTAGGCCCCGTGGCTCCTTGCTTTAGTGGAGTCGGGGCTCGTGTTGTACTTACCTGGAACGCAGCACCTACGAGTTTGTGGTTGTGGAGGAGCTCTGTGGGAGTTAAAAGCTGCACGCAGAACAGTCTCCTCTTGTCAACGCGTTGCCGAAAGCTAGGGGCTGGCTTGCTGAAGTGTACTTCTTTACGGTGGGGCCGAAAGTTCCGGAGTGAGCATTGCGAAATTTTGGGGTCATGGCGTTCCGTTCCATTTTGCATGTTTTGAATTCATCCAAGACATACTAGTTGTTTACAGGACTTCGATTCACAGTTCATTTTTATGTTTCACTATCACGGTGTGCCGGTAGGTTTCGTGAACTGCTTTAATTCATGCCAGAGCACTGAGGAGACTAGCCCTTGGAGATTGATATGCTGTGCCGTGTGTGTCAAGCCGTTGATATCGAATCCCACGTTTTGGAGTGTTGGGTTCATTCCGTTTTCGTATGTACTTTTTGCTAGCCTAAAGAAGATGTATAGCTGAAACGGCTGCGTATGCGCTCGCTGACACTTCGGGACATCGGAGTCGTGCGCAGTGGGCATGGGGGAAAATGGGCAAACAAGCAGATTGTCCAATTCATTTTACAAGGTTGAGGCGAGCACAAAAAATTTTGTGGATTTGGAACACTGGCTTCTGCCGAATTCAGAGTTCGGCTGCCGACGGCTGGCGGCCCCAGGGGTTGCCCAGAGCTCAATTGAGGACCAGACTAGGAAACATCGCGTCCAACTCTCACCTTTTTTGAGTTGTCTAGCAATAACGCGCACGAATTTGGTGTACGGTTCCATGGTCAGTGGATTGTGATACTGGACAAAGGCTGGAAGTCTTCGAGGTGGTCTGGTCGGCAGCGCTCGCCAGTAGGAGCATCACCAGGAGCTGTACCGGATTCTACTCTCATCCCCCTTCGTCTGCCAAGGGAACACAGTTTTTGGCATATTTTTGCTTGCTACAGAGGCCTTACGGCTCCTAAAGGTCATGAAACATAAAGATCGACCCCCGATTTGTCCACCCTGCCCTTTTCCGTAGTGTCTTACGCTCCACGCCCATTGCCCGTGGCCACGATCCCCCGAAAGTCGCAGTTCACTGAAATTTGACATTTCATTAGACTCATATCACTACGGAAACCGCAGAAGCTTGTTGCAATTTTGAGCACAACACCCACACGCTCCCAAAGCCAGCTACCGCCCAACGCAAGCTCACGGTCATCTCCCACTATCAAGAAATCACTTCTTCGAATGCTCGGAGCATACGCATAGGATGCTGCCAGACTTACCGGAATCCCACAAAGACTCTCTCGAGCAGCGATGGCGACTCATATCGAAGGCGGCAGGCGAATATCTCCCCACGGGGAACTCAGGCCGCATCCTCAAGTCCTAGAAACAAGTATATATACACGCAGACGGTGTTTCTGTTCAAATTAAATCGCTGACATTGTGTTTGAATAAAAATTTAGGCGTCACACTGCCACTTTCAATCTGCTCTCCAGCTTTTGCCAACCAGATCCCTTCGTTTCTGAGCCTCTATCTTGAGTTTGCGCGCCAGCTTAAAATGTGACTGCGTATACAGCGGTAAGAAAGATCAGGTTATGAGCTTTGCTGCGCTTTTATCACAGTGATGGACGAGCTAGAGGATAAGGTGCGCCACTATTTCTTATTGTATGTCAAAGAGAGAAAGCGGAGGCAAAAATGTGAGAAGTTCAGCTATTGGATGCAGCAAGGTATTTGTAAAGCTTTAGCTATCCCCTTATGATAAAATTTGTTGTCCAGTGTCAATCCTAATAGACTAGCTTCTGCCTGCGTGGCTGGATGGGCTGCTGATATAGGGACCTCTGAGCCCTAAAATGTTTTTGCGTTAAACCTTGCATGTGTTGGGTGCTGAGAGGGAAGCACTCTATTCAGAATGCCCCATAGTGTTGATAGCGCGTTTATGTCTGAATGCGCGCATGGACGATTCGTGCTATTAGAGATGGCTGAAAATCAGCGCCTTCTCGTGGATAGCCAGGAGTATGTGAACTCCCTAGAAGCCAAGTTCGAGGAAATAAGGGGAGATCCAGATGCTGTAAGAGACACCGTCCAGCGCGTGGATCTGATGTATGCACAGATCGACACCTTGATTCAAGCCTTTGCAGGTAAGCCCCTGAAGCTCTTAGTTGTGTAGTTCCTTTTCCAGATGGACCGAAAAGAAAACAAAACACAGCTTATATCAGAGCAAACAATGGCATTGGCAAGGATTTTTCTTGGCCTGGATGTATCAAGGGCCTAATTGCACTGCTGCAATTCTGTATTGTGCGTGCACAACCCTAGCAGTATCTGTATATGAACGACCGCTGTGGATATGTACTGCCTTCAGTGCGATGCGTGTCGGATCTTAGGAGTTTGCAGCTTCGTAGCTACCCGAGATGCAGATCGTCCAACCATCCTTCAGTGTGTACTGGATTACCTTTACCCATGTAGATCTCTGGACCCCCGACTAAACGGTAAGTCAACCCTGTTGCTTCCCAAAGGGACCTGGACTACCACTGCCCTGCTGATGCACTGTTTGCACGTGTACGCTAACAAAGCGAGAATATATAGCTGAGGGCAAATATTCCAGCTGCCTATATAGTTTGAGAGACATAGGACACTCAGAAGGTAGTTTTGGTGCATCAAAAGTTGAGCCTGATGCCTCAATAGAAAATGCTAGATGGAAGACATGGGATAAAGGAAAGGGACTGGAACACATCTTAACGCGCTGGCATGCAGAACCTTTACACGCAACTCTATAAAGGGCCATTTCAGAGGCTGTCCGATCTGAAAGGCAGAGGTGCTACCCTTGCTGTTTTGTATGCAACAGCCCTGTATGGCGCACTTTACTACTACCGGCTAGGCGAGTACAAGGGCCTTCCAGATCAGCCCCCTCCACCTCCCGAGCCAAAGTTCATCCCAATGCACGAAGTCATGGGTCCATGGATTCAGCCTACGCCGTTCACGCCTCATCCTACCCCTCCAGTGCATGCAACGAAGTTCGATGCTGGACTGGCGGCAACCATTGAGGCATCCAAAGCCCCAGAGGTCACCAAAGCAGACTCTAAGCCCAAAGGACTAGCTGTCGACGGCCAAAAGGCCAAGGAAGCCTCTCTTGTAGCCAGTGAGAACGTTTAACCTGCTTCATAAAACGGGGAAGAGGACCAGAAAGAAGGGGCAGTTCGTGGTGCAACGAGCCGTGCACCGCCTGAACCCGACTATATGCAAAGAGCGCTACCACATGAATGCACATGTGTGGAGGGCTTGGTTACTCGTGCAGAAGCCGGGGCAGCTGGAGTGAAGGCTGCAACAGGCCCGCGAAGCAAGGCATCTCTTCCTCAACAAGCAGCAGATGCCTCTGCGGACGTGGAGCTAAAGGGAATGTCTATCCTTCTGGAAGAGCTCACTGGATTCAAGAGACCAGCGATGTCGCGAGGGGTTGGCGTAAAACTGGTGGTCAGGTGACTTTTGGCTAAATCATCAACATAAAATCTTAAAACAATAGGATATCTCGCTGCCTGTCTGCCATCGTCCATCGTATGTTTTTCCTTGTAAATCGTGTAGTAGTCAAGGAACCTACGGCTTTCCAGGCGAAGACTCTTTTTTATGGATTGGGCATACCATACTGTTCGCCTGTACAACCCTTCGTGTGTCTTTCCCAGATTTGATCATGAGAGTGCAGTAGAAATGAAGAAGAAGCCGGATCGCTGCGTCGTTATTGACAAGGTAAGACTAATGGCCCTCGCCTCCAAAGCCGGGGGTTCTGACGAGGGGGGTGGGGCAAGTGTAACGAGAATATTTTGAGGAGTTTAGGGTTTTTAAAGAACAGCTGTGTGCTACCACCACATACGGCCCCTCCTGCCAAGAATCTCTTGTAGCTCTCTGCCTGCTGGATTTTAGCGTTTTTATTAGCTGACTGGCCGTTGCCTACGTGTGTCTATTAACTTGTATGCTCGGACTGGGATGTGCGTATACTCGGCTCCTAACTTGTATAGGACGTGTGCCTGCACACTAGTATGTACAAGCCAGCTCATCAGTTCAGTAGATTGCGCATTCTAGGCTTTCGCGTGTGGATGATAATCAGTCTGAGTAAGCGCGTTCCTTGCTGACGTCTGCTGTTGGTTGTGCCTGTGTTTTGCAGTGCGACGGGTCAGCTGGTAATGAAAGTGCATCCGTGTATTTCTTGGCCGAATTGTCACCAATGCCCCCGAAGAAGCCTGGAATTCTTCCCAAGATTTACATAGACGTATTCGACGAAAAATCGGTGGGCCATAGAAGCTTGTGGACAGCATTAAAGAACAAAGATTATATGTTTATCTGCATGCCTTCGAGACAACATAACTGAGACATTTGAGAAGGGACAAGTTGTCAAAGTGTGTAAGATGTGATAATACCGTAGCATTAAAGAAGCTTTCTCCTTAAAAAGAGGCGCCAGATGATAGATGAAAGGTGTTGTTCATTGTCTTCTGCTACAGCCAAATGGACTTGGGAATGCGCAAAAAACGATCTCTGAGGCTGATACCATAAAGAAGAGTGCTCCATGGTACAGTCCCAGCCACTTGTCCTGCATTCTCTTTTCCCTCACACCCTCCCTTATTTTTATCTTCCTGCTGTGGCAGCCGAGTTAAACTCCCCTTGTTCTGCCTTAGGTGCCTTCAGTTCTTCTGACATCCTGTATTAAAATAATACCCTAGGCTTATTAGTTAGCTCCTACTAGGGTTGTGTTGCTGCTCGCTGCAGGCAGATTAAAGACACACGAGGAGCTGTACTAGGTAAATTACATTCACCGAGCTATATAAGGTTTTCAAGAAAAGGACATCATCCGGGGGAATGGAGGAGCCAGCGCGCTATTGGGGGCACATATGCTAGAACGGAATGCACCAACTCTAGTCACTGATCTGTCTTCCGCTATGTGCAGGCTCTATCTCTGTCTCTATCGCCCCAGTGCCTCTGTAAGCCAGAATTATCTTACCCTTGTTACAGTTCAGCCTATCCCCACTTTCCTGCCCTAGCATCTTTTCCCTTTATTCCTTATTCTTTTGGTTTTGGTCGGTAGAATTGAATATCACAAACATCTGTTGGGCTCACCAGAAAGCGAAAGCTATTTTTTAGTGACACTCTGCTCTTTGCTCTGCAGCAACGCAATGCTACCAGCCCAAGCAAGGAAGGCCACTGGAAAGGTTGCTGGTGGTGGGCCAAAAGGCTGCTGCATGCACTGCTGCACTAGTTCACGTCGGACATTCAGAATATATTTGCACTTCCTTCCTATGAGAACTACGCCTTTGACACGCAGAAGCATGTTAATAGAGAGCTTTCTACCTGTCTATCCCTACTTGTTTCCCCATACGTGTCACCGGTAGAGAGGTCGCCTTGTACAGCTGTAATCTCTGCTTCCTCCATTCGCATTGCGTAAGTGTCTGAAATCTAGTTTCTTATTGAGGAGCTCCGCTAGCAATCGCCAGATTTATCACTGTGGCTGATCTGTGGATTGCTTCTCTAAATTCTCAGAAGGAGCTCTCAAAAAAGGGGAAAAGGCAGAGCCCCAAAAGCCAGACGTCCCGAAATCTGTATCGACGTCAGGCGTGGGTGCAAAGCCTGAACTGCCCAAACCTGCTGTTTCTGTGTCTAAGCCACCACTGCCTACAAGTCCTACCTCACCCGCAAAGCCCGATCTACCCAAGCCAGGTGCCCCTGTTACGAAGCCGGAGCTCCCTAAACCTGGGTTAGCGGCCAAACCAGACATTCCTAAACCGGCATTGGGGGCTAAACCCGATCTTCCAAAGCCTGGAGCATTGGGAGCTAAGCCTGATCTTCCAAAGCCGGGGATTACTGAGATCAAGAAGCCAGACATACCCAAACCTGGCCTGGGCCTTACTAAGCCTGACCTCTCCAAACCAGAAAGCGTGCCGTCAAAGCCAGGATTGTCGAAGCCTGGAGCCGCTGCCGAGAAGCCAGGACCACCAAAGCCAGAAGGAGTGCCGGGGGCTGCAGATGCAAAGAAGACGCTCTCTGCAGCCGCAGCAAAGCCAGAATTGGGCAAGCCAGGATCCCCTTCTGGCACGCCGTCCCCCATGAAGGGTCCTGGTGCAAAGCCTGACTCCACAAAAACAGCTACAGGGGGCCCCGGTGCAAAAGATATCAAGGCTGCAGGACCCCCAAAACCCGCTGATACTGATGGAAAATCAAAGGGTGGCCCTGCCGCTCCTGCTAAAGGAGAAGCCCCAGCGAAGCCAGGTTTAGGTACACCACAGCCTAAGGCAGATGTTAAGAAGAGTCTTTTAGGCACGGCAGGAGGCGCTCCAAAGCCTGGATTAGATGCGAAACCGCAACTTGGGGCTAAGCCGAATCTTGCAGCTAAGCCAGCACTGGCGAAGCCTGACTTGGGGGCCAAGCCTGCCCTCAAAAAGCCTGACCTGGGAGCAAAGCCTGCTGTGGCCAAGCCAGCTCTAGCAGCGAAGCCAGGATTAGCCAAACCAGCACTAGCGAAGCCCGCCGTCCCAGCAAAGCCAATGCTGGCGCTTGCTAAAGGCCCAGCCAAGCCAGCCACTCCAGCGAAGCCCATGCTGGCACTTGCTAAAGGTTCCCCAGCTGGAAAGCCAGCTTTAGAAGCAAAGCCTGCGCTAGGAGCCAAGCCGGCTACCCCCGCGAAGCCGGCTCTTTCCAAACCCGGAATGCCGCCTGCGAAGGCTGGTCTTGGCAAAGCTCCGTAGGAGCATGCTGCCAGATGTGACTTTGCCGCACTCGCATATTTAGAGCATCAAAGTAAAGGCTACTTTTGAAAGGGGAAACAGGCACCAAACCTTCGTCTGCAGAATACTGTCATGCTGAATAGAAGAGGTATGATCACTTACAAGCTGACAGCTCAGCACGGAGGCAGTTTCCACTTATATCGGCAGTTGATGGTGTGAATTCTTTGGATGCTGAGTGCCGTGCTTGGCGACCCCGCTACTTCGTAAGAGCTGCCAAACTGTAGCCATGGGTGCACAGCTACTTTACAGCGAGATAGGAAAGCTACCTAGGTACATGCACAGCTGACTCGTATGCCTAGTGGGTGTACCATCCGACAGGCCATGAGCACGAGTGGCATCATATAGTGGCAATGCATGTTTGCAGAAGCTTAATGGGACACAGCAAAGTGTTCTATTGAGGTGTTGATCCAAACGCTGTTTTTCTCTCTTCAGATCCCGTGACTGCGGTAAGCATATTGAAATCGAACCCAACATATAAAGTGTGGTGCATGCATTTGGTCTTGTTCACAAACTTGTATAGTAGTAAATGCATAGGATGTCATGGGGGCTGGTTGCTAAGTCGCATCCCCTCAAAGCGCCAACCGCACTTGACAGAATTCGGAAAGCGGTATGCTATGCTACGGCCATGGTGTAGGCGATATTCACGAGTGCAGTGCTAGGGCAGCCAAAAGAGACCCAAAGTATTTGTGATGGCCTCTGTCTATGAGAACAGTGTAAAGCAAAAAGAACCTTAATAATGGGTAATGGCGCGAGACTTAATTGGGGCCTACCGCATCGCGCACCTTTATGGAGCCTAACCGATGCTTTAGCTCGTTAATGCTTATCTAGATGCTGTTTTTCATATTTAGGGGGCCATGTCTCATATGAGTACTCGTATCATTCCATATTTTCTTTCCCGAAGTGTTTCCTATCTCTGTATGCATTGTGGGCTGCCCTTCTTGATCTACAGACGTAAACTAGTTTTCGAAACGCTTCTTATTTGGGATACAAGTCTGGTCTCAATGGTAGTAGCCCATAGTACTAGGCACTTTGAGACGTATTGCGCTACTTGCTAATGTGCATACTATTTAGCGGGTTGGTCCCTCTGCTTTGTTTGTTGAATAGCCCCCGGTAGAGTCACGTGCAGCCGTTCATCGGCGTCTTCCTCACTTTGGCGTCGAGTGCGAGGTGGAGGCATCGCACTTACTATTCAGGTACCTGATGGTAATGTCAAGTTTATGACATCTGGTCGTGCAGAAGAAACTGACTGCCATCCTAGCTGCTGTCATGGCCTTAGGGATCCGCTAAGCAGAAGAATACAATGCAGCATGTTTGCTTCGAGATTGGAGAAAAGCTGCACCCTAGGGGGAACTTTTCGCCGCTAGGATCACACCGCCTTCATCAAAATTTATGCGTGTCCCACTGGAGTGTTGCATGAACCAGTTCATTGTGCTATACATGACTACAGAGGTGCAACGAGGGGGCTGAAGTTGCGATAAGGGTGCTTCTTCGTAGGTATCGCCTATCAGTAGCCCTATACACCCTCAAGCCTTTTTGCCGCCTAAAACAGCTACGAAAGAGCAAACTACAGTCACAGAATCCAGCTGCCTAAGTGGTTTTTGTGGAATAATGAAGGCGGCAAAGATCAGGGTTCACGTGGCGACTGTATCTGGCGAGGCTCGCGGCGACCCGGATCCTCCCCCGATATCCTCAGTTACACTCTTTATTGGAAATTCCACAGACGGCTTTAGCATAAGCGCCTGAAGCACCGGCAAGGCGCGTGCGTAGGAAGCAGGGAAAGTAGTGTACACAGGCAGCAGCAGCAGCAAAAAGAAACTGAGCATGCAGGCCAATGGGTAGCTCAGAGTGATAGACATGACAAGGGGGGAAGGGTACACGACATAAACTGTAGGCCAATCCATGGGTAATAAAATGCAGCTGACAAGACAAAACAGACCGCATATGACTAATGGCGTAACAGCTAGAAACACCAATAAATTCCCAAGTTCTTGTGGACCCAAAGAACTTGCACTGGTGGTGGCTCCGTTGCGGGCTCTCGACCGCAGCTTCTGAACAAGGAAGACAAGAGGTAGGCAAAGCACATCTAACACCCTCAGAAACCACCATACAACAGCAGTGGCGGGACGCAAGCACCGCGGACCGCGCTTGACGGGGGTGGTACTTGCGGTGGAGGTTGCCACTGCAGCGTCTGCTGCATCTGCATGGTTTCGTTCGCGTAGCCCACAGTGACATGATGTGGTTTCCCAGCGAGAAGAACGGCACGCTTCAGCCACAGCGCCTGCGTATGGCCCCAGGAAGCCGACAGTTGCAAAGAAAATGCCTAGCAGTAAGGAGGACGGAAGCGCGTCTAGAGGGGCCCCCAGTAGCTGAAAGATTGAAGTTACTACGAAAATCCATGAGCAGTAAAGCGTCCCAATTACGCGAGGGCAGATACAGTAGCCGCCCAGGGGCTCAGCTGTCAAGGACACTCCCAGGGGATCTGCAGCTGTGGTTCTTCTTGTACTGGCACACGACTCCCTTTCGCTCAAGCACCAAGCCAGTATGAGGGCTTTTGCCGCGGCGCCCCCTACCCCGCAAACAAAGGACAAGATTGCCACGTAAAGAATACTTGGCTTAGGAAGTTCAACGACGTCAGACCGGACGTCGTCTGATGCCTCCTGGAACCAAGAGGGCCGTAGCACCAGCAGCACCCCGAGGTTGCAGCACGCCACAAATGCGTCGGCAGCAGCCAGAGCTAAGTGCTCTACCACAGGAGAAGCAGTGACACACCGAGCCAATCTCCATTTCTGATTTCTCACACTGAACAGCGTCCGAGGGGGGGAGCTCCAGGAGCTGCCGCGCCTAGGGGGACTCCCGTCGCCATTGTCTGGGCTGGTGCACCTGCGACGCGTCCTCTTAGTAGCATCCTCCGCCTCCATCCCTGTAGAATCCCACGGAGCGGGAAGACAAGCGGTTAGCTAGGCTTTGCAGAGGGTGCCGTGCCTGGTGGATTGCCGGCAGCCGCCCCGGCCAGAGCGCAGCTGCTGCCTGCCAGAGGGCCCTTATAGGCTTAGCAGCCGAAGAAGTGCCCAGGGAAGGCTCTAGGCTTTAGGGATGAAGCTTTTTCTCGGCTGCGCCGTGCCAGTGCAAGTCCAGGAGACACCCGGCAAGGGCCCGCTGCCGCTCGAGGACGTGACAAGCACCGGAACGCCCCAATATAGGATGAAATACATGTCACGGCTTTGCAAAAAACCGACACTAAAAACCCTTAAAAGCATGTGGTATGCCCTAATCCTGCTCGTTGATCCGCAGGACGGCTCGAGGCAGACCCGAAACAACAGCGGCGGCTCTTTAGTATTACAAAGGCACGGCCCACAAATGATATCTCAATATTAATTACTGCGTAATGTCACGACTCTGACACATTTACAGTGCATACTAAGCAGCTGGACCGCGGGTTGTTTCGTGCGAGCCTTTGTTACAAGACACAGCGATTGACAGGCACCTTCCCACTTCCTACATTTTATCTCTAAAATTTGAGGAGGTCTGCCTACTCAACGGATGATAGTCGCACGTGATTTTTGCAACTTTATTCGAGTGGCTTTAGCAGCTGCTGAGAAGTGGGAAGCTAGCCTGCCGTGCTAGGAGGAAAACTCACTCTGCCCTTGCTCGGCGTTCGTCCCCAGTTAGAGTTTGTGGTCCTCCCTTCTCTAAAGGAAAGTATCCTATGGCCTCAGCTGTCAGATTGCGTGTATGGAGTCCGCTTATGGCGAAGAAAAGTTTTATACGATGACTTAGACACAATCATGTGGGTGTGCTGGAGTCACACTTTTTAAGTGCGAAGCTTATAGTAGTAATAAATTGACCCCAGAAGACCACAACATGAATTCCTCAGCTTAATACTCAAAGCACTTAGGAAGATGCCCCACAATTTAAGCCTCAAAATAATCTGAAGGCATATGCAACATCATATATGCGTATTGCATGCCACGCAATATTAATGAGGGGCCTAATGTTTTATTATCGTCCGCCCAATCCCGATCCTTGCCCGTTCATAAACTTGCCTTGCTTTTCAATTCACTGCTGCATGCAGTTATTTCCTTTGTCGTGACACGCGCAGACAACAAATATTGACAGTAAGCACGCCGATAAGACTTTCACATGCGAAGAACTACCGTTAGCTTCGATTCTAGTAGGAGACGGCTACTGCTAGCCATGCAAGGCCCTCCAGCTTGCTATCCAAAGACCTGCACACATTTCTGAACGCTGATTGGGTTTTGCTAGGCAAGCCAAAGAACGTTGAACCTGCATCTTTCTCTAATGTTTCGTGGTTGGCTTATAGGTGACATGCAAGAGAGCAACACAAGCACGTCGCTGCACGCACAAACCTTCGCAACAATAAAATATCATGCACGTGTGTCATTGGGGAAAACGGGCCTGTAGAAGGGTGTTTTTAGGGCTCACAAGCAAAGCACGACCCTATACTAATCCCAAGCTGGTCAGTATGCTTTACTAGAAATCGAATTTGCATTGCGCATTTTACAAAATATCGTCTTTTGGGGAGACCAGACAAACATACTTTTCTTAAGAGTTTATAACGTGGATTCGAGTATCCTTACGGGTGGCAGAAAGCCGATCCCGCATGAAATTACGCCACAGATGTGGATTGCCTGTCTTTCAGAATTAGCTCTAAAGATACGCACACCTAGAAGAACATGCGTGAGGCACAAAAAAACCTGGCTTAGATTAGAGTCAATGAATTCTTTTTCCTGCTCTGCTAAGCTCTGACAGGCTTCAGCAAACGAGGCTTTGTGCGAGAGGATCCAGCCCTTGAATGCGACATAAACAGCATTCAGAGCGATGATTGAGTGTTCCACCGTGTACGAAGACCTTACTGACATCAACGATGCGGCTGCATATGCACAACCCCCTTGGAATTTCTGTGTACTTTTTGTAACAGAAAACTTCGATGTGTGTGTATGTGTATGTAATAGATGCAAGGACACCAAAGCTGTGCATAGGGTGCAGCCAGAAAATAGGGGCTGGCAAAATGTGAGGCAAGAGAGAGCCACGAGTACCGCCCTCGACCCTCCCGCTATCCAGTTCTGACAACCCGAAACAATGGATGTCATGCCAGGAAAGGCATTAACTGCGCGGCCTCCCTCATACCCCTGCAAAGCCGTTACATGAACACATTGGGTTTGGCATTCTCACCAGCGAATCTCCCTAGATGAAGGTGCTGTTTTCCGCTGGCTTGCGTTGGCTACCACCCCTAGCTGCTTAGTTATAAACGATGCACAATCGAATTATCCTGTGAAGACCACCCAGGGAGCACTTTCGAAAATCTAGAGAGCGCAGCACGGAGTTAATGAGGAGCGCTTCAAGTCCCTGATTTCCGGCGGCTTACGGCGCGATGCTGGGGCCCTAAGTGTTTGGCCACTGAAATTTCTGCATGTATCGTTAAGTCTCTACGCTACAAACTAAAGCATCCACAATTCAGAAGGCCTAAAATTGTGCCTCTTAAGCGTTAAAACGACAATTGAGTGTACAAAAACAACCGTTTGAAAAATGGAGAACCCTGAGGAAACGGCAAACGATCTGAGGGCCTTTCCGCTAGCCCGTCGATTGCCTTCCTGCGGAGGATCCTGACTAATCAGGCTCCTGACATTCGTGCTGCTCCACGAGAAGCGCCTCAGGTGCTTCTTCCGGGCACAACTGAGTTACATGAAGACGGGTATGAGAAGGACTCAGCTGCATCACGAGACAGCTGGCTAACTGGTGTTTCTACGATACTGTCCCAACGATACACAGAGGAAAAAATCATCGGAACGCTCCAATCCACGTGCTACTGCATGAACTTGCAGCCTTCAGAGGCCCCCTGCAGCAAGCACGCAGGGGCCCTCCCCGACAGGGGTGTGAGGGCTTTCTCCTCATCCTCTCGGGGTCTAACAACAACCCACGGGAGAAATTCCGGCCTGGCCCGAGTAACACCTTCATTCTGGGCCCTAGCCAGAGGCCCCTGGTCGAAGGGTGCGGTCCCTTCGGAGGCCTCTCTAGTCTTTGCATCTTTTGGCTTGCGGAGAGCAAGGGGGCTGTCGAACGTCCAGGGGTTGACTTGAGGATTCAGCCTGTGGAGCCTTCCCGCCCCTTCCGTGCGTCCCTGCTCAACCAGATGGATGCTGCTGGCCTCCATTGAAGGAAAGGGTGGGGAGGAGTCGCCCCGCATTTGCTGGGAGGCAGGCGGACAGCCCCCAACAGTGCCTCCGAAAATGCAAGGATACCCTGCGACAGACAGCAGCTCCTCCCCGAGGGAGGTCTCTAAATGCCCTGTCTGTTGATCTACGAATGGTCTAAATTGCAGAAAGCATTCGGGCCCTTTCGGCGTTCCATCTGCAGAGTGAAAAGCACCCATGTGCATTGAGTTCCCCCCCGATACTCCCGAAGGAGCGTACTGCATAGGACCTAGACCAGTCCCTGAGTGCGTGCCTTGGGAGTGTGCGACAACTCCCCCGTTGAACGCATCCAAGGGCGCCGCCGCTTGCAGATCCCGACTGAGGGGCTGAGGCATCAGAGGGGTTCCTTCGGCTTGGAGGGAGCCGCAAGAAGCAGCAGCGGAACCCATGTCCTCTGCGTGGACGTTCCCCGGATGGCAGCAAAAGTAGCTCTGAGGGTAGGTGGCCATTGCGGATTTGGGGGGGCCTCCTCCACCCTCGCCTGTGCTGCTGCAGAATCCCAAAGGCAGCGCCTCGTCGGCAGTGGTCGTGACAGCCGAGAAGAAACCAGTGCTGCTTTCCGGAGGGAAGGCCGACTTCTCCCTGGGGGAAGATCTTTGACACATGGGACTGTCGGCAGTGGTGAAGACGCCTCTGCACGGCAGCAGTGGCAGACGCAACTCTGAGGGTCGCCCCATGGCGGTTCCCAGCCCAGCCTCGCCTGAATCTTGGGGAGGACACCACACGGATACAGCTTCTCCCTCGCACCCAAGGGGGGGAGGGGGGCCGCTGCTGCAGGCTTCCTCAGCCGCGAACTCGGTTGGCATCGCCTCTGGGGAGCCTCTCTGAGGCCAAGGAGGAGGTGGCACTCCCTTACACGTCGGAGGCGAATAGGGAGGCCCCTGGAGAGCAGGAGGGAGGCCCTTAGAGAGCTTGCCACCCCCCTGTTGCAGAGGGGCTCTCTGGTTGAAGTAAGCGCGAGAGGCAGTTCCAGCGGAACCTTGCCATTCATCCGCCATGACAGGAACCAGTCCCCTGGAGGCCTCATTTGTGGCACTAGGACGGGGACCCTTGGTAGATGCGGGGGCTCTCCTGCGACTGGCTGCTGCTGCTGGAGACTTGGGGCGATAATGCGAATCGGACTTCAACGATGACGCGCTTGGCTCCTTTTTGCATGCCCACTTATTGGGGGCAATGCTGCGTACTATCCATGCTGAGAGACAGGCGGCACAGCGCAAGAAGAAGTTGGGCATTTCAACGCTGACGACTTTCCTGGGGAGCCGTCTGGGGCCATTCTGACGGGCAATTCTATCAATTATTGATGTAGACACATATGCCTACGCGGATAAGCAACACGGGGGTTCGTGGACTGCTTCTCCCGGCTGGCTTACCCGGCTCATCCTCTGAGAGACCCTCTCCATCGCTGTCGTGGAGGTGGCGGCCCTTGTCAATGACTTGCCTCAGAAAGGACCTGGCCAGCTCGAACTGCAGCTTCATGTCTTTCTCGTCCTGTGGGGTACACCACAGCAACACAGCGCAACCAGAAGAAGGGTGCATTAGGAACGTTCGTGAAGGAGCTGTCGGGTCGAGCGTCCACGCGCCCCTGCACACCCGGTGCTGACCTCGGCAGCAAGAGCATGCATCCACAGCCACCAGCAGCACAGCTCTAGGCAGCCTGCGAAAGCTCGTCATTTCGGTTCCCCTAGGAAAGCGCCGCTACGTCCTCCGTGGGGCGATCGTTAGCCTTACCCCAGGGCAGTAGGGAAAGAGCTTCATGGCCTCTTCTTGATCCCCTCGGTATTTAACCTTCCACAAGCCTTGCTGGAAGTAGATTCCGCGCACCCCGCTGAAGGGCTTCTTGCCGACGTTGAAGCGCTTGGCGCGACCCCCTTTAGGACGGCTAATCTTCTTGAGCTGCTCCAGCTCTTCAAACCAAGGACTAGCTGACGGACCGCTGCTGGACTCTGCATCTCCGCCGCCCTTGGCACGAGAACCTACGGCTTTCCCCTGAGAAGAGTCCTCTGCATGCGCCCCCAAAAGGTCCCCAGCTCCGTGCACCGAGGAAGCCTCCGCCTGACACACTTCCGGCAAGTCGGAGGCTCCGCAATACGACGTGTTACTGCCCCCGAAAGAACTGGCTGCACCCCCCTCCCCGCCGTTGGCAAACGAGAAATAAGGCGACACCAGGTGCTGGGAGGCGTCTCCCCCGCCTGTAAGAGCTCCCTGAGAGCGTCCTCCGTTGCCAGAAGGAGGGAGAACCTCTGCAGTATGCATTCTTCGAGGGTCCATGCCACAGGGATCCCCAGCAGCATCCCTCAGCCCCCCCCTCGACGCCTGGCCTTTCTTCGTGAATGCGCTACCCTGCGCAGTGGTGCTGCCCTTGCGCACCTTCGTGATAGCCTCCCCCGCGTTGGAAGCCTCTTTCCGCTTCTTGCAAATCCCAATAAGGGTATACCGCTGGTCGAGAGGGGTCTTGACACGTGGCAAGGCGCAGCGCTCATCTCCATGCGCTGAATCGCTCACGCTTGCTGCCGCGTTCGAGCCGCCACTAACTCCCCCACCGACTTGCTGCTCGGCGGCTATGGGCGGACTCCTACCCCTCGACACAGAAGGCTGCACCTGAGCATCTCCAGTGCTGGGACAGGCAGAATCTGCAGGGGCCCCTGGGGTCGCCACATACTCCCCCCCCATGTACGGCAACCCAGTAGGTACCTGGGGAGGCAACGGTTCCTTCATAAGCGAAGCCAAAGAAGTGCAGGTTTCCTCGTCTGTAGGCAGGCGACTCGTTCTAAGAACGAATTTGCGAGCCCATTCGCACATGAGCCGCGCCCTCTCGTATCCGTAGAGCTGCAAACACACACAAGTGACAGCACGCTAACGATTCTAGAGGTCCCTCACAGCGCAGACGCAGCACTCTGGAGAAGCCAATGCACACACCGGGAGCACCAAAGGCAACTCCCTTCCACAGCGGAAAACTAGTCAGACGCCACACACTTCCATGCATGTATATATGCACGGGTTTACCAACGTTCGCAGTGGACTGGGGGTCCCTGCGCAAGAAGGGGCCCCTTGCCAGGGAGCAACAATGATTGCATGGCGTACCCTACAAGAGAAGGACTTTTGCTTTTTTGTGCCTTCAATCAGCAGCTCTGCCCTCCATGCTTCCTTCTTCCTATGAAAGTACATCTTGGCCATCACCTCAGAGGGTCTAACAGCGCGCGGGCGGTGCCCTGTCTTCGGAGCACTGCTCTCTCCTTCTCCTGCCTCAGGAAGGCTCCCTAATGGCTTTTGCGATCCCCCAGTGGAGGCTCCCGCTGCCGTCTGTCCATTCCCCACACGAACACTAGGGCTGCTACTAGGGGGCTCCTTAGGCGTTCCTTCCCCCCACGCGGCTGCCTGCGCGTTCGCTCCCTTCCCTCTGGGCTTTATTTGAGCCTTATCTGGCGAGTGCTGCTTGAAGAATTTCGCCGGTCTGGTGGCTGCGCATGCTACGGCCCCACTGCCCCCGGCACCGGTAGCACTCTCTGCTCCAGTGTCTCCGCATCTTGAGACTCCGCTGTTTTTGCAAGGCTTCGAACCTTTCCCTTCCGGCTTTACAGACCCTCCGCAATGGGGTGCTGTGGAAAGGTACATGGCAGGGGCCTCTAGGGGTTGCTGCTGCTGGAGTGGGAACCACGAGCCACCTCCCGAAGGGGCCTCTGGATTCCCACTAAGTCCTGTCGGATGCCCCTGAGGGGCCCCCATGCACATGCCAAAGAAGGAAGCCGTAGCAGCCGTTGTGTGAGGCCCTTGCAAAGCCTCCTGCTGGGGGTTCCCCGCCTGCCAAGCTGCAAGGGATGGGTGGGCCCCCATGGTGGCTTCGCCAAAAGGCAGAGTCGGCATCGGGGGGGCCCCATAGGGCGAAGGCCTCTGCGAGGGCAGCATGCAGGCACTTGCGTAGTTGAAGGCGCTTGAGCCATCGCCTGCATATTCCAGGGATGGCTGCCATTGAGGGCCCTCATTCATCCCCATGGAGAGGGTGTCGCCGAGTGCCCCCTGCTGAAGGGACTGCGGCCGCTGTTGCAGCTGCGGCTGTTGAAGCACTGGCTGGCTGTCATAGTACAGCTGCTGTTGCATATCTTGCTGCGGCAGTACCAGCCAGGGCTGCGCAGAGGCCCCATCAGTGCCCTCGCCTTGCAAGCTTACACCGCCGATGGGCACCGTAGGGGCGAAGGCAGGCTGTTCCAGCACCTTCGAAGCGGAGGCAGGGAAGTTTTCAAGGCCGATTGTGTGGAAAACGGGGGTACTGGCAGGCGGGACGGGGGCCCCCGTGCCCCCAAAGGAAACGGCAGGCGGCTGGAGGGGCCCCGGAGGAGAGGCTGCTTGGGGGGGGCCCATCCCTCTGCTGTCTGCACCCTGCAGGCCCATGGACCAGGGGGCCTCGTCAGAGAGAGGGGGCCCTACCGCAGCTGCCATGCGTCGGAGTTATATTCCACTGCAGTGTCTGTCCGGAACCCCCAAGGAGAGTGGCTGGCATAGATATTGGCTACGCTCGGAGAGACAGCTCTACCATGGAACCCGCAAGTGATCCTTTAAACTATAACAAACGTGAACCAAGAGCGGGGTGCCCTGTTAGAGCACAACGATGATGCGAAAATGCGCAGGAGAGCGCCTAGGACACCGGCAAAGTCTGATGGGGTCCCGAGAAGCTGTATTGCGGGACCCCCCGGCTCCCTCTCTGCCTAAAACATTTAAACCCTGCGGGAAAGCAATGCAAAATCAGCCAGAAACACAGAGAAATGCGCTGAGCGCGGGGTCTGGCTAGCCAAGACAGGGCTCTGGGGGCGCAGCCGACACCGGCCCAGGGATGAGACGGGGAAAGGGAAGCACGTGTATGCCTCGTTCTGGGGTGTTTCGCGGTAGAAATGGATACAAAGGGAAATTAAAAAGGAATTTACCGCCCCAAAGCACACAGAACGCATCAAGGAAGCGCGCCCATCAGATGGCGGGTGGAGAGGGTGTTGCCGCCGCAGAGAGAGCCTCAGCGTGGGACACCCGCGAGGTCCCGCTCTGGTAGAATGCCCCGCTGTAGTTATGTGGGGAGGTGCGCGATTACAAGCTCTTAAAACCTGAATAATACGTGGAGGCTGGCTAATAACAAAGAAATACCTAGCCATAACTGTCCCACACTCGCATAAACACCCCAGGTACGACGGCCAGGGGGCCCTCAGTGGTTGCCCATGCTGCTGGTTTGCAGCGAAGAAGCGATAGCCGCTACTAAATCACACTGGAAGAGCTTAAATTTCAGGTAAGTATATTTTAAGAGAAAGGAGAGCCAGAAAACAGCCGGAAAGTACCACAGCCCCCGGCTATGGTCCACTTCCTCTGTTTCCTGTCAGTGACACGACCACTGCAATGCATGTACTGTTAATGCGTTGCATACGGCGCTCCAAGATACGCTCTAGTTGGCAGAAGAATATAATGGTGTTTAAGCTAACGTATTCTCTCCACGAAGCTGTGCACGGCGTAAGCCAGAAATAAGGTTGCGTTGAATCCTCCTATCATATCCGAAAAGGTTTGTGCTAAGCTTTACACACGAGGAACCAATACATGGGACGAGTCATTGTTCGTCTAGCCGATAACACGTGAAAACTACCTCTTATGTGCAGATAAATAAAAGCAAACACACATGTAGCACCCTGTTTTCCACGCGCTTTTTTGCGCATAATAAGGCAGATGCTGTAACGCTGCATCAGGTCTTCGAGGGGAAAGAGTTACCTCCAGCCTCAACACAAACTTAGTAAAAGGCCTTTGGGGGCATTTAATGAGAGTTGCCTGTTGCTGTGCGCGTGTCCCTCATACTCGGGGAAATACGAGAGGAGAGAAAGAGTGTCAAGCCCTCAGCTACAAATAAACCCTTTCTACCAAACTAGTCATTTTTAGATCAAAAATCATAAAGGAGCTGAATCATTGGTTTTTCTATTCTTATATCTTATTATTGCAGAGTCATTCTAGCTCGATGCAAGGAGATGAAATGTTGTATACGTCTGCGCTAGATGCAATGCGCAACTAGCTGTAAATACCCTAAATGCTTAAAAGATGTAGCTACACAACCCTATAAGGCCCCTTCCGCTGTTTTCGGGTACTCCGAGGAAAACGATCACGGAAAGGAGGGAATTGTTTCGAAAGGCGCTCACAAACTGCCTCTTAAGTTTGTGGTAAGCTTCAACCTAAGAGTCTCCATGCAAAGATTTTGAATTGAAGGTTGTGCTTAGCATTATTGCATGGCTCGCTGCAGCTGCTCCCCGCTCATATAATAGCTGCAAATGGAACTAAATTTCACGTGCCCCTACAGCAATTTTGGCTTCGGTCAAGTCATCCGGCAATCCAATACTTTTAGTTTCTTTGGAAGCAGGCTGGAAAAGTCGCCGGAGGTGGAGGTTGCTGGTAGCACAACGCCCATCGAGGCAGCAGACGCCGTCTTGCAAGATATTGTGAACGCAGTAGGCTCAAAGCTGCTAAAAGACATAATTCTCAGAATATAGACTGTTCTGGATGCATCGATGAGGCTATCCCGACCAGAAAAGTACTATGGCCCTTGGTCAGCCAGTACTCAACGGTCACAGCACCTACTTAGAGATGCACGTAGTTGTCTACCCCGCCAGATGAAGTTAAAAACAATCCCCTCGTGGCATCTTTATTAAAAGGAACATCTTTTCAGTGGTTGCTCTGTTCATGCACTGGAAGCCGTCTGCGTGCAGGAATTCCAGCAGTTCGAGCCTCATTAGATTTCCTGACTTGTCAGTTTGTGCAAACATCAGCTCAAAAGCTTTTAGGGGATTGAGAAAACTGAAGCAGGGGAGTCTACCCATAGATCGCTATGCCGAGAAATGTGGAACTTTGGCTCGCAAATGCCACAATGTAGACTATTAGCTACCTTCTTAGTGGTATATCTTAGGTATTATCAAACCAGTCAGGTGGTCGGAGGACCGGCAGAAGCTCAGCATTTACACAAACAACCGGTGGGACGTCCATAACTGGTGGGCGAAGTGACGACTCATGAGTGATTAAGCACAAATCTATCATGTTTCTCTGGTAGCAAAGTGCTATCTCGGGATTTACAACCAATGGATGTTGGGGCTGTCATTCGGCCATTTGCCTATTCACTCTTTAGCGCTCTCCCTGGATTTATGCTTGTTGACGGACGTAGGACGCAAATCTTAGCACGGCTACAAATTTTCAATATTCCTTTAATTGGAATTGGGCCCTTTCAGCATGGTACATCTCTCCATTGTTGGCCACACCATGATGTAAGCCTAGGTATGCCATGGGCGATCCGATGGATGGTGAGTATACAGACACAGCTAAGGGTTGTAAAGGTCAGTGTGCTGGAAGGCGCTAGGAAGAAGCGATTCTCCGCTTCTTCAACAAAGCTCATTATCATCTATGGTGTACAAAAAAGAGCCAGTGTACCTCAACAAAATCAGGTCAAGTCTTCATGCACGCGACTTAAAAGTGCAGGAAGAGGAGCCGATCTGAAGCACAGATTCCGTCTTACTGGCTCTGCACCTGGTTCTTTATAAGGAAGCTTATTCGATATTTTAGCCGAGAAGCAGAAGGAATGGACAAATATGGAGGGGGAGTTCGCAGATGTGCTCGATGATGACGACCTGCGAGTAGGCTGGCCACCTGCTGGTCGTCCAGAGCACCGTCCTGAGCTAATTCATGGAGCAGCCCCAGCTGTGTTCCACTGTGTCAAAAGTCCTCACACCATGAAGAGGAAACTGAGCGGCGGACAAAAAAAAACAAAAACCGGCAAAGTGCAGGAATGGACTAGCGCTTTCGGAAAAACCCATTGCTGGTGCCGGAAAAGGATGGGAGGAGGCTCATGTGCATCTACTTAAGGCCCCAGAACAGGAGTCCTATTGAGTAAATGCTTCTATGAATCGTATCGGCTATTCGCTTGACAAACTGCATGAAATCGAGTGTGTAGACATACAACTTCAGGCGCTTTCCTACAAGATCCCATTCGCCCTGAGGACAAGCACAAAACGGAGTTCCGCACTCAAACACGGAAGCTCGAGCTTACTTGTAAATTTATCCGCAGTGTGGACTTGTTAGTGCACGAGCTGTACTGCAGGGACAAGTTATTAGGGTTTTTTGCGAGCCTCTCAAGGAGGGAGGATGGCTGCCTAAATGGATGACGTCTTGATCTTCAGTCAAAACGTTCAAGAGCAGCTATAGCACTTACGACGTGGGGTTCGGCCGTCTTTGAACAATCACCGGTATGTGAATGCATGCAAGTGCTTGCCTTTCATTGGAACAATGGTGTTTTGGGGATTCTGTGTTTCGGCTACAGAAAACGGGCCAAGTGCCAAAAATTGAAGCAATCAAGTAGAGGCCTTGACGTAAGGTTATGTAAGCGTGCATCATATTAGCAAAATAGAAACCCTGAATCTGTTCCGGTCGCTGCTCCTTCGACTGAGCTACTTGAGAAAACACATTTTATGGCCTGGAAAGAGAGGAGGGTGATGCAGCTTCAACAACGCTTATCGGCAACTGCCCAATTCAGATAGTCACTCCGCATTAACAGCTATTGACGGTTGCAGAGCTGTTAGCGCAACTTTTTGTTCCAACAGGCGACGGGCTCTCCAGTGCATCAAATCACTTCCTGATGTTTTTGTTACATCGCCAGAAACAAGCAGCGGTATGCAGTGAAAGAAAAGGGACTCTATGCGGTGTGGCGAGGCGCTGGAAAATTCCGTCAAACTGAGCGCATTTTAACTGTCAAGACTGACCATCACTATTAAATCTACCTTACGAAGACTTTTAGGTCTTGGATCACCCTAGTGGTGTTCGCTGACCATGATGCTTCCTGCAGGCCAACTTTTAACCTAGGTATACTAAGCGCATAGCCAACACGGTCGATGGCGCGTCCTGGCGACGGCCCAGATGTTTACTATTGTCCAGCATAATAAGTCTTGTCTGTGATCTTCTTGATAATTGTTCATCTCCAACGCATGCTCTGCCTGAGATGGCTACCCTCATCTATGGGTGTTGCTTAAAATGTCTCCAGATGATATTGTAAATGTGTTCCCTCAGCTCAGACTTATGTCCAAGAGCTCTCGGACATCTTGCTTTCACAGTCTTTCTTCTGCCGACTAGGCTGCATCCACCAGCTGTGCTGCACTCCAAGATTTCTGGGAGAGGCGCAGAGGCACCGGCGAGCTAGTGTGCATTTTAATTCTCTTCACACATTTTGCCTGTCTCCTAGTTTCCCTTAGCAGTAGCCTCATGCACTTCAGCGCGCCGACGACAGCGAGCCATCGCGCCCTCGCGGTTATACTGGTTTGGTTCTTCATTGTTGGCTTGTGTGTGTTTATTTTCTTTGCAGGTACCGCCTGCTACCCACTATCATCTTTTCAACTGCATTCGTATTGTGTTTCTGCCTGTCTAGGGGCTGTCTAGGGAGTAACTAGTGGCGAAAATTCTTTTGCTGTCGTACTTACAGATAATGTTGTACATGTACGCAACACGAAAGCATCTTTTTCGAAATAGTGGGTAGCGAGAAGTAGCGGGCTACGTAGCACACAAACACTTTCTACTGCCCTAGTTGTATCAAGCTACGAATGTTCGCGGAAGGCAACAATTAGTTTCTCTGTTCATATACCATATTAATTGTAGAGTAGCGTTACCTCGGTACTATAATGACGCAGTGTTATGTGCCTGTGCGCCAGATGCTACGTGCAGCTAGCTGCAAATGCTCTAAATGCTTAGAGGAGGCAGCTACGCGCGCCCTGGTCTCTCGTGTTCCAAGCTTTGAGAGGCGCTCGCAGAAAATGAGGTAGTTCTTTTGACGAGCACTTAGAAATTTATATGAAGTCTGAATTCAGGCAGAAATGAAGTGTCTCCATACCGAGGCCTTTTGGGGAGCGCTTACATTGTGTCCTAATGTACTGAGCTCAAGCTACTCTGCAATCTATATGCTATATGAGCAACCGACTTAGATAATCAATCGTCGACTTATTCTTATTCAACTGTAACTGGAGTAGTAGATAGTGGCAAAGTGTAGCTTTACCCGTTACACTGTTCCTGATTGGGTGTGCCAAGAACTTTGCTAGGGAGAACTATGATTTTAGCCAGCCCTGCGAGCTAAGTTGAATAGGCATGATTGCGTATGCACGACCACGTGGAATGTCTGACGGTACACCTGGCTGCACTTACGTAAGTTGTGTTTTCCTCTCCTGCCCACAATCCGATGGCCTTAAAGCACCGGGGCGCACGCCGGATGGGTGGTACCTGACTGCTTTTTGGCTGCAAATATAAATCTCTAATTTGAGCCGGCGGGGTCCCCGTTCAACAACATTGAAGCCCTAATCATAGGGAAGGTTACCCTGAAAACCCAAGCAAAATATTTCCATGAAGGAGTGATGCATACACACACAAGGCATTTGCTCATGAACTATCAGACTGCGGAGATCCGCTCTTGCAGGAGAAAATAGCAAGCCTTGCAGCCCTGAGGGCACATGCGTATATAACAAATTGAGTACATTGCTTTGCCCTCTTGGCTTCGGAGAATTACATGACGAAATTACCCTTCAGGGTAGATCATGCCCGTTTCGCAGTTGTGGTTGAAAAAAACATAGATTGGTGCTGTAAGATTAATTATGGACTAAAACTCAGATCGAACAAATTCAGGATGGTGCGCTTTGTGCGCTTTGGGGTAGCACTGTGGCCAGCCATCACACAGCTTTTCGTGCGGCCTTCCGAGGAACCTTACAAGTAAGCGGCAAAGTTTTGCACGGCATTGAATAACAGCCTTCCTAGTGCAGACTAGCGAAAATTGGTATTTGTCTCAACTCCGGTCACAATAACTAACATTTTAACGAGTGTCAAAATGACTAAGGCTTGGCTCGCAAAAAAGCGCATTTCTTGTCCTATGTACTGTGGTCTGCTTTATATCGAGCCTTTTCTTGTCTTTCCGAGTGTGCACAGCTTTCTCTTTGTTAGACCTCTAGCGTGTTTGTGTCTCTCTGTGCCCCACCGTCTTCATTCCCGCATCATTTTCTCCCTGTCACACCATATCCTCACCCTCTCACTCCCTGCACCCTCACGGTTGCGTATAACTCGGTAACACTTTACGTGTCAACGCGCTGTAGTATGTATATGCATTCCCTTAAGATGAAAGTTGGTCTCTCTCCCCTGCTGTTTTCTTCCTGTTACCTATTGTGTTCTGCCCTCCGTGTCGGAGCCAGTATCAGCAGCTGTTTCTTCCCTCCTCGGCCTAAAATCTTGCATTGCCCCCCCTGTGGTAGCCCTTTTACAATCCCTCAACCACCGCCCAATTTCTAACAGCAGATCCACGAGGCCGCCTTTCTAGCCACTGCTGCAAACGCTGCGAAGCACAGTCTGCGCTCTTGGTTGCTCTTCAGAAATCAGTGAGCTTCGCGCAAGAAACCAAGCCCGATGCAGCTTACGTGTGCCACAGCAGCAGTTCGCTACTGTGACTCCCCGCGTTAGTGTGCATTTAAAAATCGTACGCCATATATCTCAGTTCCTCGCCCTAAGGGAATGTGGCTGAAAAGCGAAGCTAGGTCCTTCATGCACGACAACCTATATCCGCGCCGCTCTTTGAGCTACCTGTCAGCTTGATGCAGGCAGGAAAGGCGTGCAAAACGGACAAAGCCGCAAGCACGGTATAATACAGTGCAAACACGACATTTGAACAGTTACACAGGGAAATGAGTCGCAAAAAATAAAGTGTTTTTCGCTTCTGCCAAAGTGGCAGCAACATGTTTTGATTCCCAGCATCGCGGGGTATCTATGTATATATGTATGCCTGGGGTGTTGTGTCCACACAGCTCGGCCCAGTCTACGGCGTTTGCCGTCCTGAACAGCAGCGCTAAGACTTCTCAGAAAGGCGCGTCAGGCTCCCGCAAGGCTACAGCGGGTCCTAAAGGGAAAAGAAAAGAGCCATCCAATACTCATTAAACTTGCTGGAGAGGGCTCCCCCCACCCCCCCTCCTGCAGGAGCCGTGAGGGGCCCCCCTCCCCCTTCAGGCTGCGCACAGGCCACGCTGATGGTTGCCTCTTTTGTCAGGCACCCCACTGGTTAAGACCGCCATTTGGCACTCAACAACGGCAAAACAACACTAAAAACAAAAGCGCTCGAACCACCAAAACCGCACGGCAGAGGTTGCACGTCCCACACCCGTGTACAGATACACTTCAGTTACGTAAACTATTAGAAAAATTCAGCAAGGCGCAACAACAGACACAGCCAGTAGGGTCCCCCATCAACCCCCCATGCTGCCGCTGGTGCTGCCGCTGCCACAAAGGCGACAGCCCACGCTGCTGCAATTTTCGCCCGCTGCACGGCACACAGACACTGAGACAGAAAAAACCGCGTCCAAGAGATAGAGACGTAGAGAACCCAAAACCATGTTCAAGATAATCTAAAAAAGGCAGTTTGACGGCTCTTCGGCGCACTCGAACCAAGGATATCCCCTCTCATTCGCCTCCTTGCAGGCAAGTACCACACCATCAACAAATGACTCCAGAAAACAGGGATTTTTCCCCTACTCTGTTTCCACTGTTACATTAAACAGCTGAGGACCAGAAAACAGAATAGAACAAGGACTCTCCTCGCTTGTTTTGGAAATTCGACTGCGTTCAGGGGCCTCTAACGGCACCGGACGAGTTTCCCCTCCTCCGCGTGTAGCCTCTTCAGGCGTGAGGTGAGCCTCCGCTTCCGCTGCAGCCGCCGTCGCTCGAATGCCACCCCCGGAGCACCTAAGATGTGCGTCCAAGAGCTGCTGAGTCTGTTGCCGAGGCACCCCATCACCTCCGGCGCCCTGCACGTCCTGCTGCTGAGGCAGCAGCATGAGACGCTCGCCGATAGGAGCGTCAGCAAAGGCAGTGTCTCCGGAAACCTCTGCTCTGGCAGCTGTATCGCGCTGCTGCTGTTGCTGCCGCTCCACTTCGCTGCTGCAGCCCCAACACACATCTGGCTGGTCCCAGATACACAAAAGCCCCTCATGATCCCATGAGGCATGCTGCTGCTGCTGCGGCAGGTGGGGGCCATACGCCAGCGCCTTCGTCTGCTGCTGCTGCTGCAAACGCGGATTCGCGTTTTCCGGGCTGAGGGCTGTCCTCTCGAATGTCATGCAGCAATCGTCGGCCAGTGGATGCAGGCAGTGCTGCTCTTGCTGCTGCCAGAGACCGTCTTGCAGCTGCAAAGTCGCTGGCTGCTGCTGCTGCAAAAGGAGAGCGTCCCGAACAAGGAGGGGTTGCTGCTGAGAATCGATGTGCAGATCTTGCTGCAAAGGGCCGTGAGACAGGTGCTGGTGTTGCTCCTGCTGCGGAGGGTCCCACGGAAGCCGCTGACGCCGCGGCATCCACGGATACAGCTGCTGCTGCTGATAGTTCTGCTGCTGCTGCTGAAGTGAGCGCCGCCGATTTCCTCCTTGCAGCGCCTGTTGCGGGAGGTCCTTGTGGCTTGGCCTTCCCTGCCGTTGTGGCTGCACCAGAAACACTTGTTGCTGCTGCTGCTGACGCAGCTGCCGCTGGAAAGCTTTCGGCAGCTTCCGATTCACCGCAGGAATGACTGCGGCAGCCTTGGTAACCGGCAGATGCCGCTGCGGAGACAGCCCCTTGCTCTGCGTTCCCACGGAGCGTCCCTGCTGCTGCTCCCAGCCAATGGCATTGTGCAGCTGCATTGGATAGTCCAGGCAGACACCCCCAGTTCCACAAGTCCACGCAGTCTCCACGGCGACGAAAGACGCAGGAGGCTCCGCAAGGTAGCTAGCCAAACCGTCCTGCTGCTGCCGTTGCTGCTCCGCGTCGGCTTGCTGCTGCAGACGGTCCGCGCGGGATGATGTTGTACCCGAAATTTCTTGCGGTGTCTGCTGCGTTTCCGAGGGCGACCGCTCTCTGACCACCATCCCCTCCTTCTCTTCACTCTCGACTGCAACAGTCGGCGCAGCTGCTGGTGCTCCCGAAAACGCGAAGGGGGAGAGGCAAGGGGCCGGCGAGGAAGTGCACGTGCTGTTGCTGCCGCTGCTGTTGCCGGAGGAGCTTCCCAAGCTGCTCCTGCTACTCACATCGCCATCAGGAGCTTCCGCGAAGGCACTCACGCCGGAGGAGGAGACAGCAGCAGCAGCTGCTGCTGCTGCTCCTCCTGCTGCTGCTGTCACAGGATCTGCCACGTCCTTCTTGGAAGCTACGCCGTTACTGGCTGTCACTGCGAGACCGCGCATCTCCTCGGGTCCGTGCTGCATGCAGCGCAGACGAATCAAAGAAAGCAACTCAGTACCAAAAGCGTCCACTCCAGTGTCTGTGTGGCTGTGCTAAAAGGGGCCTTTTCCTCTCTTTCTCTCTCTCGAAGCCAGTCTGTTGCACGAGCAGCAGGGAGGGCTGCAAACTTACCGCATGCCGACAAAGGTTCCCGACGGCACACCGCCCCAGTTGCCACTTCACGCAGAGAGCCGTCTTGTACACTTCCCTGAAGCAAGCAGGCAGGAGCGCATGCAGAAGCAATGGCACTACCAGGAATAGCCTTGACCCTTGACGCCTGGCGGGGGTGCCCACAGATGCAGCAGGCAGCAGCAGCAGCTGCTGCCGCCTCTGCAGACGTCCAAGCAGGCAGGCGTCGTCATCTTGCAGAAGAGTAAAAACAGCCCGCAGCTGCACCCTACGCCTACCCCGTAGCTCTAAGTTCCTGAGGCTGATGAGCGTAAGAGCAGTCTCGATTCACGCATCTCCCCAGTTGCTTAAGTCGTGGACAGAGAGAGGTTCTCCTCAAGTCTGGGGTTGCTCTCAACTCCATCGCATTATGAGCAAACTGACAACTCGTTCCCCTATCGCAGCGGCCGCGCGAGAACCAAGGACACATCTTTGTCTGAAAACAAAACAGAAACAACCCTGGAGATTCTACTCGAGAAGAAGACTCTGCGAGACACTGACCGCGACACCTGCAGCAATTTGAAACCCTTCCCAAGGCACTATACACACAGCCCCTGAATGCAATAAGCCCAGTGGTAAAAGAGGAAGGAAACACGGCTGCGACCAACACCAGCGCTCCGATGGGGTTGCTCCAACAACAGGAGGCGCACCTTGTAGAACTGCTGCTTCCGCTGCAGCAAAGACGACGTCTTCGCGGCAAGACTGGGAGGCCTCAAAGCAGTCTGTGGAGGACCTTGAACCCCCTGACTCCTCTGCAACAGCTCAAGGGGCCGCTGGGAATCCTGCTGGGCTGGAAAGTGTAGGAAAGAGGCAGCAGAGACGGTGGGCATCTTCTCACTCTTCACAAAACTCTGTTCTGATCCGATGCCAGAGCCCGCCCCGGAAGACTCCTCCTGCCACTGCTGTTGCGGCATCTCCTGCATTCTGTCCTTCGTTGGGGAGCTCTCAAGCCGCTGAGTCAAGTGTGCATCCTTCACGTGGCGGCGGGAGGGCACGGTGCTGCTGTTGCTACTGAAGCAGCTGCTATTTGTGGACGCCAGGGCCGTCATTGGGAACAGAGCTGCTGCTGTCATTGCACAAAGTGCAGTGCTCGCTGGGTTGCGCTGTTGCCGTGCTGCCTACACACTGTGGAAGGTATTCAGGCGGACGGCCAGATCGAGATGGGCAGTCGCGGTGCAAAACGTTAAAACCAAGTACCACCGCCCTCTAAGAAAGAAGGAAAAAGCATACAGAGCCCCACTAAATGTGGAATGAGACTCCTGGGGACGCTGCACGCGGCGAGGTCAGTGGCCGATGTCTGCCCTGAAGGGCCCACAAAAGTCCACGTATGCGAACGATGGGGGGTTCGCACGCAGAGGGAGACCTTTTAAAATTGATTTTTGAGAGACGGCAGCCAAAAAAGGCGCAGAGGACGTGCTTTGTTGCTGTTGCGGCCCGGTAACGCGGCAGTGCCTCAGGGAAACGGAAGAGGGCGCCTCCTTCCATAAGGTCAGACTGGAGTAGCTACCGCTTACGTGCTATACAAATAGCATTCCTGGAAGCTGAGAATAGCAGTGCACGCAAAAAAGGATTTAAAAAAGACCAAATATAGCAGAGTACCGAGCACCTGTGGGGCTGCATAAGGGCCACCGCGGGAACCGGTCGGTAGTGGCTGCCATGCGACTTGAGTGAGCCAAAAGAAGATGCCAAGGAAAGAGAGCAGTTCTGTGAGGCCCGCGAAAAATTAAAGCACCACAAAATTCAAAAACGGAGAGGAAGCAGGGGCCCCCTCTCCCTCCTCTTGCACTCCCAGCCCCACAGCCCCGCACAGAGTGGCGCTGGGCCCGAGGGCAAAAGCATGAGCCGGCACACTACAGCTGGAAGCTCGGGAATAATTCGCTTTCAGTGTGTTTGTTTCCTTTCAGATTAAGTTTCATTATTTACACGCCTTCTTTCGCCTCGTGGGGCGCACCAAGGCTTAGCTACTGCTGCTGTCCAGAGCCACACAAACATGGACCCCACGGAGTTTGCCCCTATATCCAGAAGGGAGGCACTGAGTACTTTCACACAACTCAATAGGTTCTTGACCTACCGCGAATAGACACGTCCATCCGCACCTCTGTATCTCCTTTTTGGCCACACCATTAAGCACTGAATAGGGAGGCGATGTGATGGGCATCACCCCCGAAGATACGCGCTTTCACAAGGTTCTGCCTCGGCATCGTCCTTCAAACGCCCCACTACAGCCTCGGGAAGGTCGGTTATGCCACAGACACATCTATGATATCAACTTGTTCCACAACGAACAGGTGAAGATCATGGTTAGGCGACTCGTCGCGGATTCACACACATACGCCAACAACTCAAGGTGATCGATCAAATGCGGCGAGCAAAACTACACTCTGTCCCAATCTACTACTCCAGCTACACTTAATTAAGAGTAATCAAAAGAAAGCCTGCTTGGTTTGACTGTTCGTGCATCCTGATAGTTACAGAGTAGCGTTAGCTCAGTACATTGACGGGCAGCCTTTACCGCTACACACAAGCCCTCTGCGCATAAAAGACACTCCACACATGGCTGAAATACTGAACTTTATCGATAGTTACTAACTCTTTGTGAAACGAACTCTCTTCGTCCCCTGCCAACGCCCTTCAAGGCTCAGAACACGAGAGGGGGGATAACCATCGTGCGCGTAGCCACATCCTCTAAGCATTCCGAGCACTTGCAGCTAGATGCACGTAGCATCTACCATATACACAAACAGCACTGCGTCTTTCAACATTGAGCTAAGGCTACCCTGCAATTAATATGGTATATGGACAGAGAAACTAATTGTTGCCTTCCGCGAACATTCATAGCTTGATACAACTAGCGCAGTAGAAAGTGTTTGTGTGCTACGTAGCCCGCTACTTCTCACTGCTCACTATTCCAAAATAGATGCTTTCGCGCTGCGTACATGTACAACATTAACTGTGAGTACGACAGCAAAGGAATTTCCGCCCACTAGTTACTCCCCTGACAGGCAGAAACACAATACGAGTGCAGTTGAAAAGGCGAAAGTGGGAAGCAGGCGATACCTGCAAAAAAATAAACACATACAAGCCAACAATGAAGGACCAAACCAGTATAACCGCGGGGGCGCGATGGCTCGCTGTCGTCGGCGCGCTGAAGTGCATGAGGCTACTGCTAAGGGAAACTAGGAGACAGGCAAAATGTGTGAAGAGAATAAAAATGCAAGCTAGCTTTCCGGTGCCTCTGCGCCTCTCCCAACAATCTTGGTGTGAATGCACAGTTGTCCGAGCCCTGAAAAGTCTTCGTGAGGTAGATTTAATAGTGACGGTCAGTGCTGATAGTTAAATGACGCCCATTTAAAACTGACGGAATCTTCCAGCGTCTTTCCACACCGCAAAGACTGCCTTTCATCGCACTGCATACCGCTGCTTGTTTTTGGCAAAGTAACAAAAGTATCAAGCGGTAATATGATGTATCTTCGAGCCCCTAGCCTATTGGGAAAGATTATCGCCCATAGCCTTGGCACCACCAATAGCTTTTAATAAGGAGTGAGTATCTGGATTGGGCAGTTCTCCAGACCATGAAATGTGTTTTCTCAAGTAGATCAGTCAAAGGAGCAGCGACCGGAGTAAATATACGAGTTCAATTTCGGCGATATGGTGCAAGCTGACGTAGCTTTCCAGACTTTTTAATGGTGCGTACACGTCAAGGCCACAACTTGATTGCTTCACTTTTGGCACATCGGCTCAATTGAAGCTACTATGTTCACATCCTCTTGCAGGCCGGTCTCTGCCGCCTACACGGGCGTTCTGCCACCCTCAACCTCCGTCTTTGGAAGGGTTTTCCAGCCCGCTATCAAGCAAACTGCGAATATTGAATTCCGGGATGAATTGACAGAAGCCAAATCTGTGGTAGAGACACGTTGATCCTGCGTCCATCTTCAGCTAGTACATGAGCGGGAAACATTTGCAACGAACTATGCGGTGATAGCAACTATAACGCTTTTATCAGGGTCTCCGTATGAGAACTTTTAGCTTTGGATGTTTTTCAAACGCAAAACTGGTAGAACGTTATTACTTATATCTCGATGGAGCTTTTTCTTTTACCTGACGACGTTCCTTGGGCTTTCCCACATGAGGGGAGCGAGCTAGCTAGGCTGCGCGTACCTGAATCCTCTAAACATTTCGAGTGTATGCAGCTAGTTACACATGGCATTTAACGCACACATACATAACATTACGATTTCTCGTATCGACTTCACGGTACTCCGCACTAGAGAATGATGCACGAACATATCAATCAATGTGTTTGTTCCTCTCTAATTCTTAGTTAAGAATAACAAGTGTAGTAGAAAATGCTGATTTGTAGCGTGAACCGATACAGGAGTGCTCGCAGAACGCAGGAAATAACAGCCTTGCAGGCGACTCCTGTCATACCAGGCCGGTGTTGAATACAAACAAGGAAGAGTTTCTTGAAAGGCCCTCGTAATGATCATCCTGCAAGGTATTTTAGGGTCTAGTTCGTGACTCAAGTTGGAACGCTCCGGGGGGCCACCGCGGGGGGAGGCCCGTGAAACAAGCGTTTGTATTATCCAATGATTAGGAAAATAGGGTATCTGAGCCACCGAATTCCTCCGCAGACACCAAGCGCGTTACAACCATTTTAGGAACTAGCCTTCCACAGGCTGGCGCGACACGTCATGCACGCCATCAGTAGTAAAACCACTTGATACTACCAGCCTAACTCTGGCGCAATTCAGGCATTGAGGGCTAAAGTTTCCACATCTTGAGCTTATCATACGAAAACATAGAGGAATCACCCCGTTGCTGTGGTCAACCTAATGAGGAGCAGTTCCCGACCCCTCATGCTTCCATCGTTCTCGTGTGGCAGCGTTGGGCCTTGAATAAAGCATCCTAGCCCGTGGTCCGGTCTACTGTGATCCTGCTTACAACAGTGGAGTATCACAATTGGGTAAAACGCAATCCTAAAATACCCGAGATGACACCTTATACCAAGACAACGCATGCACAGTCGTATCGTAGTTAGCTACCTTACCGCCGGGTCAAGGGTAGCCCACTCCTCCCATTTGGCTTTTTCTGCCCTTTTTCGCTGCTCTTTGTTGCTGATTTTTGCACTAGAAAACAATGGAAAACAAATCAAAATAATTTGCCCAAAAAGCATGAAAGAAGGCTGGAAAACCGTGGCAGGCGCTGATGTCCATCCGCTTAAGAGGCAATATCACACCCGCATGTGCAGCGAGGCAGGGGAGGCGCGGGGTGAGCAGCAGCAGCAGCAGCAGCAGCAGCAGCAGCGACGGCAGCAGCACCAGCAGCAGCAGACCGACTTGCTACTGTGGCTTTTGAATGTCTATACGCCTACGAAATTGCCTCTTTTTCGCCGCAGCGGTTTATTTTACCACGTCAGTCTCTTTGGGAAGTTGAGAGTCCCGAATGCGCAGCATTTTTCGCGCTTTTGCGCGGCACCAGCTGCAGCGGTGCGCAGTCAGCAGCAGCAGCAGCAGCGCCAGCATCAGCAGCAGGCCTGCGGCCACCCGTGTGCTGCAGCAACAGCAGCTGCAGCAGTTGCTGCCTCGAGTCTTTCGCAGCGCGATCCCAAGTGAGGCGTCGCTTCCCATCCTTACTGCTTTTTAGGGCACCCTGGATAAAATTAGATAGTGGTGAGCGCCTTGTGCGGCGTTCGGGGGCCTCTTTCCCGCGCATTTTCGGCCAGGGAGAGGTAATCCTCCGCCCCACGCTTTAGGGCGTATATGTAAAATATCGCAGCGATAGATTGCTGCGTAATTAGAGTTACAGGGGTTGCTCTAGAGGTCATCAACTGGGTAAGGAAGCCTCAGAAAACTGGCTTCCGGGGGTGTCCAATTAACCATTGGGCATCGCCGTTTCGTGCACGGGGGAACGGGGCTGGACCAGAGGAGCAGCGGCTTGTCTCCCACCATAAGCAGAGGCACCGGCAAATCCAAAGGATTAGAGTCGCTAAAGAGGTCTCGGAAGCTGCGTTCTTGTCTGCAGCCGCTCGCAGGCTGCGCAGCCGTGCAGTTTTTGTTTGAACGGTCCAGTGAGTCAGCGTTGCGTCTGCAACGGAAGGAGCAGCAGCAGAGGCAGTGGCGGCCGCCGCTGGGGTGCCGGCAGGGGGCGTTGCAGCGGCGTGCGCAGTCGTTCCTGCGAAGGCTTCCATAGCAGACGCCTCGAGATCAGGTATATGCGTGAGGCTGCCACACACCGAGTGGCAGCAGCGGGTGCTGCAGGGGCAGGATATGAGGCCTGAGATGACACAGCCGTGTTCCCCCTCCGTAGTCGTGGGCATGGAGGAATATCCTGTCTTCTTGTCCCCTCCTGGGAGCGCGCTTGCCGCCAGCAGCAGCAGCAGCCATGCGGTGGCTTCTCAGCAGCAGCCGCTGCTGCATGTAACGGGAGATGTGTCTTGCTACAGAGAGGGCACGCTGCATCGTCTTATAGCCGCGAGGAACATTCCGGGGGTTCGGCAGTGGTTAAGCAACCCATTTTGTCGAGATGCAGTCAACGACTTCAATCACGCAGGTGTGTTGCTTGCACCCTATGCCGCTTCTGCGCACAGACTTCTATTGCTCGGTGTCCGCCTCGGGTGAGGGAGGGAACGTGTCAGCGTTTCTTGTTGGATAGCGGGGGCGCTTTCTGACGGCGTTCGTGTGTGTCTGTGGCGACTGAGCGTGTGACTGCTGCTCCTGCTTGCCGCTGCGCTCTGCCTGCTACGTGTTTGTTTTAGGGGAGACCCCACTGCATGTCGCCTTACATGTGTGTGAGCCTCGCATTCTCTCGCTTTTGCTGAGCCCCCCGCCGGCGCAGTTCCCCCCCCAGTGCATTCTCTCCTGCAACGGCAGCAGCAGCCGCAGCGGCGCGTGTGTGAGCGGGGAGCCAGAGGGTGCGGAGGGCTCGCTCTTATCGGCGGACTGGCGAGCGCATGCGGCGCGTGCAGCAGCGGCTGCTACTGCGGCAACCGTCGACTTCTCGCTGCCTTTAGATGACATGCCCGCCCTCCACATCCTCGTGGGCCGTTCATCCTTCGCCGAAGTTCGCGCAGATGCAGCTGAGTGCCTCAGACGCTTGTTATACCACGCAGGATTGCTGTATGCAGCCTCAGGCGGCTCACGCGTCTGCAGCCGCTGCACGCTCACAAGCACCAGAAGCAGGGATCTGTCGACGGCTTGCCCAAAGGAGGAGGCCCGTCAGGTTCAGTGTGGCGCGCAGGAGTTAGATTTGGATGCAACGGATGGCAGCGGAAAGACGGCGTTGCACGTTGCTGCTGCTGCGGGGGGTGCAGCTGCCGTCGAGTTGCTGTTGCATGCGGGGGCGGATCCGCTGATAGCGGATAAGCGGGGGTTGATGCCGCTGCATGTGGCTGTGGACAGCCGCTCTGTCGAGTGCCTTTTGCTGCTGCTTGCGCATTCTTTCCCGGAGGACTGCTTTTTGTGGTGCGTGGACTCTGCTGCGGAGACGCTGCAGCGGCAGGAGGATGCGCAGCGACTCGTTGTGGGGAGTGCGGCAGCAGAGGCTGCAGTGTCGACCGAGGGGGCCCTCGCCGGGGGGGCCCCTCCCGATGTGCGGGCCTTTAAGAGGGTTGTGTTGCAGCGGGCGGAGAGGCGGCCTCTGCTGCCCTGCGCATGCAGCAGCAGCCTCGTCTACAGGATTGCCAGACGCTGCGTTCGCCGCTCCTCCTTTCGTTGCCTGGCAGCGCTGCTGTCATACCCCGTGTCTGCTGCTGCAAGCGCCAGCGGCAGCGGCAGCGCAGCAGCAGCTGCTGGCGAGTCGTGCATGGCGCTGCAGCTGCTTCATGAGCAGCAGTTGCGGGAGCTTCTCTGCGTTGCTCGCCGTAGCGGGTGTCTGCAGTTGTTTCTTGCAACCGTCTATGAGTTGGTGGACGCGGAGCCGTCCATGTGCAGCGTAGCGAAGGCTGTGTTTGCCGAGGCTGGGAAGACTTCCTCGAACTGCGGGGCACCACCGACTGCTCCTCAGCCGGTGTATGTACAGCAACGCTGCAGCAGCAGTAACAGGACGTACCGCATTCCTGAGGGGTCAGGGACCTTGCTGGCTACGCATGAGAGCTGCATGCGCCACTTGCCGCTCCCCGAACCCTCCGATTTCCCCGTCAAGCGATTTAAGCTGATGCAGAGGTTCCCCGAGAACCCCAGCAGGCTAGAGGTGTGTTCGATCCGCATGCCCTAGATTCATGATGCATAGGCCCCACCAGACGCTGCGTGCGTGCTTGTTGCTGACTGCGTGTAGCTGATATTTCGAAGTTTTGGAATGCCGTCGAGGGTGCGCTCTGATTGCAACTTTTATCGCGCTTGCTGTAGGTGTTGGTGCAACCGTCTTCGGGCGTCCTGAAGGCTGCGGAGTTCAGGCACTTGGACTGGATCGATTCTGCACCGCCGGCGTCGTTGGCAGACATCCTCCGAGTGCACGACGTTAGCTATATCTTCAAATTGAAGCAAAAGTAAGGGACAAAGCTTGGCTGGCTGCTTGGTGAAAGGGGTCTCGGTAGAGCAGGTGTGAGTGCTGTTATCGTAAGCTTTGGGGGCGGGGCGTGTAAATGTATGCCTTGGCGCAATACCGTTTTTCTAGTGAGTCTCTCTCTCTCTCTATGGATTTTTTTGGGTATGCGCATGCATGTACTTATGTATCTATGTGTATGTGGATGATTGTATTTTATGTGTATGTGGATGATTGTATTTTATGTGTATGTGGATGATTGTATTTGATGTGTATGTGTATGCATGTATGAACGAATGCATGGTTGTTTGTATGTGCTTGTATGCGCTTACAATGTGGGTTCCTGAGTGTCGATGTGCATATTTATATCTATACATGCATATATGTATGTATGTGCATGTTATTATGTACACGTATGTCTGCGGTGGCACTTTTTTACTGCTGCAGAATACGCAGTACCTTCGGCACTTCTTCAGTTAAAGGGCCCTCGGGCGGCAACAGCGCTGTGGGGCCCACAGGGTTGGACAAGTTTGCGTATTCGTTTGCTGATGGCGATACGCCAGTGACAGCTTTGAGTTGGGAGGCAGCCACCTGCGCTGCGGGAACTGTAATTGCGGCTGTGGATGCGGTTTGTACTGGCGCTAGGGTTAACGCCTTTTGTGCGGGTAAGCAGCAGTAGCGGCAGCAACTGCAAGGGGGGGAAGGGGGTAGTGGGCGTATGCGGAAAGGGGCTTGGTGGTGTGTGCAGTACTGGCCACGTGAATATGCACAGAGCGTGGTTTAGGAGGTGCTGTGTGTTCTTCCTGTTGCAGTCAGGCCGCCAGGTCATCATTTGGGGAGCTGGGGGGCTGCTCAGACAGCTCCCTATTCCCTGACAGACGAGGATATTGCGTAAGCGGCTTTCGAGAGCGTCTTCTTTGTTGTTGCCCACCTTGCTGTCTCAGCATTTGAGGGTTCCAGTCAAAGAAGGCCTCCCGTCAAGCGCGCTTGTGGCTGCGTTGCAGAGCGGGGAGTCAGGGCTTTTGCGTTTTGAATAACGTGGCCATTGGTGCTGCCTATGCGCGGTACAACTATGCACAGAAAGGTAGGCTTTTGTACACTGCGTTCCTGACCATCGATCCTGCAGCATTGGGGGAGGCGCGCCTTAATCCGCTTCCGCCTTCTCTTGTGTTGAGGATTTCGCGGAGGCGGTGGCTGCTGCTGCTGCTGCTGCTGCTGTGTTTCTCCATGCATTCGCGGGGCGTCTTTCACAAAGGATCTTGCCGCGGCTGTGAACTTGAACGGTGCCGCAGGTATTCGCCGCATAGCAATAGTGGATTTCGACGCGCATCACGGAAACGGGACTGAACAGATAATTCGGAACGTTGGTCTCAAATTTAGAAAGCTGCAGGTACGTATGAATGTGTATCTATCGAGATCTGCAGCCACAGTACAGTAAACCCCCCAATATTTTAGCAGATCCTAGGCCTTCTACCGTTTGACTCAGGGGGGTACCTCCGAGTTCGTGAATACTCGTACATATCCGAAACTTCAGGAGTGCAATGCATGGAGCCCTGCCCCTCTGTGGACTGTTAGGAGTTTCGATATTACACCATTGTGTGCGCTGCGTTCGGGCCCTGTGAACGTGGTCGTAGGGCTTGTCTACATTACTGTCCGACAGCAGCTCACCGGCTGAAGTGCATCGCGCTCCTCCAAACCCCCAGTGGGGTGACCATCCTGACTGCTGCGAATCCGACGGCCTTAGGGGATCGGCGGAAGACGGGGGGGGGAGTCTTCATGACTTTCCTGTACAGCTCCCCATGTGGTTGGGCTGGCGCGATGAGAGCGACCAAGATGAGCTCTTCTTCGCTTCTATTCATGGTCCGCTACAGCTGCTAGGATGTTCTCTAATGCCGCAATTCCTTTTTGGCTACGACGCAGATAGAATGGAAATGCGTATCTGCATTTCCATTCTGCATGCACACGTCTCCTGCGTCCGCTGCGTATATATATATACATATATACATATATACATGCATGCGCGTATGTATGCATATATATATATATATTCATGGTCGTGTCTGTGTCTGTGTCTCTCTGTGCATTTGTTCGCTACAGCTTTTGACGGCAGCTTCTATCCTGGCACAGGCAATGACTGTGAAGACTTTAGTAAGCTGTGTAGACCCCTGCCCGCCGGGGCATTGTTCGTGGACTCCTTCTGATGCAGATAGGGTTTTTTTTTTACGGCGTCGCTCACCTCGGTCCGTGCGGTGTATGCACGCACGTTAGTGTATGTGCTTATGCGCATGTGTCTCATTCCATGCGCATGTTGTGGGTGTGTTTGTGAATAATGGCTTTCACAGGTGGTCCCACAATCCTTAACGTGACGATGCCAGTCCACGACGCTTGTTTCACACCTGTGGAGGGATCGGCGGAGGGTGACTCCTGCTGCCACTGCCGCCGTTGCCGTGAGCGGACTTGCATGGGCACGCGCGCACGCGCTGCTGCTGTTGGTCATGGCACTCCAGCAGTGGCAGCAGCAGCAGCAGTTGGGGGAGTTCTCAAGCCATACCGCTGCCACTGCTGCCGGCTCCCAGGTCTACCGCATCGTTCTGTGCGGAGTCGCTTGCTGTTTAAGGAGCGCGTCTTGAAACGGCTGGATGCCTTCAAGCCCGATCTCATTTTCCTCAGTGCAGGCTTTGATGGACACATCAAGGATCCCATTGGGGGCGAGGCCGTGGGCTGGACGGAAGACGACTTTTACTGGCTCACGATGCAGGTGCAACGGGCAGCCCACCGCCACTGCAGTGGCCGCTGCATCAGCGTCCTAGAGGGCGGATATAATGTAAGGGGAGGCGTCATTTCTCCCCTGGCTCTCTGTGTTCGAGAACATGTTAGAGCCCTCGTCAAGGCCGCGCACATGCGCCTTGAGACACATGCCAAGCCTCGTAAAACACAGGGCTCATTGAGCAGGGTTCCCGAGGAGCTGATTGCCCAAGGAGCTTCAGAGTCGCATGCGCCGCGCCACCAGGAGGCCTCTAGCCCACTGGGAGACGATAGGGTCCCTGCAGGACGTGGGGAAGATGCTCTGGAGGGGTTCTCCGGGGGAGAGGAAGAGTTTCTAGTAGAAGATGAAAGCGACAGCGGCTTTTCGAGCTCGGACGATGAAGCTGAAGCCTTTTTTGATGCATATGAAGCTGTCGAGGGGGGTGGGGCCCCTTTTCAAGGCGCCTTGGTAGAGCCCTCAGAGGGTCCTTTGTTCGTTGCTGACGGTCCAGGGGGTTCTCTACAGCAGCCGGTTGTCAGCCTGGGTGCCGCTATGGGCTCTCCTTCGCGAGCAGGTGTCGCCGGATCTCCCATCGATAGCCATCAGCCGATGTCAGGGGGCCCTCTTTCTTACGTCAAGGACTCACTGAGGGCCTCGCTCCCACACCCGAGCGCAGCAGCAGCGACGGCTGCAGCAGCTGCTGGGGGGGAGTGGCTTGGTAATGTAACTGGGGAAACGCGCATCTTTCATTCCATACAGGAGGGTGTGCAAAGCCCTTCGGCGATTTCCTCCGTCTCGGAGGACAGTGCCGCGGCAGGAGGGGGTTCGGAGGCTTCCCCAGCAGTTGCAGTAGGGGTGACGCATGTAGGGGCCCCTGGCGATTGTGCTGGCCCAGTAGCGGGAAGCCACGCGGAGGTGTTGCCATCGCTCTACCAGCAGCAAGGCCTCATGGTGCTTACCGCTTCAACGAGCGCAAGTGAAGAGGGAAAACCCCAAAGCATTGGGCTAGGCGAACCCCCTGCTCTGGAGGAGGGGGAAGTATGTAGCAAGGCTGTGCGGCTTCGATACCTTTGCGGATTTCCCGTGTAGTAGAGCCTTCCAGCTTTCTGTTGTTGACCTGGGGTGTGGTACAGTTGCAAGCAGCTGCCTTCGCCTCTCTTGGGCGGGGGTGGGCAGAGAATTGAAGGGTCGGGTTGTGCTGTTTGCATGCATACCCTGAAGACTAAATTATTTTTAAATGGTCAAGGCGCCTGGGCGGCCCCGGTGGGCCTTCCCCGATACTTGTAACAGTTTCTAGGGGACGTAGGGCCATGGAGCAGTGGCCCCCAGGTGTACGGCCAGTTGCAGCTTGCTGCGCAGTCATACTTAATTCTTCAAATTTCTGCTGCAGTGCACGATATGTTGCCTGGTTCCTGCATCAAGGCTTAGCCGGAGCTGTTGCTTTTCACATTCTGCAGGCTCCTGGAAAACCCGCATGCAATGAGCAGTGAATGCGGTGCACGCACATTCGTGCTTCAAGCCCCCGTGTCTGGTAGAGATAGCAGCTGTGTCTACGGACTACATGGGGTGCTCGGGTTGTATCGACACCCAGCATGTGCGCATATAGCCTTTAGGATGCATGGATAGGATGGCTTGCAGAGGCCAGTTGACGAGGTTTTTGCTGGCTGCACGAAGCCGAGGGTGCGTGGTCTTGGGGGGTTCGATTTAACGGCTCAGTGTTACGCTGGTGAGGTATACGTATACGCTTCGGCGTGCTTTCTCTTCCCTTTCTAGAGGGTGGAGGTGCTAGCTGGTGCTGCTACTGTAGGTCTAGCCCCTGCATTCTGACGGCAACTTGTGCTGCTGCAGCATTTGCGGCGGACAGCAGGCTGCTTGCTACAGTGCTTCTTTCTCGGAGGAGACTGAACTAAGTGTGCGGCCCCAATGCATGCCTGTATGCATGCGAAAACGCTAGTTCAAGGGGGAAGCATTTGCACGCGCTTTTGGTAGATTGCGCTGCCTTTATAAGGGAAGGCCGCTCGCAGGCTGAGTGCTGCCAACTTGGGGTCGGGCCTGCTAAGCTTGGCGCAAGCGCAATATTTGGTGCTAATGCGCCTGGTCTTCACTATGGGCCTTGTAGATGATGAAAGTCGGGCAGGGATAGTTTCCCAAATATGTAGACCTTCACAGTCCCGTGCTCGATTTGTGTGCAGTGGTAGGCACTCCGTCAGTCATCAGCGGTGGCCAACTCCACGAGCCTCATGGAATTTCTCTGCTCCTCCTCTATCCGGGCCTTGTCCTGCACGGACGCGTTGCGCATGCACGACACACACTACCCCGATAGTTCCGCAGCCAACAACAAACGGATGAGATTCATCGTGAAGGGGTCCCAGAAGGCACTAAACACCACGGAAGGGAGGAAGGCATGGCGGCTGCTGGGGCAGGGTGAAGGGATGCGCTAGAAGTCTACGCCTAAAAACACACATCCTCCGACGGCGTGAGCCTGATGATTCGGTTGCAGATTGAGACCAAGTCTGTGTCCTTGCTAAAGCGTCCTTGGCTCTTGAGAGCCGCAGCAACTTTCTGCAGCTCCTCTTCAGTGAGACACAAAAATCGTCCCCTGTCGTCTAGGACGCCGCATAAACGACCGCACTCCCGCAGGGATTCAAGGCGCTTCACGCAGTCCTGCTCGGCATAAACGCATCCTCAAACACGTCTCACGAAGGCTAGAGAATCGCGACAGGGGGGAAAAGACCTACAGAGATTCTAAAAGTCTGACCGGACCGTGAGCGGTCCATGATACGTTCATCTGCCAAGGTATACGCATGCCGGCAGAATGATCCAAACCGAGAAACCGAAATCGCTCGAAGGTGTATTCGAACATTGTGAGGGCTGAGTTGGTGCTGTGAAGGAATAAAGAAATTGCACTAACGCACTTTCGTCTTCAGCCCGAACTCAGCGGCAATTTCCTCCAGGTCTACAGCTTTGCGCATTCTGATAAAACGCAGAAAGCGCTCCAACTGCTGGGCCTCCTCTTCTGGCGAAATCTGTAGCTCCCCCTCAGCCTCTATCTTGAAGGCTTTCTGCAAGCATGCAACCCGATGCATACGTATACCTTCCTACAAATGTTTCCCTTCCACTTGTAAAGGTGAAATCCTTCGTGTACAGAGAGAGACGTGCGTGTAGAAAGAGCCCACCATCTTATAGGCAATATATGGATATCTCTACTTGCTCGGAGAAATAACCTGATATAAAGATACTTTGCTGTGTATTTATGTATGCATATGTATGGCTATGTATGCGCATATACACCCAAACGCCACCGAATCCACGTGTATATGAACACGCATACACAGGATAAAAAAGCAGGCCGATCTTGTGAATGAGGCAGCGGTCATAAGACTATGAAAACGCACGCAGCAACTAGAACGCATGTATGCAAGCCTTTCTTGAGGAAAGCACAAAAAGTAGCCTGTCTGCCATGGCCCAACAGAGAACAGGCCCCTTAGGTTCCTGCAGCAGTGCACTAAGGAGATCCTTCAGATGGAATGCTACAGAAGAGGGTTGAAAGAGCCACTTGCCTTCCACTCCTCGTATTCCTCTTGCTCCTTTTTGCGCTTTTCTTGCGCCAAACGCTCCTCCTCAGCCTCCTTCTCTGCCCATAGCCTTTCTCGCTCTGCCTGAGCGACAGCAGAATGCCATGAGACACCACCAAACTAGAGACGCGCCAATGCACAATTGAGTCCTCCAATATATAGCGGGGTCTCTAGCTAGAAGCTTACGTGCGGCAAGGCAAGACAAGGCCCTTTTTCGCTTTTTTTGAGCAATTTCCGCTATCTCTTCTAAGGCGGTGGTTCTCCTATGTGTAGGGCAGTTAAGAGAGTCCAGCGTCAAGAGGCTTTCACTGAGCTCTTTTCTAGGGGCAGAGTACCTGACGCTTTCTGTACGCTTCTTGCTTTGCCTGCTTGTGCGAGAGGCGAGGGCCCTCCTCCTCCTCCTCCGAGTCTGATGCAGCAACGGCTGCAGCAGCTGCTGCAGCCGCTGCAGCTGCAGCGGCTGCTGCAGCTTCCCCCTGCTGCCGCCGCTGCTCGCGCCGCTGCTGCCGCTCCTCCTTCTCCCTCTGAGCAGCTTTCAGGCTCGAGGCGACAAGTGTCTCGCTTGCACTTGCTGTAGGACCCCCAGCCATCAGTTCCTCCATAGCTGAGCGGTCAGTCCTGCGCTTGCGGGCTTCAACAGCCCGCGGCTGTGAGCTGCGCAGCTCGCAGGGCAAAAAGACGGCACAGCGAGGCGAAATTTAAAGAGACAGCAGGGATTATCCAGCCGAAGCTCTTCATCTACGGCATGAACATGCGCATCACATGCTAAGTGCATGGGTAGAGGACAGGACAAGCAGCTCCCTCAATCGATAAACCTGAAAGCTAAAGAAACTGGAGAGCAACGGAGCGACACTTAGCTTGAACTACGTCGATCTTGAGAAAACAGCGCACCTCTTGGGCGTGATTTCAAGCGAGCGGCTTCGAAGGAGAAAGAGAACTCCTCCTATAATGACGCAAAGGGCTGCAACTCCAAGGGCAGCTGCAGTAGTGCTGCTGATGCCTAGGCCATCTTCCTCAAAACCGCGTTGCTGTGTTTGCCTTTGGGCAGACGCAACCGAGAAGCAGCTGTTCATAGACCAAACGATCGGTAATAGAGCTAAAGAAAGCGTACGTGGTTGTAGAGGCTCCCTGTGAAGCGAGAGGGCCCACTGCAATGCCTGCTGGCTGAGGCGAAGCGGGTGAAATGCCATCGTGCAGGGAGCACCTGGTGGATATATGGAGGCAGCACAAAGAAGAAATGGCGGTCCCTTCTGCTACATCAGTAGAGAGGGGAAAGATGTCAAGAAGACAGGTTAACTCCTGCGGGTATAACGATTGAAGCAGCACTAGTCTCGGTACATGAGCAACGGCGGCAGTGGTAATAAGCAGACAAAAAAAGAAGACAGGCGGACTCTATGAGTCGAAAAAGTGGTGCCCCTCTCTCTCGAAAGTGCCGCTGTCTTTACAAATTCATGGTCAATGCAGGTAGCGGAGCACTGTATTTCCGACTCCGCGCGAAAGGAGCCTTGCCACGGGGTGAAGAAACAGTATAATATAGTATAACGGCAAGAAAATGCATTACACGGTGACTAGCATCGTGGGAAAATAGGTAGGCAATCTCAGAGCGGCAGCGAAACAGTTCCTAGAGAACCCGTTAATGCGGCTGGCTGCTGCATGCAGAGTGCTGTAGGCTGATAAGATATGTAGGAATGCCTTTGAGAAGTAGCATGCGATGTGTGCAAGCAAGTCAATGCATGCTTTGTCTTCCTTCAGCTTTGGGGATTGATCAGACATGTGCGCAGCCTGCACTGCTAATGCATCGCGCTGTGTATAAAAGGAAGCGGATCACTGGCGCACGATAATACACATAATTTGTCGGTTTTATCTTAAACAAAGCAAGTAATTCACGTGTTTTTGAACTTATACGGCCCATTTCATCCAGAGAGGTTATGGTGTTTCCACGTTAACCCGTCCTTTGCATAAAAGCCGCCTGTTAGCCTGCTGGAAGCATCACGAGCAGCAGCATCGATTGTTTAGCAGCTCTGTCCAAGGCTCCTCGGAAACTAGAGAAACCCTCTTCTGCTTGCTGCCTCTTCGCTTCTCATGCTGCCTTTTCTCAGCATGGAGAGCTCGTCTAAATGGCGCAGAGCACATTCAAGCTAGGGCATTCTCCCACTGAGTCATTTTTTGGCGTCATCGCTCTGCAATACAAAGAGGAGCGAAGCACTTGAGGAACAAGGAGCTGCAGTTACAGCTCCAGGCCTCTCATAATACCTTCTCAGGATGCCATCCATTCCATGCACTGGACCAATAGGGGCACTACCCATGCACTTCAGCAGCTGTGCACTCTCTTCTCTGTGTCTCAGCTCGCCTCGGTCGGCATGCAGCAGCTGCTTCCGGCCTCAAGGGCCCCCATTCATCACAGGGCTTGCCGTACCATTCCTCCGTTCCGGTGCGCGCAGCAGTAGCTCCCTTGCCAGCGTCTTGGGGGGGCCTTTACCTGGCTGGGCTCTCCCTGTACTCGCTGCAACCTATGGCATTGTCGCTCAGCATAGGTGGGGAAAGCAGCAGCAGCTTTTTGTGGACTCTGGCGCCTGTGCTGCTGCCACAGACATGCTTGGCTGTGGCTCGGGGGGCACAGACAGCCAGAACGAGACTCCTCTAAGAAGTAAAATCCATGAGTCCAAAGGCGTCTCGACAGAGTACGTCCTTATCTCAAACCCTGGGAGCTGCTTCGACGTTGAGCGAGTGGGAGGGGGTGACACATTGCTCTTCTTCCATGGGGGCCTCTGTGGAAGCGACCAGCTGCTGGCCTCTGGCCTCCAGTTTTCTCCAAATATCCAGCATTTGCTACTGCCCAACCGGCAGGGATACCTAAGATCGGGTGTACCTCCACTTTGGGAGGAGAGGGATCTACAGGCGCCCTTTAAACGCATCAGGAGGGGCCGCCCTGGCGGAGGACATAAAGAAACAGGCTCTTCTAGCAGGGCAACAGAATGGGTGCGGCTCCGCAGACACCGTCTGTGGCACCAAGCAGCGCTATTCAATGACCTAGTCCGTTCCGTGTTGTACCAGCAGCAGCCAACAACACCGTTGATAGCCGATGCGAAGGATCCGGAGAGGGAGGGTCGCCTCCATGTGCTGGGCGTTGGCATCGGATGCGCTCATGCCCTGGCGTACTGCCATTTCTTCCCCCAGCGCGTGCGGAGCATCGCCCTCGCCTCACCGGTGATGGAGTTGAAGGACGGCCTCGAAGAAGGCCCCCTAGAGGCTCATGTCGTTGGACGGATACGGGCGTACCGACAGCTGCTCGAGCGGCTGCCTTTTGGTTCCTTTCGGCTCCGAGTGCCTCCCCCGAAGATCTCCTGTCTCGAATGGGCAGCCACTCTCGTGGCCAGACGCGCACCAAGAACTGCCTTGTCAGTGCTGCTGCATGCGTTGAGCCTAAGGAGACCCTTATCCGAGCAAGACGCAGAGCAGCTGCTTTGCGCGCTGCAACAGTACCCCTCGCTTGTCGACCGGCTGCAGCAAGAGAGCTTCGGGGGCCAAGGTGTCCCAGCGAGCCGAAGGGCCGCTTCCTCTTGGCGCATGCAGCAGCAAGAGGCATGGGAGGCGCAGCAGCAGCTGTACAAACAGCTGTTGCTGCGGGTGCAGCATGCGACTGGCACTTGCTGCGTGCCGCAGCGGTTACCAGGGTTCATTGAAGACGCTCTACTGCTGTCTCCCTGGGAGGAGGCAGCAGAACCAGGCACCACTGGTGCAGGGTGGTTATCGGAGTGCCTCGAGGGTTTGCAGGTACCAGGGCTGGTGGTTTATGCGGGGCAGCCCCCAGGGGGCCCTCACGTGGGCGTTCTGTCAGATTCTGGGGCCTCCTGGCCTCGGCTGGAGGCGGTGAATCTGCCGGATGCGCAGCCACAAACTCTGCTTCTCACCCACGCGGAACAGCTCAGCAGACTTCTGCAGGGGCTGCATGCACGCAGTGTCTGTGCAGCAGCAGCCCCGCCAGTGGACTGACAAGCCACTTTTTCAAATAGTGAAACTCGTGGCCAGCTGCGTACAGTGTGGCACTAGATACACTACAGGGGTCGTAGGTGTTTTAGCGGGGAAAGGAGGTGTGGACTGTCTGCACCTCGGCAGCACCAAATAAGCCAATAGACCTGCCTACACAATGCAGCTGTCCGTAACGAGGCTTTAGAGACACTCAGGAAGCAGCGCCTGCACAGCGGCGGGGTCACGGAAACACGTGAGCGCTTTCTTGCTGCTGCTAGTTTTCAGCAATGCACTAAAGAACAGGCAGCAACATAGATCACAAGACTGTTCTACGGTGTGCTGCATGTACCGCATCGCAACGCGCAAAATTACGTGCAACGAGACTTTAGATGGATTCCCAAGAGGCGCCTATGCGGAAAGAAACTAGCGCACACGGCAATGGGGGGTACAAGCGGCAATCAGAGAGACGGAGAGGCCCTCACGGTTTGCTATTCGAATAGCGCGCCGTCAAGGAGATCTGAAGCGCTCTTTGTGCGGATCTGCAGGATCTGCATGCACGCATTGAACAGCAGCACCCAAACAGCACACCTGGGGGATCGACTGCATCGCCCCCCGAGAAAACGTATTCTGTACCGGCTCTTAATGGAACCCGCATGTCCTTGTGCTGCTGTGTCGGTACATCTGCACACTAAGGATAGGCAGGGGCAGGGCAACTAGAGAACGCAGCCCTTCTGCCTCAGCGGCTGCAGTTGTGCGAGCTGTAAGACATTTTCACGACATGCGAGGAAAAGGAGGGGTGAGGGGGAAGCTGTGGGAAGGAGGGTTGAGGTGGTAGTTCTTGGGAAAGTGCGCCCACCCTGCAGATTGTCTGGGCTGTGTCCATGTAGGAGCTGCAAAGCTTCATGCGGACGCGCTGGCGTGCATCCTCCATATGCTGTACAGACAGCCATACGACAGCGCACACCCCAGAACGCTTAGTTCCGGCTGCGTAGGACCCTCGAAATCCCCGTATTTAGAGTTGTACGGGTTTGCAATCGTATTTTAGTCCTTACCGTGTCTCCCTCTACGTCATAGCGGAGGCCCCCAGCGCACTCCACCCAGGGGGCCCTTCCCATGGGCTCCAGCTGCACAGCCGTGTCCATCGCGTCTGCCAGCTGCATGCATGCATAAGCACAAGCATAAGCAATGCCATGAGAGCCATTCTATACTCGGAAAAAGCCACATGGTTTCTGCCCCCCCTCCCCCTGTTGCCCCCGTTGGTAAGCTCTTCAACAGTGAGGGCCACGCCCAATGCGCACTTTTGAGCGGCTGGTGCACAGCACGGAGTGTCACCCCTCATTCCTCGGAACCTTCCCCCCAAGGCTAAGTCGCTACGGCTTACACTCTTGTGCTGCGCGCGTAGGCATTCAAGAAAGGCGTCGATCGAAGGCTGTGCATCCGTCATCATGACCGAAAAGACGGTAGACTTCACACCCTGGGTTTTACAGAGCGCCTGATGCCAGAGCTGCGCGTGCGCCCCAGCCACAACACCCTCAACCGATGCGTTTATTTCAAAATCTGCTCCTTGCCAGGTTCGCAGCGAGTGCCCATTCGCCTTTCGCAGAATGCGCGCATGTCGCGTCTACAGACTTTGATGACATGATGTAGCAGGCTGGTGGAAACTGCATGCGCGGTGCGAGCCTCGCATAAGAAGGGCGAAAGCCACAACCACAACTTGCACCCTGATGCTCAAGCTCGTGTTGGAAAAAGAGAGCACACGAAAGCAGCCCGAGTCAATCTTCCTCGAACCCTTTATAATGCCTCACTGCCAGTTGCTGGAAGAGGGTGCCGATGAGGGCCAGCGAAACAACTCCCACTTGGCTCAACACGAAAAGCGCATCAAAAAGAGAAAGCCGAACATTTTCACCAGCCAGTAGAGGACGACCCAAGCCCTTCAGCTCCCCTATGCCGTCCAGAATGGCCGTACAGCAAGCCATCATACAATCTGAGCAGGCGCGCATGCAAACGCAATTACACGTACATCGACGTACGTGTGCGAGGCCCCATGACAAGTCGAGGCACTGCCAGAGAGAGGCAGAATTAGGAATATAGAAGAGTAGTAGATCTTAGAGGCCAATTAACTCTCCGTCCTGGCAGCATAGCGGATGCTGCTAATACACCCAATACGGCAGACTCTGCGATAGCTGCGGTTCGGCTTAGGCTTCGCCCACCCCGACTAGTTGACACCTAGCTGTTTAGAACCCCCTGCCAGGAACCAGAGGCAATTTGCTGGGAAAAAGAAGAGTTTACCTCTGCAGCCGTCGAGCGCCTCGCAGAGATGATTAGAGACAGCCACCGTAGCCTCGGTAGAAACCCCCTTCTGGAAATCCTGTTTGCAGAAAGAGAAGACAGAAAAAAGGATCCTTGAATGAAATGCACTATACTTTACCTGCCTTTAGCTCAAGAGTATAATTGTATCCGATCGGCGGTCCATGGCATTAGCAGCGAGCACATTTGTGTGCGCCCGTCACTGGACCCCTCCAGTAGAGGGAGGTGCCTTGACATCCAGGCACATCACTATAATTTTTTGCACATGCGCAGAAATATAAGAGTGGAGTCAGAGAAATGGGGTCTTGCAAGTATAAAGACGCGCGCGCAGAGGCATGACGGCAATTTCCCGGCGTTCGCTGCGGGCCTTCCCTCGCCTTCTCCATAGCACTTGTCGGCACACGTTTTGTACTTCTCTCGCTGTCGAGTTTTCTGGCCTTACCGCGCAGCTGTTGCGAAGCTCACACGCCTCCTTCAAGACCGCTAGAATAGCACATTGATGGCTGTAGAGGGACCCCAGCAGGTGGCTGGTGCTGGAAATGCAGCGGGAGGTTCCAAGAGCCTCGGTGTGGCGGGAAGACGCCGATGGCCATGATGACCGCACGCATCCGCAATGTGGCCCTTCAAGCACAACCCACGTATGCAACACTTGAATATTATGAGCCTCTACTTTGCTCGCATATCTCATCGAGCTCGCGTGAGCAGCTGTGAGCTCGCATTACCGTCGATGACTTGCTTAAGCTCTGCCACAAATCGATCCATTTCGCGAAGCTGCTCTTCATTGAAGCCAACGGAGGGACGCAAGACCGCAAATAGCAGTCTCAGGCGTCTGTGGCACAGCATCAGAATTGACTGTCACAACGCAATGCTTGCTCACGGAAGGAACTCTAGACGCCAAGTGGTTAAAGGGTAAAGAGGCTGCGAGGTACCTGGCCCTGCCGGGGATGGAACGCCGTAGAGAAGAAACGGCCTCTTTAAACGCCCCCTCTGCTCCAGATAAGACATCAGCTGCGTTTTTCGCGCCGTTTTCGTCGGGAAGACTCTCCTGGGGGGCCCCTCGAGGCCTTTCTCCTTCGCAAGCGCCTGTCAAAGGCTCTTTGGGGTGACGGCGCGCTGCACAGTGTGGAGCAGAGCACCAAGGGACCGTCCAGTTCCAGCTGCAGTCTGCTCGCTTCTCGAGGGAAGGAGATGGCGGCTGCCCTTCATCCTCCCGCTTGCCGCAACGATGGCCCCCTCCTTCGCCCTCCTGGTCCTGGCGAGAAGCCCCCAAAGAGCCGCTAGCCAAAGCATCCAGCACCTCGCGTTCTCCATCACTTAGCCACGGCACATAGAGCTGCCTATCTCCAGCTTCGCCTGTGAGGGTTTCAGCAGTTCCAGGAGCACCCGCTGTTAGCGAGACATCCGGCCTGGGAGGCCCCTGGATAAAGTTGTGGCGCGTTAGTGCATGATTTGCTTCGGCCCCAAGCAGACGACTAGGCCATGCGCTGTGCCAAATTTTGGGTTGCCTGAGACAGAGCGGCGTCACGTTCGCTAGCAGATAGCATTCACTGGGCAGACGCAAGCGCGGAGAAAGAGAGAGACACTTTACATGAATAGCGCACGTAATGCATGCATAGTTGTGAGAACAGAGATCAGCAGGGGTCAGGCAGGCGGGCAGGCAGCGAGAATTTCGAGCGATGACGGCGATTGGAGGGTTCGTGTAGGGGGGGAAGAGGGGTAGGTGGAGAGGAGATGGAGAGGCCTTAGCAGGAAACAGCTCTACTATATATGCGCCTCTTTGAGGCCGGGCAGCAAAAGAAGCATTCGATTAGGCGCATGTGCCAGCTGGGCACGGCGCCATACGCGGCTCCACGTTGCTATCAAAGGATGCACGACTGAACGAGAGGGATATTGTAGAGAGAGACGGTGCGAAAAGAGGGACTGGTGAAGAGGCGCACAGGTTCGCCTGCCAGACAGCGAATAGCGCCTTTTCCTCTGCCTGAAATGTTGCTTCCAAAATAGCCGCCTCGCAGGGCCCCTCTTGTTCTCCGGGGGCCCCTGCAGTTTGCTGCTGCTCCTTGTTTATGGACTGGACGTCTTCTCCCTCTGCCGCCGCTTGCTGTGTGGGGGAGGCTCGCTTAAGCACTATCTTCCGAGTCTTGTGCAGCACAAGGGCCCTCCGGATTGGGTGCGTTAGTTCGCGTGCGTGAAGCTCCTCGGGAGGCAAAAGGCTGATGCAAGACGCCCCCAGATCGGAGCACGTGAGGCCGCCTAAAGCTCCTACGGCTTCACCCCACGCGTCTGCGACTGGCGGCATAACAGCCATTGTTGTGAGCCACCATTCCAAGGGGCCCCTGTTGAGGGCCCTTGCCCGGAGTGCTCCCCCGCGAACGAGATCTGCCATTGCAGGCTCTGTGGGAACGTTGAAGAGCAAATCGGAGGGTCCAAAGCCTCCACGCTCGTACAAGCGGTACAGCGCGTCCTGCGAATCACCGACGGCAGGCACGAACGGGGAGAAGAAGGACAGAGGTAAAGCGAGCAGCACACAGGGAAAGGGGGAGCAAGAAACTGCGGCTATTCCAGAGGAGAAGCAGAAAAAAGGCAGAAAAAAGCACCAATCGCCACGGCCGCCATCCTCCCACCCAGACGCCGTGCGCGGTCCCTCAGATGCACAGAAAAGGTTTGGCCCCCTTGAAGACATCTTTTTCCGCATCTGCCTCGCCCTCTATTCCTGCGCGTCTCCTCGCATGAATGGTGGTACCTGGAGCGTAACGAGGAGCCCGTCAAGGGAGTGCTGCGTAATGAGGCCCCAAAGGCGGAATTCGGGAAGCCAAGAAAAGCTGCCTTCCTCCACAGCGGCAGAGAGATAGTCTGTATACTGAACACCGACACAGGCGCCCCTAGAGAGCAGCTGCTTTAGCCGCGGAGCTGCATAACCCTGCAGACTGCGCTGACTCGGCGGTGTTTCTTAAGAACAAAGGAATTCACAATTTGGAAACACTTGGAGGGAGAAACTGCGGCCTGTAACGCACCGCCGTGGCCACCTCCTCTCGAGTATCCAGGAAACTCCTGCAAAGCTGCGCCATGTTGCCGCTGCAGCAGAGCCAGCGAGTAGAAGAGGCCACAAGGGATTTCAGAGATACCGCAAGGCAACATGCCTACACAACAAGCGAGAGTGAGGGCATGCCGCCTGAGGAGATAGAATCTAGCTGCTGCACTTGTCAACGCCGAAAAGGCAAGGAGAGGAGAGGAGCACGCAACGGATAAAGGAAGAGGACTCAGGACATTTGGCGTGTGTGTGTGAGTGTGTGTGTGTAATGTAAAATGAAGATATGTCATGACGTACAGGTGGCCATAGTCTTGCTGAGCTGCTGTGAGGTAAAGCCCCATGGAGAGGAGGAGGATCTGCTTGACTTCCATGGCTGCGAAGGACTGGTGTATTGCATAGGTGTCACCGACTAGGAAGGAGAGACCAACGCGTATTTGGTGTAGCATGGGAGAAGTCCGCAGAGGCTCCACACAGAGACCCTGCAAACATTTTGTAAGAAATCAGAACCTCTCGTTTCTGCAAGCGCACTCAGAAGAAGAAGCGTTCCTCAGCGCTCGCTGGCGCTGCTACCCCGAAATCGCTTCACGAGAGGCCTCCGAAAAACAGGTGCTCTCCGTATGGCGCCTGACTGATGCACGTCAGTTGGAAGCCTTCCGCTTGCGGGCTTAGACAGCGAAAAAGCAACACCGCGATGGGTTCGAAGGATGCCGTATGAGTCGTTGCTGCTGCTCCTTCCAGCGAGCAGGCATGACCAGTGGCAATAACTCACCGCTTCCACCAGAGAAAGCGCTTCGAAGAGGTACCGCCTCCTAGCCCACGCTGCAGCAGTCATCGGCAATGGGCAGCAGCGGCAGGAGGGCAGGCATCATCAGCGAAGCCTCCAAAAAATCAAGAGGCCTACAACAGGCAGTCACGGCACAGCGCGCTCCTCTGCTCATAGCACACGCAGCCACTCAAGCAGCAGCCGTCAAGGCAATGCTTACGGTCCTTCTCCTGCTGATCGCCAGCCGAACGCGGATCTTCCAGCTCCCTATCCCACCGCATAAAGACTTCCACTGACATTCCAATCAAGTCGGCGGACAGAGACTCCATTCGCTGGCGCTGCACGCGAAATTTCGCACAGCAGCAGCCACAACAGCATCCAAGCGTCGCCGCAACAGCCGCTGTTCCTTTCGGGCGCTTCACCAACAAGACTCTCAAAAGGCTGCTGCCAAAGGCACTGTCTGTACAGCCCATTCACCGCAGGGCAGCGCTGGCAGAAGGAAGAGAGCGATGCAGGCTCCAGCAGTAGCAAGCGTTCGCGAAGAACGGAAATCCAGTCCCGCATGCAGCAGTTTAATCCCTAATGTCTGGCGGTTTCATGCGCAATGCCGGAGAATGAGAGCGCTTTGAAGAAGTGGGGAGGGGGAAGAAACGAAAGGGCCTCGTGCAAGACGCCACGGGAGCACCCCCCCAAGTGGCCAGCGCAGGCACAAGGCTGCAAAGCTGCCCCCTTGCTTGCGACACAGAACCGCGGAAACCTCGCGTTAGAAGAGCTGCTGCTGCTACGAGGACCGCTAGAAGAGCCCGTTCTATCGACTCAGAATTCTCTTGTGTTACTTTTCTCCCCCGGGCGCAGCTACTGAGTGACTTACATTACCATGTTGCAAAAACAAACGCCGCCACTCCTGAAGACGTGCCGCAGCGCCTGCCGTCCGTCGGCTCCATTCTCCAAGGGCTGTACACATGCAGCAACTGAAGATGCATATATAGCTGCCTTCGTCTTATAGACACCTACGTTAAGGCACTCCTGTTTGTAGAACGCAAAAGTCTCAGAGAAGGCCTTCCGCGGAGGGGCACTGCGCGTTGACTCAGAATACAGCCTGGTGAAAAGGGTTCCTCAAAAACCATCTGGGAAGCTATCCAGCCCGTACCGACCTAGGAGCGCCTTGTCAAGCGTTATCAAGCTTCTAAGATCCTGGTGTGTCGCTTCCGCCACCTCCGCAGCAGCCAAGAGGCCTGGATGCAGCTCTAGCAACAAGCGTCGGAGGCGCAGTCTCTGGGAGACGCTCTGGCAAACAAAAATCGACTCCGCAGGCGCTCACGTATGCAGCAGCAAACTCCGCAGTGGCAGCGCAAGCAGAGCAGCCACAGGGGGCTATCAGGATACGTCAGAAGCACTGAGGTGCTTGGAGGCACTAAAAAGGGACCGGCCTAATGACCTTCGGCTCCTGCAAAAAGGCGGGGTAGCCTCTCACCAAGCGACCCGCGTATGAGCGAAAGAAGCGAAATGCGCAGTAGTGGCTTCCATGTTCTTTCATAAAGCTGCCAAGCAGCACACAGAGAGCAGATCGAACCGAAAAAAATGTTGGGTGCTGAGAAAAAGAGGCTTCGCCACAAAGGAAGCCTCCTCACTAGTAGGGACGCCTGCACTCGCCCTTGGGGGAAATCTCCCTTGGGGCAGCGCCCGCTTGCCGAGACTCCCGGCTGCGGGTAAAACAGTGAGTCTGGAGTTTTGAAGCAGCAGCAGATGAGGGAAAGCGATTGCAGCTTTCACCTGAAAAGGCTCTCCACAGGATCGCCATGAGGTTTAACGGCCTCCCAGAGGGCCTCGAAGCCGTGCGCTGAGAAGAAGGTCGCAGAAAACATTGTTGCTACGCTGCTCGCCGACGGCTGTTGAGGCTTATCAGAGGACCGCCTAAGGTTCGGAGGGAGACTCTTCAGAAAAGCGAGGCGCCCCCACAGAGAGAGAGAGAGAGAGAGAGAGAGAGAGAGAGAGAGAGAGAGAGAGAGAGAGAGAGAGAGAGAGAGAGAGCGAGACAGAGAGAGACAGAGAGAGACAGAGACAGAGAGAGAGAGACAGAGAAAGAGAAAGAGGAAGAAAGAGTGAGAAAAAGAAAGAGAATGAAAGGGAAAGAAAGAGAAAGACAATGAAACAGACAGCCGTGGGCAACCCGGCACCTCATCAGAGCCATGTATCTACAGCTACAACCACCATCAGAACCTTTTTTACTGCATAAGTAAACCTTCTTTTTGCCCGTGAGTTGCCTCGACCCTTCCAGCAGCACAACTGCCACGATACGGAAACAAGGGAAAGATGAGTGAGCCGGATGAAAGTATAAGTCCCTCATGAGGAGGCAGCCCACAGAAAAGCTTCCATTAAGATGTACATGCAAGAAAAAAAAAGGTACAGAGACACACAGATAGATACATGTGTACACACAAAGGAGCCATTGTGTGTGTAGATATATATATATATATATATGTATGCATGCATGTATGTTTTGTATGTATATATATACACCCGTCTTTGGGAAAAGAGCACGTACCGTAGAATCCCCCAGAAGCGAATAGCCTCCGAAGTCTGGGAAGTATCGCCCGCCTTGAATAGGTTTGATTTTGAGGCCTGTGCGATCGACGAAGAGGCGGGGAGCTGAGATGACTGCGACAAGTTCTTTTGGAGAAATCGAGGGAACATATGGGAAGACTTCCGCTGCATCCCGCAGAACCTCCAACTCCACTGGTGCGTATGCCCTTGAAGGCACTAAGAGACGGGAGACAAGGCCTTCCTGAGGCACACACACACACATAGCATAGATCCGCGAAGAAGAGAATACAATAGCAAACAAACGAACTAACAGACGCTAGAAAGGGAGACGAAGCGAGACGGGGTGGAGAGCCCATAGAGAGAGCGACACGTCGCGTGCAAGCACCAGGGGTGTCAAAAAATCGCTCAAAATATAATAGGAGAAGATTCTAGCCAGCGGAGGCTTTGCGCCGTAAAATCGCTGGAAAGGGGCACGTTTCAGCATCTGGAGGGGACGAAACTACGCATGCATGCAGAAGGGGAGAGGCGGGAAGGGGAGGCGCAGTCCACGCAGCAGCAGGCTTCCTCTTGAAGACAGGCAAGAGACGGCGGGGAAAAAGGGGATCTCACCTCCACGGAGAGGAAATCCTTGAGTGCTGGTGACCATAAGGCTCCTTCGAGCACTGAAAATTTCAAGGAAAGGGCTAGGGCTTTGTGAGAAGGCACTTCGTATACATAGAAAACAGACTGCCTGGTGAGCGTTGCACTCAGGAACGGCCTTTGCTGCAGAATCTGCAGCTTTTGCAGCACTGTTGCAGCAGGCGGCACTGGAGGCGGCTGCCCCGAAGCCGTGCGATGCGTCTGCGGGGAGCTGCTTCCAGAAAGGGAGATGTACACGTCCAATTCAATCAGCGTGGCATTCACCAGCGTCAAGGCGGGGAATATGGTAAGGGATCGCAAGAGACGCTCTGCGGGGAGAGCTGTCTTGTGCTCTTCTGACAGCAAGCGAAAGAATAAGTTCTTTCCTTCCTTGATTTCTTCTTCGGCACTTTCGGATGCGTCGAGGGCATGCGCTTTGCTGGCATCATGCCGGTGGGCAGGCGGTAAGTAGGCGCACTGACTGCAACGTGGATTGTAACTGCTCTGTCGAGTATCCAAGACAGAGGACCAGCCGCAAAGAGGCCTCATATCTGGTGGCTGCGGCGGATCCTGCAAAAACACGCAGGCAGGTAACACAAGCACAAAAGCCGCTGCTGTCACGTGCAGGGGGCACCCTGAAAAACTTGCGGACGGCAGACAGCAACAAGCACATGCACATCAACACACATACACATATATGTATATATATATACATATATATGCATGTACACATACACATACATACATAGTACACATATACATACATACACATATTACACATACATCACACATACACACATACGTGCACAGATACACGCACTCAGAGACACACACACACTTACAGACAGACACACACACATACCAACACACTTACACACCAACACACTTACACACCAACACACTTACACACCAACACACTTACACACCAACACACACATACCAACACACTTACACACCAACACACACACAGAGACAGGACAAGCGAAACTATTCATGGACGCCTAAAGAGGCGTTAAACAAAACAAGAGTCAGGAGGGACGGAGGTGGCAGCGCCGAAGACGGCAGATGCGACAAATGACAAAGGGGAGGATACAGTCATGGAAATGCAGCAGACACGCGCAGAGCATCTTCCAGAGGTGTGCTGCTGCACAAAGACTCGAGCCACCGCGGACCGTATCACATGGTGTAACACCCCACCGACCTCACCACCAACCCCACCACTCCCACCGACCTCACCACCCCTCCCCCGACGCACCACCTCCATTTGTCCCGTCGTTTCTTTGGGTGGCGCCGCAGCAAAGGCAGCCGGACGGAAGCATACAAATGCCCACCCCGGTCCCAGCAGGGCACTATGGGGAACAGACATGAAGTGCTCGTTCGGCAGCAAGAAGGTGTATGCCTCCTGGCGTGTCTGCTGCACCTGCTGCAGCAGCTGTAGCTGGCGAAACGCTGGTGAAGGCCGATCCGTGAAGCCACTCTGCTTGCGGCTCAGTGCAGCGTCCGCTAGGGAACTCCGGATACCAGGAGAGCCCTCCTTGTGGCGGAGAGGGATATTGCCGCTGCAGCCGCTGCTGCTGCGCTGCAGCTGCAGCAGCAACTCCTGCTGCAGAGCGAGTTCTAGAGCCCGCCGCCTCGCCCACTGCCTGTCTCTCTCCAGCATCCACTGCGGAGGCTTCGTCAGCAGGGGGTCTAGTGAAACGGGATCGCTGAAGGCTTGTTTCGCTTCTGACGTGGTGTCGGGGTGCTCTGCAAGTACACGAATGGGGGCTGCTGCCGCTGCAGCTGCCGGCAGCAGCAGCGGCCTCTGTTTTTCATCCAAGAAACATATCTCCAGAGGCAATCCACTGCGGTTGTGCAAGAGCACCGTAGACGTCAGCAGAAGCAGCTTGTACGAAGGATGGGGACTTAACACTTGTCCTACAAGCTCGCTCGTAGCTTCAGAAAAGAAAGTCTCCGCGAAACATTCCGCAAACGCTCCATGCTTCGAGATGGCTGGCTCTGCGGCGTCTCCGCTATCCGGGCTGCCTGTGCAGAAGCAGCACAACCCACAGTGTTAGAGATAGATAGATAGAAATAGGGAGTAAGAGCGAGCACGAGATAGGAGAGAGACAGAGTACAAGAGAGAGAAAGATGTTGAAAAGAGAGCAAGAGAGCAATAAAGGCAGGTAGAAAGAATGAGGCAGGTACTCCTGCAAGTGTTCTTCTGCAGAAGCACAAGGAGTGCAGTCGAAGCCCTTCTGCCTGTTAAAAGGGAGGGCCTTGGTGAGTAAAAAGCAGCTTGATTGGTCAGCCTGTGAGCGTATATGTAAGCAGTAGGGAGAATGCGCGGTGCTTGCATGCCTTGAAACTGCCCAAATCTCTGCAGCTACCTGTATCGCATGCTGCAGAGGAGCCGCGCTGGTGCAGCTGCTTGACAGGGGACCCCAGTGTGCGTGTGGCGGGGAGAGGGGTAGGAGGCATCTTCTGCAGAGGCTTGCCACTTTGAGGAGCTGCTCTGACGTGCTCCCTCGCCTCTCCAACTCCGCTACTGTACCAGGAAGTCCGCTGCGGGTGCTGCCGCTGCTGAAGAGGCTGCAGCAACGATACACAGCGGCTCTTCATAGCGTCAACAAGCACCGCCTGCATGCCGCGTGGGAAGGCACCGATGCAAGCCTCTTCCTGCTGCTGCTCTTGCTCTGAACAAGGAGGATTATTCGAAGCCAAGAGATCGTTAACGGTGCGCGCGGGATCTCCAGTGAGCAGCAGACTCCGGAGAATTGCAGCGGGGACTGCCTGAGGCAGCACCTCTCGTACCTGTTGCAGTACAGCAACAGGCGGGCAGAAGGCGAGAAAGACTTGCTGTCGCGTGTGAGCGCTGCGCGAATCCTCCGCCGTCTGTCCTTTCATGAGCGCCTCCAAAGGCAGAGACGTTGAGCCTCCCTGCTGCAGCACCATCACCCCGCCTGTTGTTTCTGTGTGTAGCGTGCTCGTGCTCGAAGAACCATCCTGAGGTCGCTGCTGCTCCTTGTCTTCCTCACATGGCTGCTGCTGCTGCTGTTGCTGCTGCTGCTGCTGCTGTGAGACGAGGGTAAAGGCATACAAGAATTCGCCGGTGAGATTGATGTATCTGAAGGGGGCTACACTCGCTTGTTGCTGCTGAAGGTCTGTCTCTGCCGCGGCTAGCTCGGCAGCGTAGCCTTGGTCAGTCGACATGCCCGCAGTCAGCGGCAGCGCACGATCGCTCCATGGATCAGCTCCACGACTGCTGATGCGTCTCTCGCGGATGTCATTATGAGCGTCTCTACCAGAAAGGGGCGTCGTGTTGCTGAGGTTCGACGCTGAGCGTGAGAGAGACTCATCCTTGGAAGGACCTTGGTGGATGTGCTGCAACAAATAGGGGACAAACCAGGAGAGGAGTCGACAGAGCTGGGGAGTCAAATTCAGCAGGACTGGGGTGTAGCTGCTGATGAGGAGGGCTCTTGCGGCTTGGGTATTGCACCATTGATCGTCATTTCCTGCTGCTGCTGCTGCTGCTGCTGCGCCTCCACCACTGCGGCTGCTGCTGCTGCTGCTCTTGCTCCTGTGCTCATGCTGCTGCTGGAGCCTCTCCTCGAGAGCTAGATCCCGCCTGTAAACAGCCGTGGCTGTAAGCTGCTCAATGAACGGCTCCCACGTGCCACTCTTGACATTCAAAAAGTCGCATCCACACTGTAAGTCCTTCAGCGCCACTGTGATCCGCCGATGCAGGATTCTGGCAGTCAGCTGCCGAATGGCAAGGCGCGCTTGCACCAGAGGCAGCACCGATGCCCTTAGGTCATCTAGCAGCAGCAAGTCGATGCCAGCTAGCTCGACAGAAACTCGCACATCTCGCAAGACACCCGAGGAGCTGTTGGGCTGCTCTTCTCCCGAGGGAGGAGACGCCTCCTCCCCGCGAGCGCTGCCGCTTTCCAGCGGCTGTCGCGGGGTGGAAAATGCCTCTGCATGTGAACGAGGACCTTCGGAAGTCGCCGCCTCCACATGCCCAGCTGTTGGCAGAAAGGGTAAGCAGACACTAGGCCCATCGGCAGTAATCCCTCGCGCAGCCTGCAGCAACAAAGCAATGTCGTTGCTGCTGACACGCAGAGAGAACCCTAGGCACACGCAGCAAACAGAACGAAGCACCAACATCGCATTGTGCATTTAGCAGCTCGAAGCAGTTACGCAAGTTTCAAACAAAAAAGCGTCTATCAAGTGAGAAACACAAGACCGCCAGCAGGCATGGTGGTTACGCAAGCGTGGTGGCTATGCAAGCGGGAGGACGCAAGACGGCTCCACTACACACGTCCACACATGCATGCATGCATGCACATATGCATGCATGCATGCATGTGTGGACGTGTGTAGTGGAGCCCCCATTCGCGTAGGAATGCTGCTAGTACCCTGCAGCGGCCATCTATAAGAACCGCGGTGAGGAGATCCCTTCCTCTCTCTCCCCTCCTCCCCCTCCCTCCCTCGCAAGTCCTCTCTCTACGCCCACACCCCAGCAGCAGCGGCTCCAAGCAGGTAGACTCGACACACACACACGCACTCCTTATCTGCGTGTGTGTGCATATAGATCGTGTTTCAGCAGGCGCAGCCGTTGGAGGTCTCTGCATGATGCACTTACGTGGGATGGAGAGCTGCAACCGTTCCTTGGTAATTAGGGGTTCTTCCTGGCCGTCCACGGCACTATCTCCCGCTGCTCGAATCAGACTCCCACTGAGCTTCATATCGTCTACCGAACGTCTCCCCAGAGGCGTGCCTGCTGCTGCAGCGGCATTGCCTGCCCTCTCTGCGGCAGTTCGCCGTTGGATAGTTCGAGGGGCAGTGGGGGGGTGTCGAGGGCTTGTTGTGACTGCACATTTCTCTTCGGCATCATACGGATCCTCTTCTTCTAGACTCTCTTCTTCTTGTGCCCCTCCTTCCGCTTGCCGTTGCAGCAGCTCGGCTTCCGTTGCCAGAGCTATGCGCAAGCCACTCCCGCTGACAGACAAGTCCTCGCACAGCAGCACTGCCCCCTCCGTCGACATGGAGGGAACAAGCCTGCTAACCTGAAGCGTCTCCCCCCCCCCTAGCAGGAATTCCGAGCCTTTTCCTGCGAATTCTTCTGCAGACTCATCATGCTCTTGCGCCTGCGAACGCTGCTGCGCTTCCTCCGCCTGTGGAGAGGGCACTGTCTCCGATCTCGGAGACAGGGAGGTTGAGGGGCCCCTCGTTTTGTTAGGGGCCCCCCCCAAAACAAGTCCAGCTTCTCCCCCCCTCTTGAACTGCTCCGCGAGAGAGAGGCAAGACACCCCCCCCAAGCCTGCAGAGGTGGTGGTCTTCATGAAGTCAAAAGACGGATACGTGCTGCTGCTGCTGCTGCTGCTGCTGCTGCCCTCAAGGGCACTCGCAGCAGCAGCCCCCGCGATGCCGGAGAAGGGTGCTGCCTCGAGCCGACAGATCTTGCTGCGCTGTATCTGCAGCTTCTGCAAAGTCAAGGCGGATCCCGAGGAAACAAGACGCACATCGAAATCTCCACTCCACACAAGGAGGGGGGCTGTGGGGCTCTCTAGGTCAGTGTACACTACAAATCTCCCGTTCGAAATTTTGAGATGGATTGCAGTGCTTTTCGGGAGGATGCTGCTGCTGCTGCTGCTGCTGCTCCTGCTGCTGCTCGTGAACCGCTGCTCAGGCCTGTCCTGCACTTCGCTCGAAGCCTCCTTGCACGCCTTGGAGGTTCTGCGCAGCATGCTCCCCCACACAGAGGGCCCCTCCTCTTCCTCCTGCTCCTGCTGCTGCTGCTGCTGCTGCTGCTTGTGCTGCTGCTGCGCGGAGAGGACGGGGGGTTGCGGCTTTGGGTACTTTTTCATGGTGCTTGCTGCGTAGGCGGAGGAGACGTACTGTCCAATGTCTGTAAATCCGACTACCAGCGCATACAGCGTAACACCAGTCAGCTCCACGTCGAGGGCTGTCTTCTCTCTGCCGGATTTGAGGCGCATAGACAAAGCTGGACTGCGGATCCCCTCGTCACCACTGCTGTCTCCAGAAGTGCTGTCGGTGCAGTCGGAGATTTCCCCCACATCCCCCAAAACAAGCCTTTTAGACGCTGTGGAGCCTCCTGCCGCAGGTGAGCCCTTGTGGTCTGCAGCGCCTCGCACGCAGTGAGCGAGGCGGCGGTAAAAGTTGCGTGTATGCTTTCTGAGATCGTCGAGGGCGAAGACATCTCCCGTGAAGTGCAGTTGCATTTGGGTCGTTCCCGGGGCGTCGGAGACGGAAGCGGAGACGCCAATGCGGTGCACAGTGAGCCGCGCAAGGGGGGCGTCGGCGCTATACGCAGTTTGCAGCAGCAGCTGAGGGATGAATAGCCGCACAGTCATGTGCTGGAGAGGCGGTGAGGGGGACGGCACAGACGGCAAGGGCGCCTCCTGGAGCACCGTGGGGAGAGGAGCACTGCTCTCCCCCCCTCCCCCCCCCTTCCCCGCATCGTTCCACGTCAAAGCGGCAGCAGCAGCATCTCCTCCTCCTCGGCCGCTGCTGCTCTCAGGAGCTCTCGCTGCAGCAGAGGGCTCCCCGGAGGCGACTCTGTAGCCACTGCCAGCCAGATTTTCATTCACCACGTCCAGCAGCAGAGTCAGCTGCTCCCGAGAAAGCTGCAACAGCCACGGAGAGGTCTCAATTGCGACGGCCAAGCGTCCTGTCGCTGCCTGTAGCCGCACGCCGATTTCGGCTGTCTCCAAGACTCTGCCTTCAACGAAACACCCTGCACTTCTTCCGCGAGGAGACACAGCCGTCCTGCCTGAACGTCTCTCCCCCTCTCTCTCCTTCACAGTCTCCGTGCTCCCCCCCTCCCCAGCCTTGTTGTCTTGGGCAAGTAGCTGGGTCCCTGAAAAATCGAGGCTCAAATCGAGGGCCAAGCCACTGCCACTGCCGCTCTCTTCCTCCGCAGATTCGGCGGTGCGGTACGAACGCCTCAACAGATGCTTCGACTCTGCGTCGTCGGTGATGGAAGCGGCGGCGGAGGCCGTTCGAAGGGGATTCCTCCTATTTTTTTCCCGCATCTGGGGAGCCGCTGGATCGGAGCCTGCGGGAGTCACCCCGCGACGGTGGAGCAGCCCTTCCTCGAAGGCGTCGTCAAACGCCTCGCTGCAAAGCGGTACATATGCATTACGAACTTTCAAGATGCCTGCCGCGAAAACAAAATACCGACCAAGCCCCTCGACATCCACCCTCCTCCCGGGATATGCAGCCAGCGCGACAGACGCCGCCTCGTCGCTTGCACTGCAAACTGGTGTCTCTTGCCGCGGATCAACGAGCTCCGGAATCGCCGCTTTATTCTCTGGAAATATGAAGAGCGGGCAGTCAATGTGAAGGGCAAGCAGGGAAGGCGTGGCCGTTGCTGCCTGCTTAACGGCTGCATACGACCGCGACACGAATAGATCAAAGATCCCGTCCCTCAAATAGTCCAAGATGCCGCTAATATCCTGCTGGATATACACCAGGCACAGCTGATTGACACGCCCAGAGATGGCCATGGAAAAAGGCAGGGTGGCTCCCGTCAAGGGATGCCCCCCTCCATAGCGGCGTATCTTGAGTGCTACAAGCGCTGGCTGCTCATGCCGCTGCTGTTCTAGCTCTTGCTCTTGCCCTTCCCTCTGCTGCTGCTGCTGCTGCTCTCTCGGTGCCAATACGCAACGGCCACTGAGGATGACGGCTGCATCCTGAATAGACAGGGAGGCATCCACATCTCCGTTGCCGTAAGTCGCCACTGAGGCTCCAACACCCCTCACCCCGACACGTCCCCGCAAGGCACGACCTTCCCAAAAGGCAAGAGAAGCACCTTCAACTGCCAGCTCTAAGGCAACAGCGACAGGCAGCAGGCCCTTGCTGCTCCCCTTGCTCCTGTCGCTGTAACACGCGGAGGAAGCCGCGGCAGTAGTAGTAGTAGACCTTTCCTGCTGCTTTTCCTCCTGCTGCAAAGTAGCCTCCTGGACGTACTGAGCCGCAAGAGGCGGCATTGCTCCACCAACGTCAAGCCCCTTGCGCATCCAGGGAATGCCTCCTATCGTGCCGTCACTCAGGAGACACTTGCCATCCCCTCCGTCCGCAGGATTGCCGCTGCCAGTAGGCCTCCCCGACTGCGCGCCACACTCGAGAGACACCTCCGTCTCCACGCCAGTGCTGCCCTCCCTTACCAGGGAGCTTTGCATTGCATGCAACGCCTCTTGGAATGCAGCAAATGCGGCATCCGAGAAGAAGGGACGGCGGGTAAACGTCGACGTGGCGATCGCCAGCTGGTGACCTAGCTGCTCCCTGTACACCTGAACGGTGTCAATGATGCGTCTCAAGGAGTGCTGCCTCCAGTGCAACTCTCCGGGAAGCAAGAACAGCGAGACGCTCGTCTGAGGATCTCCTGCTTGTTTGTGCGTCACACGCATCCTCAGGCTGCAGCTCTCTGCTTCCTCCTGTGCTGAGGAAATTTCGAAAGAATCCTCCAGAGCATCCTCGAACGAATCTAGATGCAAAGGAGCAGAAGCACTTGCCTGCGAGAGGGCAGTGCTGCAGCGTTCTAGGGAGTCCTCGATCTGAGGAAAAAACGTTCCATAGAGAGATGCAATGCAGCATAGACAGACAGAGACACACCCGCGCAGAAGAGAACCTCAACGCACTAACAAAAATGGAGGGGGGCAAGACGCAAGGGATCTGGTCAGCTACTCCATGCCCCTAACAGTGCTATTTTTTGCGATTTCAAAAAAAAATGGTTGAAAAGCTCGGGATAAAGACTTCTGGAGGCGAGGCAGGGTGTATATATATATATATATATATATATATATATATATATGTACAGGTGTGTGTATGTGTGGGTAGATATAAATATATGTCGACATCGATATGTATATATATATATATATAGAAACATGGTGTATGTGTATGTATATGTATGTATGTACATGTGTGTATGTGTATATATATGTGTATGTGTATGTATGTAAGTATGTGTATATATATGTGTATGTATATATGGGTATGTATATATGGGTATGTGTATGTATTTATATGTATGTATGTGTATCTATGTATGTGTATCTATGTATGTGTACATGCGTAGATATATATACATACATATGCATGTAGATACATATATATGCAGATTTAATGGCGTATATATTTATGTATACATATACCTGGCGATGTAACGACTGGAAGAGAAGAGACTCCGTGGAGGGATCTGATACAAGGACTTGTCTCAGGGATGCGTTGATGCAGTAAGTGCCTTCCTTTGTGTTTCCGCCGGCTATGAGTTCAAAGCCCTCCAGTTGAGCTTGGAGAACTCCCTTTGCTTCGGAGTTGCTGCTGCAGTGTACGATGAATCCGCATCTACCGAAACGCCACGTGGATTCGAAAGTGAGCCCCCCCCCCTTTTCCTCCTCAAGGCTGTTGCTGTCAGCACTGCCGCTGGCTGCAGTGTCACGCAGAGATGCAGGAAGGCCTTTGACTGCCTGCAGCGCAGACTCCGCTGCGTATGCCAAGGTGTGATCTTCTGAGGAGATTCCCACCGTCGCCGCTGCCTTGCCCACTAGGCCCGAGTCAAAAGCATCCTCAGGAGTCGAGGGGACTGATTGCTGCATGAGGACAGACTTTGCGATGGATACAGGGGCGGCTAGCAGCAGCGCGACTGCCTCTGGGGTTGCTTCAAGGAAGATTTCTTGGAAGATCACGTCCAGCGAAAAGTGCTGCATCTTTTCCGCCTGAAATTTGACTCTGATCGGAATAGGCCTAAGCAGAGAGACTTCCTTTGCACCCTTAGGAGCGCAAAGAATTCGCGTTTCATTTAACTCCAACGAGCCGCTTAGAGAGTCGTAAGGACAGGGGCCATCCGTCGTAAGGGCGAGAGTCCCCAGGTGTACAGACACGCTGCCTGCTGCCAGCGAATCAAAGAGAAAAATCGGTGCCGAAATGCTCAGCTCGAGTTGCAACAACGCAGGCAACCGATGCACAGCCGCAGCATACACGGTCTCTCCCTTCTCCCGCAGCCCTTCAACAAACTCGCGCGCATGCATCGCATCAAGTGCCTTCTCCACTTGGTGCACTGAGGAAAGCTTCTCCCCCCCCTGCAGCAGCGCGTCTGTGTCTTCCGTCGTCGCCTTTTTGGCCTCCTCGGGGAGCTCGCGAAAGGACGAAGAAGACGCACCAACACTCTGCAGCCGCAGCACATCGGCAGGTGTCTCGAAAACAAAGAAGGCACACAGCGTCTTAAGGATATCTGGCCGCACAGTCGCCACTATGGGAGCCAGACGGATGCAAACCAGAAGGATGTTCCCCTTGGGAGTCAGCTGGTGTTTAAGCAAGAACTGAGCTGCCGACAGAGACGTTGGCGCGAGGCGCAAGATCGCAGATGGCAAGCGTATCACTTTCCCGCTTTCTCCAAACAAGCCGACTCGTGTTCTCCCATAATTGCCTCCGCCCCCGTCAGTGCTGCTGCTGCTCCCGTCCTCAGCCTCGCTCCGAAACTGCATGAGGATGTGGTCCTTCTGCTTGACAGAAAAATCTGAAAGCGAGAAAGAAAACGCCCACTCCGCATTGTCTTCCCCCGCATAATCCTGACGCGTGCAGTACTCCAAAGACGCATGCATACCTCTGACAGACAGGGACAGAAAAGCCGCTGCGTCTCTTTCTCGCTCCTCTCCAACGTCTGCTGCGACCCCTTCCTTCCCCAACGATCCCTCCAGCGTGTAACCCCCCCCCCCTCTCAAGAACAAGGCTTTCCTGTCTTCGCGGGGTGGCAAAGGAAACTCCTTTGGAAGGTCAAGAGGAGGCGCTCTGCGAGCCTCATAAGCCCATTTCTCGTCCGCTTCTTCCGCCTCTTCTTCCTCCTTCTCACACACACCTCCCTCCTCGTCCTCCTCTAGACATGCACGGAACTGCGCTAAGTCAAAACTCAGGGTAAACCTTGAAGGAAGACCAATGCCTTGCAAAGTCTCATCCTTCTGAAAAAGAAATCCAAACAAAAATTGCACACATATACACCTCAACCCTTCAGAGGACTCGTCAGCTCGCGAGCGAAGCCATTCATCCTACAGTGTATGTGTATGTATGGGTATGTGTATGAATGTGTGCATGTGTATGAATGTGTGTATGTGTGTATGTATGTGTATGTGTGTGTATGAATGTGTATGTATGTGTGTGTATGTATGTGTATGTGTGTGTATGAATGTGTATGTATGTGTGTACGTATGTGTATGAATGTGTGTATGTGTATGTGTATGTATGTATGTGTACGTGTATGTGTATGTGTATGTGTGTATGTGTGCGCCATGACCACCTTTTATCTAACAGTCTGCCGACTGCCACGGCAGGCAAGCCTCCACATGCAGACAGCATTTCCTCCACAAGCTGCCTGAACCCTCTTTTTCCCCCTAGGCCCCTCCTCTCACCCCTCCCCCAGCAGTCGCAAAAAGACAGCACTTTTACGCCGCTCTTAATGCCAACACCACACGCGCCTCCCCACCTGCACAGTGTCTACGATGAGCTGTATATCCTCCTGCGTCAGAAGCGGCTTCTCATCGCCTTCCTGCTGCACTTCCTCCTCCTCCTCCTGCTGCTGCTGCTGACCGCGTCCAGTTGCCCACTGCCACCAGCTCCTCGATTGCGCCTTTGGATTTCTCTGCTGCTGCACCTTCTCCGTCTCCTGAAGCACCCGATTCGCGGCTTCTTTGCAAATGCTTCGCCACTTTGCCAGCTGCGCACACATACAAATACACATACACATACAACTGCGCATTTATACACATACACATACGAATACACATACAAATACTCATACAGATACATATACACATACACATACACACACGCATACAAATACACATACACATACGCATACAAATACACATACAAATACACATACAAATACACATACAGATACATATACACATACACATACAAATACACATACAAATACAAATACACATACAAATACACATACACATACAAATACACATACACATATACGCATACAAATACACATACAAATACACATACACATTCACATACAAATACATATACACATACACATACACATACACGTACACATACACCTACAAATACATATACAAATACACATACACATACAAATACACATACAAATACACATACACATACAAATACATATACAAATACACATACAAATACACATACAAATACACATACACATACACATACACATACAAATACATAGAGTCTCACGCAGCTTTGCACACACGAAAATTTCTGGTCCCCAAGATGCTCAATAATGTTGGGGGCTTCCTTCGCCACCGACAGCCGCCCCTCAAAAGCCTTTAACAGGCAGATATATAACCCTAAAACTCCCACTCCCACCCCCCTTCCTTCGTTTTTATATTATATTATTATCCTTCTTTCGTGTCTACTCGTTGGTGAGGACCGTGGCGGGTGCACGGGCAGTACAGTGTTGTTGCGCAGCAGCAGCAGAACCTCCAGCAAAATGGCTAGCGCTGCTTTTTTTCTGAATATACAGTACCCCTTCCAGCAAAATACACTACTGCTACAGCGTTCATGCGCTTACATGCCGAACCCCCACAACATCATACAACACGCGAAGGCGCTTCTCCTCCTCATCGGTGAGAGGCTCCACACCAATAATACCCGCCTCAGTCTGCAGCTGCCTCCCGTAGAGGGCTACAAACTCCCCCTGCGTTTGACCTCCGCCTTCCAAAGCCTCGGGAACGAGGCACACCGTGCAGGCCTCCCTCAGCAGCACTCGTTCGCAGCGCTTTCTTCGTGCCTCCGCTTCGTGCATCAGCTGTAGGAATGCTGACAATTGAGCCTTGCCAATGGCGATCCCGTGGCTTTCCCGCAGCACCTCTAGCCTCGCGGAGAACGTTTGCTCGGCAGAGGCATGCGCCAGCGTCAGTCGCACGTGCAGAGGCTTCAAGATGTATCTGCAGCGGCCCCTTCCCCACGTGCATGCCCCTCTTGCAGGCTTCTTGAATCCTGCTTGCGTCGCTTCTGAAGAGGTGTGCGCATGCCTCTCAGGCCTAGACCACCTTCCCGAAGACGCAGCGCTGCTGCGTTCGAACAAATGCCCAGGGGCACCTGGAGAGGTGCCTGTGGCACCCGCCTTAAGCCGCTGTTTAGCCGGCGGCTGCACAGATCGTGCACACAAAAAGACTCCCAAAATCACGCAACGCATGCGGCTTCTGCAACTTGTTGAAACCGACACAGGAAGGATCTCCTTAGCCGCCAAAGGAGCATACGTCTATAGGCGGCTGTACGCTCAGAGCTACCAATTTGCTGCGCACGCAGTCTCTAAGGGTAGAGGTTAGCTAGCTGCCTGCCCTAGAGGGGCCAAGCAGGTGTCATAAGGATTTGTTACGGCCTTAGGTTCCCACACCTGCTGTGCTGGAGGCGTCTTCGAAGGCTCCAAGAGATCCTCGTCATGAAGCTCCGTGCTGACGGCTAGCTCCATTTCGCTTAGACTGACTTGCTGCTCTCTCGATTTACTGTGAGGCTCTGTGGGGGGGGGCGGGGGGACGCCGTCCTTTTCCTGATCAGACGAGGGATCTTCGAAATACAGCTCTGCTTCAACTTCTGATTCTTCCCGTAGAGAAGCGTCTGCCGTTTCCCAGCGGCGTGCAAAGGCTTCCTGTTTAGCGTCCAGCTTACAGTAGGCGGCGAGGCCGTTCAGTTCGCACGCCTTGTAGAAATTCTGCTGCTGCTGATAAGAGGAGAAGCCTTCCCGCCGTCGCCAGCTCTCGTCTGTGTTGTGCAATGACATGCGTTCCAGCAGAACCCCAGCCTTGAACCCTCGTTCGCCGTCAATGAGAGCCACATGAATTCCCTGTACGTTGACTTGCAGAGTGCTGAGTATCTTGTTGGCTAGCCGGAAGAAGAACCCTCCGTCCGCATCTTTGCCTGCTTGCTGCTGCAACTGCTGCTGCATCTGCTGTCGCACCTCCTGGATCTGCAGCTCGCAAGCATCGATCTTCTGCAGCTTCACCTGACGCAGTTGCTGTTGCAGCTCCGTGTCGCTTTGCTGCGGAATCGGCCGTGGCTCCAGTAGCAAGTACACGTCTTGGATATCCACACATACAGGAGACGAACCCAGGCTCGACCAGGGAATGTTGAGCGTGATTTTGCCTATGCGCCCCCACAAGACCTTAAAAGGCATTCCCAAGAGATCCGAAACCTCGGGCTTGACGTGCAGCTCCGTGAGTTCAACATTGCCACTCCAAACAGCAACAGACAACTTATCCTTGCTGATGCCCAGCACGTAGGGTGCAAGGTAGCGACTCAGCAGTCGCTCGACCACCGACTCCAGCATCGCGGCCCCAGGTGTCTCTGCACAACACGCAGAATGATTGTCGCTCGCAGCGAACTCCTGCTCCCCGCGGAGGGCTTGCGCTAGGATACACCAACACGCACCAGCCAGGAGGGAGGGAGGGAGGAGGGGGTGGAGTGCTCAGTGACCTCTGGTGCTCACGCGCACAAGAATCGCCGCGCTCGAAAAGGGGGACCGGCGATAAACAGCTGCCGTCGAGCGAAGAAGGGGTTAGAAGGCTGCAGGGCAGACGAGCTGGGGAGAGCTGGCTTCTGTGACTCTGCGAGGGACGCTGCGGCTTGAGAGGCGTCAGGAAGCGCGATGCTCTTGAAGCGGCCGCCAAATGCAGTCAGAAAATGACTAAAGGGATCGAAATATGGGTGGTGATGAGGATAAGGCGCAAAAAGGCAGTGCGAACGCCTTCGCACCACTGGTGATAGCCGTAAGCGAAGGACCCATCAAGTGGGCTACACAGAGGAAGCAAAAAGGGGTCATAGCCACTAAGTGCTGAATTTGGCGGCTATACGAAGGCACAAAGGTCTGTAACTCCGCCTTACTCATGAAAAGACCAATTCATCCCGCCTTGCGAGCACTGGGATGTCTGGCACGATGAACTCCCTAGGCCCTAGGAACCGACACTAACTCAAGTTCGAGCCTCAAGATATCAGTCAGACGAGTCACTTGCGAGTTTCTGTGGCGCTATCCGTGGTGTAAAGCAACGTGGAGTATGCGATCTGCCCGGCCCCGTCCTTGGCATGTCCTAGAAGAATGGAGGACCAGCATAGAGGGAAGGTGGCCACCACTAACCAGGGTGCGGAAACAAGAGCGTATTTAAGTTTTCACTATTTGAATAGAGAGAAATGATAGTGGGAAGCGATGGGTTTTCGGCCGGTTTGTGGCGGCATTTGTCGTTGACTACTGGAGGCCCCCCGTTTAATCCTTCATGACGGACGGAAGCCGTAGCCAGTGTATCTGCAGAAGAAGCATTATTTCTCCTTTTAGAAACTATTGCTGTATTTTTAACTTCATAAAAGCTGTTGCTGTGTGACTCCAGCTTGGTTAGCGTGCACATCTCAGGGTTGCCGTCGAATATTCTCTTTGAGAATCATCCTGAAACAGAATGCCCAGCCACGGAACCATGAAAAAGATAATATATATATCCTATCCAACCGCAAATGTATTACTTAAAAGCAGTGGCAGAGTGTATGGGGATAGAAGTCCTGGCAAAACAGGTGCAGCCGCTGAGTAGAGGCCATGCCCTGTAGTCCTTCGATCCTGAAAGAAAAGAAACACACGCGAGCCAGCAAGCGAATAGGCAAGAAACCTACCGTGCAAATTTATGTAGAAATCTGTGAAGTTGTTGAACACGTTTAAACTGCGCCAGCAGACTCATACGCTGCTGAATTAAGCATATATTTATATGAATTCTCACTGCTCTTTAAAAGACGTTCCAAGTCCAGTTCAACAAGGTACGTCACTGATAAAAAGCGGATAATTTTCTTTCAGGTTGCATGAGACAGGCAGGATGACACCGGGCTGTGCAGAAAGGCAGAGCATCTTAAACCCACAAGTGCTTGTTTTTCAAAAGTGCTCTACGGGTGCTGCCGATTTCTTCATCGCAAAATTCTGCTTTATGCCTCTAGTACACTTTTCCTGTGATCTACACGAGCAACCAGGAACAGGCTTCATGCTTGTTCAATATCACAAAATAAGGCTAGTGCTGACTGCGTCCAGCTCCCCAAAACAAATGAATATCTGCAACGAGCTAAGCCCTGTTTATACCATTTCGATCACACTTGGCATACTATAAACGAAGGACTAAATAAAATATTTGACTGGGGCACCCGGATTTCCGATATCTTGCTGCATACTGGCAAATCAACATTGCAAAACGCAATGTTGTGTGCATGCGCGCTTGATGTCATGCGCAACTAGCTGTGAATACTCGAAGTGTTTAGAGGGTGCAGCTACGCTTACCCTAGGTGCCACCCTTTCCTTAGATAGGGGGTACTTAGGGCTAAGGGCAAGACAAGCCGGAAGCCTTGGGTACGTAGCTTGATAACTTTCTTTCGCGTGTGTGTTGAGTGTAGAGTCAACTGTCCCCAAGGAAGCCTTGTATGGAGCGTCACAGTTGGTGACACCGCACGGTTCGATGACCTTGTTCCTCGCCTAACCAATGCCCACGGATGCAGTGGCGTGTCGAGCTTTCCTACAGTACTTGTCTGTTATCTATCAAGTTATTGGGTGATTCTATAGCCTGACTTTTCCTGGCAACAGGCTGGGAGGAACACGCTTTGGCGATGGAAGTAGACGG